TATTCCAAGCTTTGGTCATAACACACCCCAGACAACTCATAAACACACACCCACACTCTCTCCAACCCTCCTCCCCCACAAATACAATGTTTATAGTGATCACTCTGAAATGGTCATTATAAAACTCCAGGGTGACCTTACAGAATCGAATATCGATAATTCTAGGGTCGAAACTTTAATCAATAGGCTGAATAAAGATTATGTCCATTGATATAAAGGCAGCAATCTGTCCTTTAACTAAGACGTACCGTACTAATATAGACGTGAATTATAGACCTAATGTTGACATTTTCTTCAGGGGCGTCGCGAGGTCTGGTGTCACCAGGTTCGGTACTTTGTGGCGTTACCCCCCCCCCAAGAAAAAAGTATATATATATATATACATACATACATATATATATATATATATATATATATATATATATATATATATATATATATATATATATATATATATATATATATATATATATATATATTAAAGTCTACATAGGTCTATATATAGTTGTAATTGTTGTCACCCCTCCCATTTTGCCTAATGGCGTCAATTTGTGCGCACATTATATCAACCCACTTATTAATTCATGTGGAAAAAGCATCGTTTTTAGTGAAAATAATGTTTTGGTGTCACCCTCGTCCCGATCGTTGATTTACTTATTAGGTGTTCAAAATACTCAACAAAATTGTTTTTCTTCTGTATATACCCCCTACCTCCCTTGGTGATAGTTTTAAAGTGTGCACAGTTAATGGTAAAGATGTTTATTTATAGTCAGTAATTAATACATGTGGATTAACTCTAATTAATCATTAATTGAACTGGTAAAATGCATATTTCTTCCGTGGTTTCACCTCCCCTAAACGGTGTCACCCCGTGCAGTCCGCACCCCACCCCCTGCACCCACCTCTCGAAGCCTTTGCTTTTCTCATTGAATATGCTTCCAAGAACACAAGAAAGAAAGTGATAATGAGTGTGAGTAATAACGAGAGGGAGGGGGGGGGGGGGGTAGAGAACATAAATTTGAAGACGTTGTTCTAAAGTTAGGCGTAGGCCAATATCTGCTATTCTATATATAGATCTGACTTCATTCAACACACAAGTTAGCGACTATCCGCGTAAACCCTCGCAGAATTACCAAATAATGTTGGCTATGTAAATGTAATTATTGCTCAGAATTATATTTTCAGATGAATAAACATACATCAATCAAGTTTATAATTCGTTTACAATTATAGAGCACGTTTTAATATTGTAAAATAGAAAAATAGTTCCAAATAGTTTATCAGTTGGGTGAAGGTCCAGATGAACAACATAAACATTTACAGCTAAAAATAGAATGCGGAAATTCACACATCGCAGACAGTTGCATTTTCGATATTTCGATATTTCCCTTTGAAATTTAAAGTATTGATAGATCGAATATTTTTCAAAAGAAATATCCGAATCGCGTAGGTATAGGCTATATATGATATAGAAGGAGCTTTATACTTCAGTGACGATGCTTGATGTGCGTGGGGGATGGGTGTAAAAACGTATTTTTTGGCGTAAGAGGTTATCCATAATCGTTACGCTTTATTTTCTAAAACTATTTTTATAGTATTTTTCCCTGCCCCTTCCCTCCGTCATGTTGCAAAAAAAAAAGGGGTTGGGGGAGGGGTGGGTTCAGATGGTGTGATGTCACACTTTTGCATTATAAAAAAAAAGCAATATTTGTAAATACATCGATGTTTTAAGAAAAATTCAACTCCAATTTTGAGGGGGGGGGGGGAATTGTAGGCTGAGGTGTGACGTCATTTTTTCAAAATGCAAATGTGTGATGTTACACCGTCTAAACCCCTTTTCCGTTTTCCTCTCGTCATCATATTCCGAATCACTCCCCTCCCCTCCCCCAGGTGTGTGACATTATTCATTGACGGCAACCAAGTAGAAAAAAAGACGAAAAACATGTTTTTTATGATGTTAGTTGTTAGATTTTCGTTATTAAGGTAGTGTTTGTGTGGGGTAGGGAAGGAGTGTTGGATTTTTGTGTGTGGTGTATTTGAATGAATTGTGGGAGGTTTAGTGTGACGCATAAATTGAGTGTCACAACTACATCGCTAACATCCACAGCTCCCAAGTTAAAAGAGCACGGGAAGTGTTGCATATATTTAAAAAAAAATCTAACGATCTGTCGTCTTATGTCTATGTTGTTGGTGTTTTCTGGGGGATACTACAATATTTGTTAAATTGTCGAAATACTGAATATGACAGTATTTTTTTTTACAATAGACATTTGGTTACATTTTAAATACAACTAGTTTTCAATTGGAAAACAATATGTCGACTGCACTACACAACACAAAACACTCTCACACTATGTCACACAGTTAGGAGAGTTATAAATTGAAATTCAAAATTAAGTATTTAAAACAGGTTAAATATTTTACACGAGCCGGCCCGCGGCATAACATACGCCGCTATTTAGTTGTTTCTAATTTTCAATAATTCATAATTTGTGAATTCGACAGTACCAACGCTGACACTGAAAATATTTCTTTAAAACACTATAAGTAGCTCGTTAAGGACCATAACACCCCCCCCCCCTCCTTCCCCCCCCTCCTCCCCCCCCCCCTACGTTTAAAATCGTTGGCTCTGCTTGTAAACATTTAGAGTGAACACAGCTCACTAAAACCATGTAGGGGTGGGGAGGTAGGGAGAGCGTTTGCAGCTTGTTTTCTAACGGCTCGAAGAAGAGAATTATATATATAGATTGTTGTCATTGATAATTGAATCAATAGTTTAAATTTTATCATTTCAATGTATGGCCTTATTTTTTCATTTAAAAAATAATTTAGATCTAAATTATAATGTCTTTAGAATATAAGTTTGCTGACGAGCCGGGGCCCGTTATTTTTAGGCTGTCCGTTTGTTCGACGAGATGTTCGTTTTACGGAAAACCATTTCCCATTGACATGTAGGAACTCGTTTAATTTGTTCCGTGATCATTCTAAAAGTTATAAACAAGCGTGACAAAATACAGAAAGAATGTTAGGCATGAAGTATAGCGCGAAGAAGTTGACAAAGTTAAAAATGGGGAGCTTGTCATTGACTACGTTCGATATCCTCTATTCACAACTCTATTGGCTACTTTAATAGACCGGTATATCAAACATTTGAAAATCATGCATTTTCTTCAGAACTGACTAATTTTTGGACGATCTCGTGACATAATTACCGGTGCATTTTCGGTGGTAATTCTAATACGATTTAAAACATGTTTCCAAATATATAGATCTAGAAAAGAAAGCAACAACCCATCTTACAATAACTACAAACTTGAAACTATATGAGCTGTTTACATGGACATGGCTTTATATTTATAAGCGTTTTGATACTCTTTTTGATACTTTATTATGTGGAAAAGCAAAACACAACTGAGAAGAGTTGTGATTTAGAATTAAAAATCATTGAGCCTAATACTTATTTTTAAAATGAATGTTTAATAGAAACAAACATTGACAAATGTGGGTAACATGGTATGTGGTCCACACCCTACATGTAAGTAATGCCAATGTAAATCCTTTTTATTCAAGGGGTCATCCATAAATGACGTCACACTCGTAGGGGGGAGGGGGGGTCCGTAATTTTGTGACGATGTGTGATGAGGGGGAGGGGGGGGGGGGTCAGATGTTGCGACGTCATATTTTTGCATTATAAAAAAAGCAATGTTAGAAAACGAATTTTAGACCTTATTTCGCGTTTTAGATAACTGTTTTAATAAATTGTAATGTTTAGACAAGATTTTGAAAAAATATCGATGTTTTAAAAAAAATTCAACTGCAATTTTCAGGGGGGTTGTAGGTTGAGGTGTGACGTCATTTTAGGGGGGGGGGGGTCTGGCTTTTTGTGACGACGTGCAAAATCGTCCAAAAAAGCGTGACGTCATTTATGGATGACCCCCAATATGAAATTAGTTACACAACATATATCTTTTTGTTACAGCTTAAACTAATTTCTTCAGATACACATTAAATTAAAAAAAAACATAAAGCATAAAAATATGTGACCCAAAAGAATAATTGTTGAATTATCGTATTTTAGCACACACCTCATGTACTCTAAATAATTACCTTAACTAATATCATACATTCTATTTTCCTTAAAACAAATACCATAACCCACATGAACACTTATTCTGGCCTAAGTGACTTTAATTTGACATTAGAGTTGTGTATGAGATATAATAAAAAAATGTGAGAGTAGTAGCTGTAGGTGAATGCTATGAAATGTATGTTATATAAAAAAAACAAATGAAATTAAGGCTTTTTAAATATTATTACAAGTGTTAACTTATATTATTAAAATTAAAACTTGACGTTAAAATTGTGAATGCAATTAAACAAATGAAAAAAACGTATAATGCAAGTAACTGGCCCAGGCAGCCAAAAGAAGACAGGTTGAGTGGACTAGATTCACATTAAGCTGGACACAAGTATTTTATGCTAAATAACCAAAATATAGTAATGTTTTCAGTAAATGTTTATTTTTATTCCATTGAAATTAGACAGAAAAATATGAATTTGAAATTTAAAAAAAAACCAGCCTTCCTAGATTAAAAAAAAATACCCCACCCCACCTCCATTTGTAGGGTAAAAAGTCCTTTTATAAGTGTTTAATGACAAGAAATAAAAAAAAAATTACTTTAAAATAATTGAATGTTTATGTGATTAAACAAAAATATACAGCTGGTGCAATGGAAATGTGGAAAATAAAGCTAATAGATAATTCATAAATACAACTGTACCATCACTGATATTTAATGTTATTTAAACATGTATTACTTTTAAAAATAACTTTTTATCTCATATGGAATATGTGTATCTATATTATTTCTATCTATACCTAGAGGTCCCATATATATAAATATAAATATATATATATATATATATATATATATATATATATATATATATATATATATATATATATATATATATATATATATATATATATATATATATATATATATATATATATATATATATACACATGCACACACATTGTATTGGTCTATTTATAAATATTTTAAAAAATATTAAACTCTACATTTGTTTTACTGAGATCTTAATGTTATTTGGTAATAAGTTGCTAAAACAGGAAGAGTTATAGTATAAATAAAATTTATATATGTGGGTGTTTATCTAATAATGTGAAATTAGTGAACTCTTTTTTATCTCAACATTTATTTTATACATTTTGGGGAACTATCCTTTTGTAAATGATCCTGTACTCAGGGTAGCAGCGACTACAATCGTAAACAGCAAATTCACGAAACAGACATCCTTTGCCTTCCAGCATCACAGAATCACCAGGCTCATGGGATGTATTAAAACAAATATCTCGTGAACAAACTTTGCAGGGAGGTCGACGCAATCTTGGTGCTAAAATACATAAGAGGAATATGTGTTGCTTATAATAAGTAGGATATATATATATATATATATATATATATATATATATATATATATATATATATATATATATATAGATATATATATACATATATATATATATATACATATATATATATATATTTATATATATATATATATTTATATATATATATATATATATATATATATATATATATATATATATATATATATATATATATATATATATATATATATATATATATATATTCATGCGGCGTCAAAACAGCCATTAACAAAACAGCCCTGCCGTTAAAAAGTGATGCAACGCTCTCACGGATGTCTGCCCATAATTCATTTTCCCCTTACATGTGGTGTTATTAAAACTGCCTCAGGACAACATATTTTCTCGCTCATTAGCATCGAGGGAGAGCCAGTAGCCCTTCCCATGCATGACCACATTCTCCAGTTTACAAAGCAAACACAAATCGTCTGTACCAATGTCTGATGGCAGGAATCACACATTACCTGGCAGCTTAAACCTACATGAGCCTACTCAGGTTAATCTTAATTAAGTTGTTACTAGTAAATAAAAACTTTTTCTGAAATCAAAGTATGAAAGAGGAATTTTTCGCCTTCTTCATCTGTCTTATCTGTTTTTTTATGTACCTATTTATAATTTTTTGGTTCGAATTATTTAGAGTACAGAAAAAAAAAGAAGATGTGATGCTTGTGTTTATGTGTTGTCATCACAGATAAGTTGCTCAAAATTTCTTTAATTTGTTTATAACATCAAAATGTGATTTTGTCACTGTAACACATTGAATTTATCAATGCACACATAATATTTGTACAATACAATAATACCTACCCCCTTCAACCAAATTAGGATGATCCCTGGTTATAGCAAAGACATTACCAAGTAAAACTCTTGTTAAAAGCATCACAAGCTCAGTGCCTGGTTGTGATCGTTGGTCTCCATTTCCTGAAGATCAGTAAAGTATGCATTGTAACAACTAATAGTTCATAGCACAAATGAAAAAAAAGCAACTCAACTGTTCCATTCACCTGAGGGATTGTATGGTCATCACCATGTCCAGTCTTCTTTCCTTACCCCAGATATTGAGTCAGGTACGTATCAAAGAAGATGCAGAGATGTGCTTAAGACTCAATCTTATAAACTTAGCTCAAATTCAAGTTAGCAATTTAGCTAAAGTTTATTTTATTTAAAATCGATGATTATATAACATTATATATATTATATTTCTATAAACAGCTAATCTCTATTATGTCAGATTCATATAATTGCAACATGATAGCACTGGATAGTATGTGATTCATAAAAGGTGTAGCAGTGTTGATTCATTCACACTAGTAAAACCTGTTCCATGCTATGGAGCTGAGACTTGGAGAAAAACTGCCACTAATAATAAGAAAATGCAATCATTTATAAACAAATGCCTCAGAAAGTTCCTTCTAATACGCTGGTCTAAACACTCAGAAATGAGGTATTATGGCAATGAACAAATCAACTGCCAGCTGAAGTAGAGATCCTCCAGAGAAAGTGGGAATGTGGCCACACACTCAGGAAGCCTATCCAGCGTAACAAGACAGGCCCTCACCTGGAATCTACAGGGCAGGAGGAGGAGAGGCAGACCAAAGACCTGGAGACGTGACCTGGAAGAAGACACCAAGAGGATTGGATAAACCTGGGGACCGTTGGAGAGACTAACCCAGGACAGAGACGCCTGGAAAGCTCTTGTCAGTGGCCTATGTCCCATGAGGGACGACAGTCAAACCTAACCTGTGTTGATTCAATGGGTAAAGAGTAAAAAAATAAAAATAAAAACCTTTTGGTCTGATGTCCGTGTACTGGTCTGCTTTGGTTGACATCTCTGCTGTATAAATGCCATTTCCAAGCATGGCCTGTGAGCACAATTTTGGATCTAGTCCATGTTTTGATAAACTCTCAAAGTATTCAGCTTTGGTGCCATGAAATAGATAATGTTCATTCACCTCCTCATAAAGTTCTCTTTTCATAAAATCTTTCAGAAGCTCAGTGGTTTTAACTGGCTTAAGCAGTGGGTCACAGACTTTACCTTTTTCAGACATTCTGTTAAATAAAACTTTCCTTTGGTTTGCGTACTGTTCAAATAGCACTGGATTTTCTATTCTTCTAACATCAAGTACCTCTATTGTTGTATACTTCTGCAGCCCTGTAGCATCAGCCCCTAAGCCAACTTTGCCTGAATCCCAAGTAGCCAGTACTAAATCAGTGACAGCTTTTTTTGTTTCCTCATCCACTTTTACTAACAGCTTTTTCTTTTTTAATAAACCTAATTTAAAATTTTTTTCCCAAAATCCTCTTTTTTTGTATAAATTCCAGTAAGAAGGACATGTTTCATTAATACTTGAAGCATGACCCAAAAATTCAATGGTCTTTCTAGCTGGTGTACTTGATGATGTAATACAGTGTTTGGGCCACTTTTTAATAATTGTCATAATTTCTTTCTTAAAAAATTCTTCCAAAATATCAACTGATTGTTTTTTCCCTTTGATTGTATGACTGACGCTGTCATTGCCATTAGTCATCTCAACATAAAGGTGCAGCCCTTTAACTTTTTCTTCTACTGCCTTTATAAAATCTAAAGGCCAGAAATCCATCGCTTCATTTGACATTTTTGATGTATACAGGCATTCAGTTTCTATGAGTTTCTGTAGTTTTATGGCCAGATTTGCTGATTCTTTACAATCAATAAAGCAGATATCTACAGTAACACACTGGACATCACTGGTGTCTAAATAACCTACAGTTAACTTTTTGGTACTTTCATCTTCAGAGTCATCACCGTCTTCAGATGATTCATCATTATCATCATCACCAGCATCTTCATCTGTAAAAGTAGTTGATGCTACATTAACAAATTCTTGAAAATCTTCTTTGTTTACAATTACATTTACTCTACTTAAATCATTTTCCTCCAAGAATGAATGGATAGCAGTTATTAAAGCCTCAGAAATATCTGCTGTTGTGCTGTTGAACAATTTGTTTAAAGTTTTAGAAGAAATAGAAATTGTACTGGCTCCCAGAGACAGAGCTTCTTGAAGAATACCATTGATGATGTAATCTACAAGTGAACTTAGTGAACTTTGATCATGTTGTCCAACCAAAACACAACATTCTGCCCTGACATTTGGGCTCAAAGTGTCAGTGTTCATAAAAACCTGGATGTCATCTGTCATATCATCATCATCATCATCCAACATTACCTCATGGTGAAATAGTGACTTTCTTTTATCAAAACTTTTATCTCCTTTATCCAGAAACATGACAATGATGTCTGATTTTTCCTTGTGTAAATCACCTGTTTTTACATAAACAAAACTGTTATTTGACTGAAACTTCTGACAAGCAGCATCAAGTTCTGATTCAACAGGCTTGATACAAGAGCTATCTGGTATGTTTAGCAGAATGATACATTTCTCAGACTTTTCCATCTCACGGATCTGTTGCCTCACTTCATCAGTATTTAAACCCAACACAACCAGTGTAAGATCTTCAGTCTTGGTGTACATGGTTGTGAGGTCAAACACTTGATGTTCTATTTGGTTTACAAAGTCTAATAAATTAGAGTAAACTTGATCTACAATGGCATAGCTTTCTTTGAATTTAACTTTAATACCGTCTTCCCCTTCTGATTGTTCCAAAACTTCAACATCTTTTAGAAGTGAACAAAACCTTTTAGTAACATATTTATACACATACTTTGCTTTAATTCCCTCCAAAGAAAACTCTTTTTCAACAACATCAACACTTTTACGAAAACGATTTATTTCCTTTTCTGCTTCATCCAGGTCAGTCTTACTACTAACTAATCGTATTTCATGGTTTTGATCTGTCCATGAAACATAAATCAAATATTTGTTCTCTAGTGTCACTTTCAATTTTTCAAGTTCTTCTGTAGCTATAGACACTGGAGACTTGAACATCTTTTCAATGTTAAATTCTTGTTTGATGTCGGTAATTGTACTATCCAATATATCTTCATGTTTAGATGCCAGGGTTAGCTTAATGTCTTTGATGGAAACTTGAACACGTCGTGATTGTAAAAACTTTTCTATACTTTTTTTAGCTCTGACATTAGATAATATTTCTAACGGAAGTTCTTTCATGGCTATGCTTCGAAGTTTTTCTAACATTTTTGTTTTATGATCTGTGACAGCATCTTGCGTGCCTTTAAAAACAGCTGTCTTCTTCGTGGCATCATATTCAACTGTGCAGTTTTCAAATTTACCAAAACATTTCTTAATAAAATGACTCTGTACTTCTTGTATTGTTTTTTCTTCAGTTACTTGGGTATCTTCTGCCTGCTCTGAGATCTGTTGAGTGACTAAACCTGTTTTTTTCTTTGGAGATTTAATGCAGCCATTAGAATCTTCTGTTGTTTGTTTAGAAAATATTTTTTTAATAATAATGACAGGTTTTTGTGGGACAGTTGTGGCTTGATTTGAAGAATTACTTGAATATTCAAGGCTTTTGGTTAAATTATTCTTTTTTGAATTATGGTTGACCTTAGCTGATTGTTCTTGGTTTCCCAAACCATCATGAGATCCACTATCTTCTCTCAGTGATTTTTTCATTACAGAATTCTTTTGTTGAACTTCTTTATCACTTTCATTTGAGCTAGGTGAGTCTTCTGTTTCAGATTCATCAGATTCATGTTGATCACTTGAAGAGTTTTCATCACTTTCATTACCGTCTTCACTTTCATTGCTCTCTACTTCACTGCTATCAACATCACTTTTAGATATTTTTTGTCCTTTGCTGACTTTTGCTTTTTTACCTGAAACTTTTGGTTGATCCGGTGACTTGTTATTTACGATTTCTTCATCCTCCTCTTCACTGCTGTCACTACTGTTGCTATCCTCTTCATGTTTTTTATTTTTCCTAATTTTTGCTGCTTCTGATAAAACTTTTTTTTCTCTTTGTGTCTTAGTTTTTACAACTTCACCTTCCTCGTCTTCACTGCCCTCACTATCACTGTCAGCTATTTCCTGTTGTTTGTGTTTTAAGTGCCTTGATTTTTCTGATAAAATTTTTTGTTCTCTTTGTGTCTTACATTTTACTATTTCACCTTTCTCGTCTTCACTGCTCTCACTATTACTGTTAGCCATTTGTTGTTGTTTGTGTTTTAGCAGTTTAGTTTTTTCTGATAAAACTTTTGGTACATTTTGCGATGTTCTTTTTATTATTTTATTATTACTGTTACTGATTACAGTGTCACTATCAGATTGTGACTTTTCTTCTGTATTTGAGCTATCACTTTCACTACTATCAGCTACATGTTTTCTTACTCTTGCGCCATCCTTACTGTTGTTATGTTTATCATTAGTATCATCATTTTCTTCTTGTTCTGATGAATTGTCACTATCGCTCTCACTTTCAGAAGTAACTTTTGGACTTTCTTTAACATTCCCCTTGCTGTTGTGACTATTATCCGCCTTCTGATTGCCTTTTGACTGTCCTGAGTTATCACTGTCACTATCTGAAGTAAAATTATCCTGACTACTGTCATAACTATTATCCACATTCTGATTGCCTTCTAACTCCACAGAGCTATCACTGTCACTACCCTCATCTGTACTATGTGAAATATCCTGTCTACCAGAAGACCACTCCTTGTTTAGGACATCATGAAATTCGGCATAGTATGGTCCAACTTGAATATGGTATTCTTCAGACGGGAGTGGAACATAATCATCCTTTACTAAAATGGAACCTATGTCTAGAGAGATAGTATTTTTTAAGTAGTTTAAAAAAATATTTAAAATTTTTTATATGGTATTTGCAAGTTTGCATTTGACATTGAAGCAACACATTATTATTTCTCTCTCTCTCTCTATAAATATGTATAATTTTTTAGCCTTTGTATGATGCATAAATAAATAGTGGATTCAAAAAGAAAATAATTTTTAAATAAATTGAATACAATAATAATATTTATAAATCCTACTAACCTGTGCCTTCAGTGAATCTTAAGAAACCAATTCTGTGTGTAGGCCAAATTTTACATTCAGTTATGTTTTCTTCTGGTATATCAAATTCAGCTTGGAAAAATAAAGACAGAAACTGTTCAGACAAAATGTCTTCATCAATGTTGTACACTGTGATGGCATCTGAAGCTCTTGTTGATACTTTAATCAAACTGATTTTGTTGGATTCTAGAGTATTCTCTTTTATGATCTTTTTGGCAGCTTCAAAATCTGGGGAGAAAGATACTATATGACTTATACTATTATATAAAATTAGGCCTAAAATTGAAAGCATATTTTAGTTTTATTGCTAGGCCAAAAATCTTTGAGCTAAATTATACTAAAAACATAAACATGTCTGAAATTACCTTCTATTTCCCGTGCCACTGTAACTAGGGCAAGGCCATTTATCATGTAGACTTTATTAACATCAATATCTAGGAGACCTTCCACATAATCTTTTATCAAATTATTGGTGTACTGACAAGGAGTGTTCTGTTCAAAGATTACAAAGAAAATATATTATATGTTTAATTCAATAGCAGAAAAACCTGTTTAAATTCACATATGTGATGTTTTATTATTTTGTTTTTTCATTAAAGGAGAAATTACTTACCCGCAAAACAAATTCCATTGCATTTGCTTACTGATGTTAAATGAAGCTTTCAGAGCTAGTAGGCCTACACCATCGTTTCTGAAACAATTACATTTGATGTAAAAAAAAAATTGAATTAAGAAAATATCTTGAGTTGAGTGCAGATTGCTGTTTGGCTTGGTCAAAAAATGTAACTTTTTATGATAATTGTTAATTAATATGAAAGTGTAAGCCTGTATGTTGTAATTAGGCCTATTTCAATTTTTTTACAGAATAAAAATGATGCCACACAAGTAAATATTCATTGAAACAGTTGGGACAGCATGATGAAACTTTGCTTTGCTAATTGTTGGGAAAAGGAGAGGGGGGATGGGGGGGAGGGATTCTGGGATTTTGTGATCATGTGGGGTTAGAAAAAAAAACTAAAATAAATATTAAAATAGCATAACATAGATTCTGAATGTTTTTTTTCAAAACTGATTGGCTAGATCAGGGGTCTGCAACCTTTTTGAGAGGAAGAGCCAAAAGTTACCATTTAAAAATTCCCCAGTATTTAAAGAGCCACTAACATTTATATTTCAATATAATGATATTTAATTAGGATTACATATATATATATATATATATATATATATATATATATATATATATATATATATATATATACATATATATATACATATATATATATATATATATATATATATATATATATATATATATATACATATATATATATATATATATATATATATATATATATATATATATATATATATATATATATATATATATATAGGCCTATATAATTTAAAATAAATAGCTTTAAATATGAAACTATATTTATTCATATAAAAACATACACATGTTTCGCACAAAAATATTAAAGTATTTTAGCTAGTTCTGGATAATACAATCAGTAATCACATTATATAACTAATTATTGAATTATATTTACAATAGTTTGGCCTTGCATGTGGTTTGAAAGTTTGGTTAAATCTGGCTCATAACTTGTTGTTTTCAGTTTCAAGCACGCTTCTAAATTTTTATTTGTTAGTTGCCTTCTTTCTTTACTTTTTATTGTATTCTAAATTAAGTAATTTACTGCTCTCCGTGTCTTCAACAAAAAAATGATCGGTTTCTTCCAGGCATCACGTTGGGAGCCCCCCCCCCCAAAGAAAGTCTACCTCCCTCCGAACGAAAAGGAATTTATATAGAAAATATATACTTTTATTAGTGTCCGCCCTACCCTCCCCATTTTTTTAGAAAAAAAGTCTGTAAGAAACACTGTTCGGGATGGACAATTTAATATGAAGTCCATTGAACTAGGGAATAACTAAACATTCTAATAGAATAGCGAGTGATTATTGTTTATATTAATATTGTTTCCAGAAAAATATTTTTATGAGTTTTGAAAATAAAATAAGTTTTAATATTTGTGCATGGAGCTGAAGAGCCGCATCTTGACATCAAAAGAGTCACATGCGGCTCGCGAGCCGCAGGTTGCCAACCCCTGGGCTAGATTATCAAACTAGCAGAATAATGTTTATGAAATAGGCTAATTATTAAATAATTAAATCGCTTTGCAAACATCCATTACTAATTATTCAATAATAATTTAAGCACACCTCTCAATCTTTTCCCCTTATTACTGTTTATTATTATAATATTAGGCCAACATTTTAAATTTTTAAGCCTAAACTATAAAATTATTTTTCTTTTAAGCTTTAATCTTATATAATTTTTTATAAGTAGAAAAACCTATGTGATGTGTCTTATCTCTCTTAACTAAATATGAATTCAATGTAGAATCTAGTAGGCTATTGAATTGTATTGTATTGAAATGTATTGAGTTGTTTATTTTTTAAAAATCGTAGAACTAGTAGAATTGAGAAGCTATTGATTAATATTTCATAATTAATTATTCATTAGCCTAGCTAGTCAATTTAATTCTAATAAATTAGGACCTAAGACTTCTAATATTAATAAACATTGGCATTGGTCTAATAATATTTAATATAGGTCTACTGATTGAAGTTGTAAAACAGACCTTTATTCAAACTTCTGTCAGTTATTAAATTCTTGTCCAATTTAATAATTAATGTAGCATTAATTAGTAAATTAGTTGTCAGTAAAAATGACTCTAGTCAGTCTCTAGAGTCCTCTACTCTAGAATAGAGTATCTAGATCCAGAGATCTCCCAAATAATAATTTTAAATTGAAAATGAAACTTCAAGAAGACACGTAACGTAGATGTCTATAGATCTATAAATAGTATTAAATGCCAGACTATACATTATAGATCTAGGCCTGTACCATATTTATATTTCAACGGGAAAATAATCGGAAAAGCTGCATGACACTTACAGAACACAGTTTGGATACAATTTTCATCGAAATCATTTGGTGGTTTTTTCCCCATTGGGAATTCCCATTCCATTTCCTAAAAAAAAGTTAACAGGCAATTTAATAATTAAAGAAAAAAAACTGATAGGGTCTAGAGATCTAGTTACAGTCTAGTACTAGAATAGACTAGTAGGCTAGTAAAGACATAGATCTAGATCTAGATTCTATATCTGATTATAATCAAAATCATTTCAACTTTAAGATTGGGACCCTAGAAAGCAAGTTTGAGTTTCATTTTCGTAAAGCAAGACTGGCGATAAGGTTTGACAAACATAAGAGTTCCTCGTAATTTATTTAATAGAAGCGAAAACGAAGTGTAAAAGTAAAAAGAAACCAAAATACAATTCTTAGAAATTAAAAATATATTAATGAAATACGTTTTGCTAGTAGGCCTAGATTTAATCTTGTGAGGGTTTTTTTGTAGATCTAGATCTAGTCTAGATTTAGATATAGATCTAGATCTAGAGTCTAGTAAATAATAGTAAATATTTAAATATTATACAACGGAGTAGGCCGATAGTCAGTATGAGTATATCTCAAAATGTCAAATGCCTATGTTCATGTGTCATGTAGATTGTTGAAATGTTCTTGTTGTCTTGACTGTATTTGAAATTGAAATGCAATACTTTTGCTAGATCTAGTCTTTTTTTTAAACGTAGGTCTATTACCTATAGTTCTATACTATAAACTATAACTATAATGCCTTATATCGGCCTATTATATATATATATATATATATATATATATATATATATATATATATATATAGGCCTATATATATATATATTAGGTATATATATATATATATATATATATATATATATATATATAGGCCTATATATATATATATATATATACAGAGCCGGCGTTAGGGGTACGCGGGGCCTATGGCCAACCATCCGCGCGGGGCCTTATATTTTTTTCATTGGTATATAATTAAATAAAACATGTACAGTGAGGCGTTTTTTTTTCTTCTCAACGCGAATTAATATTTATAACGATATATATGGTATTTTTAAGCTTCTTATCAATGTCGTATATTAGTTTTAACATAAAGACACTGATTAAAAAATAATGTGTTCACTCAGAAGTGCTTTTGAAACGTTGCTTGTTTCTGTTAAAGCTTTTTGTTTGAAAAATAAAAAAAATAAAACAGATATAAGTTCGAGACACGCATTAAAGAGACGATGAACATCGGCTTCAAACTTGATTTTTTACATTAATGTTTATTTATGACAATCTTACCAGTACGTTCACAAACGAAGATCTTTTTTTTTTTGTCTTTCGTGAGGAAAATTCCATGATTATATCATCATAGTCCAAACTGGAGGCTTTGTCTTTTTCTATTGACAGAATCGACAGGCCGCATAGCCTGTCTTGTGACATCGTTGATACATGTTCCCAATTACCCGGATCGTATATATCTTTTACGATCATTGGGAATTAATTATTTTCGTCAGAATCATTTTCACTTCATCGGTCAGAATACTATGGGGTATCTCATTACGTGTTTTCCTGATTTCACCTCCCATGTCAGGTCGGGGGCTAATTCGCAACCGCCATCACCAGTCACCTCAGGTCAAAAGCGAGTCGACCGTGCCAGCGATGTGTGACACTAATGTCTTCGTATCGAATGACGGTCTGTCCCAGGTCATGTAGGGGATAACTCACTAACATCAGCCTTGGCCTCAGTTTATAACAATCAACAATTTCGGCCATTTTTTTTCCAAATTCAATACAGCAAAGATTACTTAAGTTTACAAACTAATTCAGACAACAATGGCGGTGCTGAAGCTCGGGGCCCCTGCAAGCGCGGGGCCTGTGGCGGCCGCCCCGTTTGCCACCCCCTAACGCCGGCACTGTATATATATATATATATATATATAAGCCTATATATATATATATATATATATATATATATATATATATATATATATATATATATATATATATATATATAAATTAGGCCTAAATTGAAGACTATATTTTAGATCTAGATTTTCTTGTTTCGTTATTGTTGAATATAGACCTACATAGATCTTTTTATTTACTTTATTGACTTTATGTCAGTTTAGGTCTTATAGCACACTTGGTTTAAAATTAAAATAAAAGACTATATATTAAATGATGACCCCAGAAAACATCCGGCCAAGTATTGAAAAACTATAGGCCCTACTTGATTCTAAATAATTATTAATGGTGTTGTGGAAACTAATTACAAAGTAACAAACATATCATCTAAAGATTCTTATACTAGTAACTTAGCTGGTGTAATATAATACATCTGGATCTTCTCTGTACAGATTATGCCCTACTATCCTATTTTTACAATAGTGTATATGATTTTGAGCATATACCTTGATCTATAATATTTAATTTAGACTATAGGCCTAATTTTTATCTCTCTCAGAAACAGTAACGCAAGCTATTTGTTTTTACAATTTTTATTTTCTGAAAATAGAAAAAAATCCATAACTCTATATTTATTTTTCAAGGCATTAAATAATTATGGTTTAAATTTCACGATTGCCTTTCCATTGCGCAGGAATGCACGCTGAAATATTAACTCCAATCATTAAAACAAAGTAGTGATCGAATCCAGTTTATAATAATAAAATGAGTTCTGAGAGTGATGAAGGTCAAAACTTCTCAAACTCATCAAGTCCTGCTGACGATGAGTCATCAAGTGAAAGTGACAATGATTCTAGTGCATCAAAGCATCTACCATCTTCAAAGGAAGAAAAGGAAGCAAAATCAAGTCCAAAACTCGACAGTCCAAATACATTAGTAGACCCGAGCCAAATATCTGATAAAGAAAAAGGTAAAAAGAAAAAAAATGTCCAGAATTCCAATACAAAAAATGATAAGGAGGAAAAAGACATGGATGAAAACAACTGTGCTGGGGCTTCTGGTTCAAAATCATCATCTACAAAAAACAAATCAAAACATAGTAAAATAGGTGATGAAGGGGAGCATTTAGATGCGCATATGCAAAGTGACAGTGATGATAGTTTTGTTCATGTTTCAACAATAACAGCAAATAAGACTTCTACAGATTCAATTAACACAAAAAGTAAGACAAAAAATTTAAAATTTAATGCAAAAGGTAAATCCCAGTCTGATTCTGTGAATGATGAAAAACCTGGATCAAAAGTAAAAAAACTGGATTTAAAACATTCAAGTTCCAAAACAAGTAAGAAAGAAAAATCTGTTGATGGAGAAATTGGTGGGCCAGAAAATCCAGAGCAGACAGAAAAGAAAAGAGAGAAAAAACATTCAGACACCAGTAAAGTAGAACCAACTAAAGAAGAAAAAGTAAAAAGACCAGATGATAGTGAAATTAATGACAGTAAATCCTCCAGTTCTGACAGTGAAACAGAAGTAAAAAAAGAACTTAATTCCTCATCCGGTGACAGCAGTCATGATGAAAACACCAGAAAAAAAGATAATATGGTCAGGCAAAGTTCAACATCAAGTCAAAAAATGGCCAAAGCTTCTGAAGTAAAAAAAACAAACCAAAAAAAGAGGGCTAAAAAGCCAGACACTGCTGAAGAGTCATTGAGCTTTGAGAGTAGTGAAGATGATTCAGATGCTTCAAGTGTTAGAGACAACAAAAAGAAACAAGGCAGTATGAAAAAGTCTAAAGAATCCAGCAAGCCTAGAGATAAACAGGCAAAAAGAGATAGAAAAAAAGAAAAAGAAGTTTCAAAAAGTGATAGAAAGTTAAAAGAAACAAGCAATCAGATAAATTCAGGCAGCGGAGAAGACAGTGATGACAATGAAGAAATGCTGCCTATCCAGACACCAAGTAAAACCAAAACAAAAAATTCAAACTTTCAAGTAGATAGTGAGAGTAGTTCTGAGTGTGAAGATGCTGCCAAATCAAAGTTACAGAGAAAAGTCAGCCGCAGTGCAAATAATATTGACAGCGATGAGGTTAGTTCTGAGTCTGAAAAACATGATAAGAAAAGGAAATCATCCAAAAAAAGCAATAGTGGAATCACTGAAAAATCAGCTGGTGATCAAAGAAGTAAAAAAGAGAAAAAGAGAAAAGATTACTCTCCTGAAGAAAAGACAGTAAAACAAAAAACTACTAGAGAATTAAACAAAAAGGGCATATTCTTTAGCCAGGAAGATGAGGTAGCCAATGCATCATCAGATGATAGCTCAGACAGTGCCAGCAGTAATAACAGTCCTAAATCTGTTAAAAAAGTCACAGAAACATCAGCAAAGAAGAAAAGAAATAATTCTGATTTAAAAATGTCTAAAAAGGAAAACAAAGACAAACCATTGAAAGCTAAAAGGAAAGAAAAGTCACCCAAGCGTAATTTAAGTGATGAAGATTTGAATACCAGTTCAGCAGGAGCATCAGCTAGAAGAAAAAAGAAAACTGAAAAATCTAAGGAGGAAAAAGAAACACAGAGTGCAAATAAATCAACACGAAGTAAGACAAGTGTAGAGAAAGAGGACTGTGACAAAGTGAAGAGAACTATCAAAGCCAAGGTTGCTGATGTTCATAAAACAAAAGATACATATGTCTTGTATCTAGAAGATCCCAGCATAAATAAAGGGGAAATTGAAGAAGATACCATGCTGCTAGATGGACTACAGAAACTCCTTTTTGTTACTTTTACTTTTGAGCAGCAGAAATGTAAGTATACCTACAAAACCTATCATCGTCATCATCATCATTCCTTTGTGGCCCCTGTGGAGCAAAGGGCTGCAACCACACATCAACAGTGGACTCGGTTTTGGGCTGCTCCCTTAATCTGTGCCCATGTGAGCCCAGCTGTTTTCGCCTCTTCCTCAACCGTTCTCTTCCATGTTTTTTTTGGCCGGCCCACCCTCCTTTTTCCCTGGGGATTCCAGTCCATAGCATGTTTTGCGATGTTTTCTTTTTCTCTTCTTAACATGTGTCTGATCCATCCCAGTTTATGTACCTTGATATCTTTCTCTATTGGCTGTTGCTTTAAAATTTGCTACAGGTCTTTGTTTGATATTTTGTCTGGCCATCTTATTTTAAGTATATGTAGTAAGCATTTGTTTACGAATGCCTGTAGCCTATCAGTATTTGTCTTCGTAACCCTCCAAGTCTCCGAGCCATAGAGCAGCACTGCCTTGACATTTGCGTTGAAAATCCCAATTTTGCTCTGGAGTGACAGGGCCATGCACCTCCACATTGGGCGCAGTGAGTTGAAGGCACATCTAGCCTTGTTGATACTGCATTTTATGTCCTCGTCTGCTCCCCCGTTCTTATTGATCACGCTTCCCAGATATGTGAATGTGTTTGTTTCTCATAAATCTTCTCCATTTAGCTGTATAGGCAGGTCCTGGCTGTTATTGATTCTAATGACCTCTGTTTTATTTTTATTGATTTGCAAGATTTAAAAATTATATATATATATATATATATATATATATATATATATATATATATATATATATATATATATATATATATATATATATATATATATATATATATATATATATATATATATATATATATATATATGTATATGCATATGTACATATATATATATATATATATATGTATATGTATATGTATATGTATATGTATATGTATATGTATATGTATATGTATATGTATATGTATATGTATATGTATATGTATATGTATATGTATATGTATATGTATATGTATATGTATATGTATATGTATATGTATATGTATATGTATATGTATATGTATATGTATATGTATATGTATATGTATATGTATATGTATATGTATATGTATATGTATATGTATATGTATATGTATATGTATATGTATATGTATATGTATATGTATATGTATATGTATATGTATATGTATATGTATATGTATATGTATATGTATATGTATATGTATATGTATATGTATATGTATATGTATATGTATATGTATATGTATATGTATATGTATATGTATATGTATATGTATATGTATATGTATATGTATATGTATATGTATATGTATATGTATATGTATATGTATATGTATATGTATATGTATATGTATATGTATATGTATATGTATATGTATATGTATATGTATATGTATATGTATATGTATATATATATATATATTTTATTGGGGGGAATGACACCATTAAGTGCCGCTCCGGCTGATACCCGACCTCGCTATGCCACTGTATATGGGCATATATATAGTGTATTTCATTTGACTTACTAAGTTCATAAATATACATCTGTTTTCTGTCCATTTTGTTCCCTATAATTATTACTTTAAAAATCAGCATTCAATGCGTGAACACTAAACCATTTTTTTTTACCAGATGCTAGAGCATTTAGAAAGGTTAAACATGATGAAAGCAGCAATTTGTTAAAAGTCACCAAGGCATCAGCTGAAGATTTTGACATATTCCACAACATGATTTCCATTCACTGCAACAGCCTTACAACTGAGAAGGATCTTCATAGAGTACATGCTTTAATACAAGAAATGTCACACCTTGAAATAATAAATATTATACAGTATGATGATCCCAGGTCTGCTGTAGTTGTTTTTTCACCTGAACATTGTTCAAAAGGTAAGATAGTGAAAACAATTGATATAATTAAAATACATTAGCGTCCTTTTGATTGTACACAAATTGCATTAATAAAATAAAAATATTTGTCAATATGCTTGGATAGGATTTTAGCAAAATTTGAGGAAAGTCAATTGTCACCTCTAAAATTAAATAAAAAGTAAAATTTATAAAATAAGAGAGGCTATAAGATACCATTTAAATCTGCTTCCCTTTATACTTGTTCTTTTGATGTTCTGCATCACATGCAACTAAGTATTGGTGGATAAAAAATGTGTATTACACTTCCCATCATTGTTATGAATATTGTATTGTACCTCACTGTATTATTTTGGGTTGCATTCAATCATATTTTATTCAATTGTATTGGCTTATAGGCCTACTGTACTGTATTGTATTATATATATCTTTATCTAATATTTTTGCATTTTAAAAAAGATGCAGGATTTATGAGGCTTAGAAGGGATGAAGGGTTTACAGTAGTGGGGTCTGAGACAACAAGGAGAGAGAGGAAGTTTTCTGGTAGAGTGAGGCATCTGTTGCCTATCTGCCATGCCTAATGTTATCCCATTTATGACTAAATGCAGTTGTTGTGCTGTCTTGATAGAATAAATTCAGTTATATTTACAGAATTTAGTGAATTATTTGCAGACAAATGATGATTTTGGTTACTATAACAATAACAATGCAACATACCTTTGCATGTTAAATTAATTAGACTAATCCATCTTTAACACTCCACATAGAGTCATTGTTAGTTTATTATGGTAATATGCTGAAGTTACAATCAAAGGTCTTTTCTTCATTCAACAGCTATTAGATCATCTCCTTTGGTGACTTAAAGATGTGCTACAATAATAATTTTATAACATTTAGAATAAAGACATCCTTATGAATAGTTTTTAATTTATTACAGGAAAAATTGCAGAGCTGTCATGGGATTGTTCTGTGGAATATAAAAATGAAAAGATCATAGTGGCACCTGTCTACAGAAATAAAATGGTTATTGTGGACAATTTAAATAAGAATACATTGGATGTTACCCTAGAGCGTTTTCTGACAAGCAAACGTCAAGGGGGACAACCAAAAAGTGTGGAGTCCATTCACAGGATAAATGCTAACTGTGCTATAGTAACTTTCAAAACTTATGAAGGTAAATATTTATCTTTATTATATTTGAAAGGGCAATCAGAGGTAGGGGTGGAGGGGAGTCTTATGGTTCAAAACTATTTAACATTCATTCATCCTCAATATCTGAATAATATTGAATTTGTTAAGCATATGAAAAGTTGATTGTTAGAAACCCAGAGAATGATTTTAGGTGCATGATTACAACTAGAACAATAAACTAAAAATAACTTACCATTTTAAAATTCCTGTACATAAGCTTGGTAGTGTGAGGTATTTTACACCAACTGTGTAACATGATTTTCCTGGGCAGTGTTTTGTCATTATTGTGTTAGATGGAGTGGGGTGGTGTGATTGATCAATATTATATAACTCTACTTTGATTTTCTATATTCATATATTTTGAGTTGGGATATTTTCAGAAATGGTATATAATATTAAGTGAGGTGGTCTTAGACAACATTTTATATCATTATAAGCTGGTAGATAAAAAATGTCACATTTTTGTGTTATAAAATAAGTGTAATATCCCTAGAAAGATTAATATGATGATAACATTTATATGTGTATACAACTTTTATTTGTTTAAGCTTTGGAGAATATTATTGCCAAAGGGTCTTACAAACTTGAGGGAGCAAATTTGGATATTTGTCAGTTTTATCCCTGTCTTAAACCGGACACCTTTGACATGCATTTAACAGAAAATGAATCTGAAAAAACACACCATGATGGTTATAAAAGACCAACAAATACATCACAAAGTGGTGAAGCAATAAAACTAGATTACTGTGAAATCAAACTGTTACAGCAGCTACACATATTTGAAGACCTTCAAGAAAACCATTCTGTAGAAATAACATTAGAGATTGCAGATAAAGAAAGATGTTCAACCTTTATTAAGGGGAGTTCAAGAAATACACAAGACGTAAAATGTAAAATATTAGAAATATGTAGTGATACACTAAGAACAGAAAAAATAGACCTGAATTTGGCACCACCTAGTGAAGAGCTGCTAATGTTTGAGGATGTTCAAGAAAAAACCAATCAGCTTCTTCAGGCCAAACAAATATCTGCATTTTTTGCTGGATTTAATAAAGCCTTTAAAGTTTGCCACAAAAAAGATGAGGATATAAAACAAGTATGCCAGTTAATAAAATCACAAGCGGAAATTAAACACATGGAACTAGATGATGAAATGCTTGGGATTTTACAATCTCCAAACGGGGAGAAGTTTCTAGATGAGCTGAAAAAGACAGATGAAAAACAAACTACATCTATCATAAAAGTTGATCGGAAGCAGAAATTCCTTTTAATTGTGACAAGAACAGAGCAGATGTGGCAGCTTGTTAGCTCAATTGAACAGTTTTTAGACAAAAACAAAATCCATACAAGAGAAGTAGAAATGCCTTATACGAAGAAGGCCTATATCAATAAATTTTGTAAAACAGAATTTGAAGAAATTTTGGAAAACCTTCAAAAATCAGGCACAGATGTGAAATGTGTTTCAAATAAAATAATTCTTAAAGGATTACTTGAGCAGCTGGAAATGGGGGTGACATATCTGGAAAACCTAAGGTCAGATTTAAGTATAATTTTAGGCTGTACAAAAGGAAATATTTTAGAAGAGTAGCTTAACTAATATTTACATACTTTAAATAACAGTTACATTGTGTTTCATAAATTGACAATTTAGTAGCAGATAAAAAAAATTAGGTACATTTATATAATTTCATTTTTTCTATTATAATATTTTACTAAATTCTGTCAATTTTTTAATAATCATTCACAACAAAGTTAACCTCTTTTTTAGTGATTCATTTGTTGCTGAAGAGACAGATCTAAGTTATGTTGGAATTAATCAGTTCCTTTCAAAACATGGGGCTAAAATTATCAAAGAGATTGAAGAGGATTATGAATGCATCATCTTGGAGAAAAACAAATCAGAAAATGAAAGAGATTCAGATTATCTTGAGATTTCTACTGGTCTAGGATCTTCTATCACTCCTATAGCTTCAGCACAAATGCACAATTGTAAAGTGATTTTTCTGCAGGGAAATCCACTAAATATTAAAGCTGATGCAGTCATAAGTTTTATAGATAGAAATGGCAACTGTTTAGATGATCCTGGGAAAGACATTCTCCTAAGAGGTAGCTTCTATTTTATGGAAATAATTAAAATAACAATTTTTTATTTATTCTTTGCTAATAACATGTATTTTAAATATTACCTTAAATATGTTTAGTGTTTGAATACATATTTATATATTTTTAGGAGGCAGCCAAATACAGAAGGAAATAAATGAAAAGAAAAGAGCCTGGGAGAAAATTATACAAACTTCAGCAGGAGAAATTAAGAACATCAGAGAAATATATCATTTAGTCTTATCATCATCAGACATGGACATAGAAGATCTTGTGGAACTTATAGTCCGGTGTTTGAAGCAAGCAACTGACAATGTGAAGTCCTTAGTTTTCCCAACAGCTTTGTTTTTCAGTAAGCTGTTTTTTTAAATGTGTTATTTAGTATCTTACCCACCAAGCTGATTAGATTAATATTAAATCCAAATGTAAATAATTTTAATAATTCTTCTTTTATTCTGTAATTGTTTTTTAAAACTGCATAGTTATATTTACTATTGATATTAACTGTCTAATTTTATTCTTCTAAAATTTTTATTTTTTCAGAGAAGTTCAAGCTTCCACGTTTCGCAATATGTTCTAAGATCATAACAGCATTGCAGAACTATTTCTCAGTTAGTGATAACCGCTTAGCAGAAATTTTATTCTGTGATGAAAATGTTGAAAACATCTCTGAAATGATGGATAGATTTGAAGCAACATTTGAAACTTACTTAGAAAAACTAGGAAATATCCATGAGGAGGAAAGTGCTAAAGGTAAAAATGACATCACTCTTGGTCATTTAAAAAAATACAAAGATTTGATGAACACTTTAAATAAATAATTATTTTTAAGAATATTTAAAAATAGATATATATTTAGACCTTTACAATTAATACAATGTTTATGTATGAAATTATAGCTGAAAGCAGAAAAAATCCCAAGTCTGCGAGAAGTAAAAACTGTTTTAAGTTTGGCCCAGTAACTCTCAAGGTTATTGGCGGAACTATTACTAAATCAAAGGTTTGAACTATTTCTCGTTAAACATTTAAAAAACTATACCTATATCACTGAACTAACTGCAAGCTAACTGTAGTGGTTGTTGGTTGTGAAATTAAAACAACTGGACGTAATGGTCTGAAAAGTTTCAGAACAGTTCCTCTTAAAAAAAGCTCAAAACTATCAGAACATTGCCCCTTGACTTAACTGTTATTTAAGTAGTCAGTTGTAAGATATCTCTTTAAGACCTGATTGCCAGATTAAGTAGAATTCAATAAAGGGATATTGTGATCAGTTAAATGTTCAGGTTATTCTCAAGTACCTTCAGAGCTGGTTACACTAAGAGATATCATAAAACTTCCAGTCCTGGATTTGAACTTGTTATTGAAACATTTTTTGACTGACTTTTTGTCAGTGATATAAAAGTAAAAATCTTTATTTTATTGAATGTTGGTTGTTGGCATTGTGGTACTTGATGTGTTATTTCTTATCATTTATTATTTTGAAACTTTCTAAAAAAATGTTTTAATTAGTTTATATGAGCTTTTTGCCATGTCTCCTCTAGACTGATGGTATAGTGACTACCATTGATAAAAGCCTTGATTTATCCAAAAGCAAGATTTCACAGAGTGTATTAAAATATGGTGGTCAGGAGATACAAGATGAGATCAATGATAAGTAAGTCAAGAGAAGAAGTTTGAATATCTTATCAATATTTTGTAATTAGTGTTTTTCTGAAGAGTTTAAAGGATTGCATGACAATCAGGTTTAGACAATGTTAATACCTTTTGTAGTACAAAAAATAATAATGATTTTAACATCAAGACATAAACATTAAGTTTTTAAGGTAGTTCATATTATTGTAGTAAACCATTTAAAAAATTAAAGCATACAATTTGTTGGTTCTTTAAGTAAATTAAATCTAAAGGCAAGTAAACATTGTAGCTACAGATTCATTTTTAAAAACAACATCAACAGTTGAGATGTTTTGAAAAACTTGGTAATTAAAACACTGTAAATTGTTTAGCTATAGCGCACCACTTGACCCCGGGGAGTTTGTTTTAACAGCCGGTGGTAACCTCGACACAAAACACATTTACCATGTCTGTCTGCCCAGATGGAGAGATAGAACTGCAACTCAGGTATAGGCCTATAATCTATGGCTATGTAAATATTTTTATTCATGTTTTCGATTTTGTATTTTGTCTATGTAAATTTATTACAGTCTTTCTTCAAATCACATGTAGATCAAATAAATAAGGTGATTATTTTTGTTTTTCAGTTTCTGTTAATTTTTTTGTATATTTATCTAATCTATGACTCTGATATTTTCTTACAGCTTACTGATATGTTGTTAAAAATACTGAAGTGTGCTGATGACAAGCAACTAACAACTATTTCTATACCTGCCTTGGGCATTGGTGGCATGCGATATCCTGCACGTACGTGTAATCTTCCTTTATGTCAACATGAAGAAACTACATCTTACTTTCCCATTAATTACTGTTACATATTTATGATTACGAAATATAATCATTTAATTTATGCATCAATATTAGCTTACATTAGTCATAATATTTCAGTGAAGATTAATGTAAACTATTTATACTTAAGAATATAGGAAAATTTAAAATGAATAGCTATGAGGAATTATAATAAAAACAGATAATTGAACTAAAAAATTAAAATTTAAGTTCATATTTAAATCCATATTTAAGTTGTGTTGACAAATATTAAATATTTTTCTCTACACCTAGAGGAGTCTGGAGAAGCTTTTGTTGAAGCTGTTAAAAAATTCTCCAGATCTAGTTCTAATTTGACCTCTATAACTTGGGTTCTTTATGCAAAAGATCAAGAAACAGAAGAAGTGAGTTTTTTGTTTATTTGAATATTTTATTTTTATTATTTAATAAAAAGCATTGATACTCATTTGGATTTACATATCTTATTAAAAATTAGTCAAAATTGCAAGAAGCCTTATTTACTTTTATTTTTAGCAATATTCAATTTATTTTCTATGCAATTCGTTTTCTAAAAGGATGTTTAAAATGTGAGTGCTCATTTTTAAATATGAAATGATGTCCTCAATTCATTTATTTTTGCTGCTTATTCAAGTAATAATGTCTATGTTTTCTTTAAGCAAATGTAAATTAGAAATTTACATTAGTTATTTTAGCTACATAACTCTTTAGGAAGTCTACAGTTTTGTTGTATTTTAATACATTTGTTGAATTTTATGTATACTTGCAATAAATTTATAAGAGTTAATATTTTTTTCCTCTGCAGACATTTATAAAAATTTTAAACTCTGAAGCTGAGGATGAGGATGATATTGAAGAACCTGAGCAAGACAGAAGGAGACTCAGTGAGTTATTACCTCAAAAAATTTTAAAAACAATTAACTGGATCATCAAAAAAAATTTTAATTTGTAATCCCATAGTCACATTTAAAAAAAATTACTTTAATTTGATTTAAAGAAAGGCAGGTAGCCATGCTTTGGTTTAAACAAAATATCTACACATTTTTTAAAAAGCCCAGAAGAACACCTCAGCAAACATAAGTTGAATCATTTTATTTGAATGGGTACTGTCCACAACATGGCAATTACAATTGCATTTTTTCGTTTATAATTTACTAACATGCCTGTTGCTGTGGTCTCAGAAGAAAGCTACATGGCCACAGGTGTACAGCCCCTGGCGCCGTTTAATCATCTATTGTAGTTTGCTGCCATGTCATTATTGTAGGATGCTCCTTAAAAATAAAGTCAGCACCATAGCGCTCATGGAAAGCCTGAGGCATCAAATTGCACCCTGCTGGGCACCTCCCCTGAGAAATTGAAATGTTTGTTTGCAAAAACCTCCCCAGGATTATTCTCAACAACTTCCCAAAATTTTATGGTGATTGTATGAAAAGTTTAGTAATGCTTAAATGACAAACATACTTTCATTTTTATATATATAGATTAAAAGTCAGAAAAATGTTGCATGGTTTGAATTACTCAGCAAAAAATTACATTAGTTGTATTTATACAACTTTACCATTAATGTACTGGCTATTTCAATCCAAGTTAATAATTGCTAAAAAAAAGTTATACAGAATATTTGAAAACTTAAACCAACCTGTGCCAAAAAAAGTGTGCATGTTGTTCTTAATACAATAAATTATAAATAATGACATTTAATAATAAATTATTGTCAAATTTAAAATTTATTTACTGCATTTTATACCTTCAGCTCAAAATCACAAGCTAACATTTGGATCTGTAACACTGTCTATTAAAACTGGAGATATTACACAAGAAAAATGTGATGCTATAGCAAACAGCATCAAAGAGTCAATGGATTTGGATTCCTCAGGTAAGTAGGTGCATAATCTAGCTGTCACTCTACATCAGTAATCTAAAATAATTTTTTTGGTATTTTAATGACATAATAGTATTCAAGTTAATTAAAAGAAACTCATTTTTCTCTTACTTTATACATGGTTCAATCCTGCATAATTTTATAAAGTAAAATTAAATTTTAAACCAGACTAAACTTATAAAATAACATTTCTTATTGACTATTTTGTTTTATTTAGAGATATTTTAAAAATTTATTTGTAGGTGCAGTGTGCAAAAAAATTCTTGAAAAATGTGGCAGATCATTTCAGGATGAATGCTCTGAAAACGGTATGAAAAAATCGCTTAGTATATAAATTTCTCAATACATCTTTACTTACTGTTGACCTAGATAAAACTGACAAAACTTGCAACTCTTTCAACAACAGCCTACAAAATCTGTCACCACTTTTCCCACTTCTTCACAGTCAAATACATTTTATTTACTCATCACACACAAAAGTCTCACATTACACACTTTCACATACTACAACACACCACTTTCACTCTGTAACATAGCGTAAAACAGTAAAAATGTAATTGTACAGAAATTTTCCTAGGAGTTTTTCAAAGATTTCAATTCCTAAAACAGCAAAATAGAATCCTCATAAACTTTTCTTCTTCATCATGCTATATTGAAGCTCAAATTACTGTGCTTGTGCTAAATAGTTAAGGTTTGCCTTTTGTAAAATTTAGTTTAGTTTTTTTAAGTAATGATGCCAAATACAATATGATGTAAGTAAAATAAAGTTTCCCTTTCAAACCTGACGGTCTATGGGGCAAGTGAAGTAGAGTTCACTTGTTTCTGTGACCTCAGCATATGAAGAGATAGTGTGGTCAGCAGTATGCCCAGCCGCCTTTACAATATAATGACTGATGTCAAATATTTCATAGCTAACTTGTAATATTTGAAAAATATGATTATTTTTTTCACATATAGGGTCATAATTTAAATTTAGAAAAAAAATTTCATTTAAGTTCTTATTTCCTGAATTAAGAAATGGACAAATATTCCAAATGTACAAGAAACCCATTCTGACAAAAAATCGAAATTTTAGTGATATTTTCATTAGCATATCCCCTTAAACAAAATACAAAACAAGACTATGTAGACTTATGCTTTGACAACACTATCACAAACAAACAGGGAAAGTGAGACCCCACCCCTGTAGACAAGTCCTGCCAGAATCATGTATATTTTATAGCTCTGTTCTCAGCTGATCAATCTGCTTTGAATTTATGAAAAACAGTTTTGTGATAACTAGTTGTTGTTGATTTTAATTCCAAAATGTTTATCTATTTATGTCAGCTATTTTTTTTATAAACACGATTATAGACCCAGAAAAGAATACAGTTTAAATATTCTTCTGTAAAACCATTTTTCACCAATTAACAAAATTATAGTTCCTAGAAAGGTATACAGTTAAAACATTCTTCTGTAAAACCATTTTTTCACCAGTTAACAAAATCATAATCTTAGAAAGGTATACAGTTAAAACATTCTTCTGTAAAACCATTTTTCACCAATTAACAAAATTATAGTCCTAGAAAGATATACAGTTAAAACATTCTTCTGTAAAACCATTTTTTCACCAGTTAACAAAATTATAGTCCTAGAAAGGTATACAGTTAAAACATTCTTCTGTAAAACCATTTTTTCACCAGTTAACAAAATTATAGTCCTAGAAAGGTATACAGTTTTAAACATTCTTCTGTAAAACCATTTTTCACCAGTTAACAAAATTATAGTCCTAGAAAGGTATACAGTTTTAAACATTCTTCTTTAAAACCATTTTTCACCAGTTAACAAAATGAAAGACAAAGGACTGGCTGTCACATCAGCTTCAGGTCTTCCCTGTTCTAAAATTTTCCACCTGAGTATGGATAGGTTTAAGTATGACTGGGGCAGTGGAGTCAGTTTAGTATTGAAAGAGGCAGAGAGAATTGGCATCCGGTCATTAGCACTGCCAGTGTTGGGTGCAGGTCAGTCAAGTGATTACTCATGCTTGTTGTATGATTTTGGGTTGGATGTTTGTTGGATGTTGTGTTGAATTTTGTGTTTCTTGAATCATGTGTTGAATTTTGTGTTTGTTATATTATTTTACTAATATGTATGTATTTGTTTTCTGAAAACGTTGGTAGAACTCAGATCAACATTTGGTTGTTGGGTTTCCAGCCCTAGAAAGATAGAGATTGTTTCTATAAGACCTCATTGGTACAAATGTATCAACTCATTCTATTAGTTTTATATCTTCCAATAAAATAAGTTTCAATAATATCAATATTCCAATATTCTCCTTTATTCAATATCTTTAAAAAACTATTAGATATGAATTTTTAATTTAATGAATTGTTTCACTTTAATCTAGTAATGGCTTTCACTATTTAAAATACATTCACCTTTTATTTTATTGCTGTGTACAGTAATCTGTTAAGAAAACACTTTGATCACTAGCATGTAAAATATAAAGAGAATCTCACCATCTGGTAACCGTTGAAATTGGATAAAATTTAACTAACAACGGCACAAATTATTGAATAAGCATATATTCAAAATTTACTCATGCCTATGTTTAAGAGTAAAGTATTCACACAAGTAATTAAAATTGTGTCCACTTAATTTAGTATATCTCAAATGAATTGAATGATTTTGAGTTCTGTAATATGCACATAAATCAGATACACCCACCATAATACTGAGTGAGTCATGGTGATCATAATATGTATAAAATTTATACAATAATTAAATAATTATTATTTTAAAAAAGCCAATCCATGTTATATTTGTTTCTTTTTATATTTGAGGTTAATAAAAAAAAATGTTGTGTTTTAAATACTGTGTTAACACTCAGCAATATTAATCCCTCAGAAATGTACTAAATATAAAAAAAAAATGTTTTTTGGAATCTATAAATATCTTCTATTTCTTTTTCAGCTTCTAAAAATGCAGATCTTTATAAAATAAAAGAATCACTTTTGGAAGCAATTAAACGATTTGGTGCAAGTAATCCGCAAAAGCTGAAAGATATTCGTTTAGTTGCCTTATCTAACAGAATTGTGGATTTGCTTGTAGAGAAACAGCAAATGCAAGGTATCCACAAATAATTAAATCTAAAAAAGACAATTTCTCATGATTTACTAAGCTCTGAAAATAATTGTAACTTTGTTATAGAATACTTTCTTGATTTGCAAAAAAAAAAATTTCTAATTCACTCACTTTGAACCCAGCTGAACATATAACTGTCTAAATTGTAAATATTCATCTAATCAACATATACTTATACTTTTTTAAATTTAATGAAATGGTTGATAAACTTACAGATTTAAGTATCTATAGTTAAACATATTACACATTTATTTTTTTACAGAACTTAATACATTGTGTTACACATAAATTATTATGTCTAAAATACTGTTCTTTTTACAATTTAGAAATTGAAGATAATTTCATACAAATGACTGTCATATCCAATGAACATGGTAATGTGAAGAAAGCTATCGAAAAACTTCAAAAGCAATGCAAGAAAAAATATTTTTGTCATGATTATTCATTCAAATTAAAAAACTTAACTCCAGAACAGGTAAAGATGATAGATATTAAAAAGGCCTATAATTAACATTCAATTGTAACTTTTATAGTTTTATTTAATTAAATCAAAATAAAATAATACCAATGTTTTTGAAATAAAATTACATGATTTCAAAAAAATTATGAAAAGTTTAAAAACTTATGTTTGTTGCTAAACAAGATAAATTACATGAAAAGAACAAAAATAAAATAGCAAATGTTTTTAATTTTGCAGAATCTGTAACTATTATCATGTAGTTAAAACTAATCTATAAAAACCAATTGCTAATTTTTTGTACATTTTTAATTCATAATAAACCTATTATTCAATCAATTTCAGTTATAAAGTAAAATAATTTGTAAATTCTTAAATTTCAGGTAAAAAAGTTAAAGGACACAGGCTTACAGCATTGTACGTATGTGACATTAAAGGCTGATCAAGTTGTGGTCCAAGGGTTCCCTGTCAGCACAGACGAAGCTCAAAAATCTTTCTTTAACTTTTTTATGAACATGCGTGAAGAGGCTAACAAGGAACCACCATTGCAGTGCAAATGGCAGTATGAAAACAAAGAAAGATGGAGAGACTTTGATGAGAAGTAACTACATTTTATTGAAGTTAAATTTTATTATAACACATTTAAATGTACAAAGTATGTTTTTTTTAACATCAGATTTTATTTTTGTAAAATGTAATTATGAAAATATATTTAAAAAAAGGCATTTTTTAAATCAATCTTCTGTATTAAGTGTTTAAATTAAAATAAATTCAGCAATATATTTTAATTTGCTTACCTTCTTTTTTTCTGATTGTTTAGGTATAAAAATAAATATTTATCATGTGTATTAAAAAGGACTGTTCAACTGTTCTACTAATTGTATTCCTCTATCTGCAGTATAAACAGGCAGATTGAAAAAGAGTTTAGCAGACAGTCATCATCATGTATAGTTAAAGATGAGAAAGGGCGATCTTTCAAGGTTGATTTTAAGACAATGGAGGAAAACTATATGCGAGGTGGTACACTTGTTACCCCTGGGTACCCAATTAGAAGAATTGACCTTAATGAAGGTAACGATTCTTTATTATCTATATATAAAATATTTTACTTTGCTAACATTTAATTATTAAACTATACATAGTATATCAATTTTAATAGTAGTATAAAAGTTAAAACATGTTTAATATTTATGGCTAAGTTATAATTTTTAAATTCAAATTAAAATACTCATGCAAACATTTTATAATTATTTTGCTATAATTTTATTATTTAATCATTTTATTTTCAGATGCTTTACCAGGTTCTTGGGGTGGTATGAGTAAGGATGAAAATGTCAAGCTAGTTGTGGTTAAACCTGAATCTAATGAGTTCAAAACTGTGGCCAAAAATTTTACACCCACAGGCAGAACTGTGAAACAGGTAAGAAGAGCAATCTATTTTTTATTTTTGCTATTTTTATTTGCTGTGGTCATATGCTAGAGGGGTGATGGAAACTTTTAAATCCTGGATATAATTTTCTCCTTTACTTGAGCATCTGATTTTGTTTTTAAAGTAAATAAATGACTTTCATTAAACATTTAATAAAATACCACTATTTGAGTTATTTAAACAGAAAAGTGATGGAGGAATAAAGTTAAATTATATTTGTGCAATTTAAAGTTAACGTTCAACTTATCAGTTGCTGTTTCTTATAATAAAAAATTATGATTATTTTTTTTAATATTAAAATTATTTTAAAATGCCATATTACATGTCAAAGCGTTATTGAATATAAAATAAAAAATATGTCTTAACGTTTTTACTAATATATTTTTAATTAATAAAATTTTGAGTGATATTTTGAAAGAATTAAATTAAAGATTTCCATGGAGTTGAAGTAACATTTTAAACCACTTTCAGATTGAACGAGTTCAAAATAAAAGCTTATACAGACATTATCAGTTGAAGAAAACAGAAATAACTAAAAGAAACCCACCCAAGCATGAGAATGAGAAAACTTTGTTCTTTGGAGCTCAGCCAGCCAACATCAACATCATCAACACAAATGGCTTTTTACAAAACTATGCCGGCCCAGGTTAGAATCTTCTAGTGTTTGTTTTATTTAAGAAACAAGGACAAATTTTTATAACTTCTCTTGCAAATATATATCAAGAATTTTTTTGTGTTGAAAAAATCTGATGTATCTTTTTTCTTATTCTTAGCAACACTTGGATTGGGTGCCCACTTTTATGTGAACCCAGCTGCTTGTGTACAAACCTCTAGCGCTGATCCCACCACAGGTCTGTGCAGGATGTACCAGGCCAAAGTCCTTGTTGGAGAGTCCACTCTAGGCCAGGCGAATATCAGGTCACTGCCACTGAAGAATGGACAACATCCGTACGACTCGGGCATTGACAATGTCAAGTCTACTTATGTCATTTTTAATGATGCCCAAGCTTATCCTGAATACATTATTTCATTTTCTTAAACATTTTTTTATGTATGTAAATGTTTATCAGACATTTACTTACTATTTTATCATGTTTTTCTCTTTCATATTGATATTCAGTTTATGGTTTTGGGCATATCCTTCACAAATTTTTCATTTGAAAATTCCATTGTTTTTAAAAATTCGAGATGGTAAATTCACTTTCATAAATGAAAATGATGTCATGAAAAAATTAATTATTCATACATTTATTTTTCATGTTCAAAATATAAAGTTTTTATTTTAAAGTCAGACATGTATGACACGCATTAGATTACTATGTAGGATAAATCACACAACCAAAAATAAACTGCCATAATTAATAATTCAGCATATCAATATTTTAATGTATTATAATTTTCTCTTTATTATCTCATTTTAGCCTAGTCATTTTTAGGATTTTATAATAAGGAATACTGCATTTTTTAAGATTTTATTTCAAATTTTATATACATTTGGACACTTATGCAAATTAATTCAATTTTAGACCGATAGTAATTATGATCCAACATTTAAAAACAAAATGGATTTGTTAAACATATAGTAAACTATTCAAAATAGGGCAGTGTTTACTAATAAACAAAAATCATTCTATTTTTGTTTGGGATAAAACTGAGTTTCTAGCACACCAGTTCTACTTTTCTGTGATCATCTGTTAACCTTACATAGACCAAATATCAGTTGAAGGCCTGATTAGAGATAGTAAATTTAAGCTTATTTATAGTTACAGGCTAAAGCTTGGTATTGGCAAAAAAATAAACCCAGCAAAAATGATTAGTTAAAATATGGTGTTGAATAGAAATCTGAGATTTTTCAATAATTTATGTACATTTGCAAGAGATTTTTGTTTTATTATTATTACAAACAACTTTGTTGTTCTATCGTAATTGCTAGCACATTTTTAAAATTACTATTATATAAAATTATCTACACTTGGTAAAACCTTTATAGGAATTACATTGTTTCTTTCAGACATTTTTCTATGGGGTGGGGGGTGGGGGCACTTGAAACTTTCTGGGGTGGGAGGGGTTGTGGACACTGGTTAAAGTATGTATTTCTATATAAATTATAGATTTTTCAATTTTAAATTTTGTTGGAGGCTACCCCTATCCCCTGTAGAGGGCCTGAAAGAAACTCTGTATTAATTTTTGTGTGCGTTTTTACGCCCTTACAGCTGATACTATCTGAATGATTCTCCAGTTGTATCCTGCAGTATTAGTTCAAATATCTACAGTAATTCCTTTAACCTGCAATTGTTGTAATAAACGAAAGCATGTTTTAACTATGGGTAAAAGCGTTGTTGTTGTGCGACTGTTATAATTTAGTGAGTAGTTTTGTTACTTGTATGTGTAATTTGTTTTTTTGTGAATTGTTCTAACATCGCTACAGAATTATGCGTGTTTTTTTTGTTGTTGTTGTTTTATGTGCTAAAATAAATAAGATAAATCGACCATAATACTGTGTTATGTTGATCACTCATAATGCTATAGCAAGTCACATGTTATAATCATAATATGAGAAGTGAAATATTTCAACATTTGTGGTGTAGGATATCACATATTTCAATCTTAATGATGGCAGAAGATGTGGTCGGGACGGAGTGCGTAGGATTAAGTAAAGTCTTTCAAACCTGATGGTCTTTGGGGCAGGTGAAGTAGATCGCGGCATATGATGAGATTATGTGGTCGGCACTATGCCCAGCCGTCTTTACTTTCCCATTAGGTACCCATCAGAGCTGGGTGGACTCCAGGGCGCTCTTCTGACTTGGACCCGGATTCTAACTCGAGACCTTCGGGTTAGTAACATACCACTCTACCGCTTAGGCTACGCCATCACACAGGACGTAGCATTGTTTTAGTTTAGTTTTGAATTATTAGGATTGTTCCTCAAATTAGAACCAGAGTAAGCGAAGCTATGTTTTTGAAAAAAGGTGTATATTGGATGGGTAAACTATGAAGATCAGAATAATCAGATATTTATTACTGAGGTATCCGCTGCTGTCTGTATTTTCTAACGATGAACGTGAGAATATCTGAGATTTAGTGACGCTATGTTTATATTTTGAATTAAGAATAAAAAAAAACAACTTTTATTTAACACATTACTGGGTGTTTATTAAAAACAAATATAAAAAGGCATCGTCATGGACTTCAACGATTTCTTTATACCAATCCCACAATACATAACGTGTTGTTGAACTGTTTTGTAATTTACCATGTGGGTTGCATCTAATAAACAATATCTTTATACCAGCCTTACAGCACATAACACAACGTTGTTTAAACTTTTTGTAATTTACCGAGTGTGTATTGTAGGCCTATCTAATAAAATACGAACGCTCATTAACAAAAGTATTCTTTCCAGTTCTCTTATGAGTCAGTACTAATGCTTTAAAAATAAATAAAAAATAAAACTTTTATGGGAATGATTAACCTAGAGCTACCTTGTGGTAGGGTCTAATTATGTTTAAACCCAGAATAATTTTTACATATCGTGGTAACATAGGCTGTTGAAATATCGAAATCATCATTAAGAAGAGAAAGTTAATCATAAACCGAACGATTAAAATGAATTGTATGAATTTTAAAAATAACGACACGTTATTAACTGTATTGGGAAAAAAACTCACAAAGGGGAGTTAAGGCTAACAATAGTAGGCCTACAATGTAGGGAAAATCTATTTAAAAAATTAGAAATGAAAATAGCCCATGTAAATCTATTTTTAATGTCAAGAGATGTAACATGACGCACAAGCTGCGTTTGTTTTTTGTCGAACAAATATCCTTGTCCGGATTTGATAGAACAATAGACTTTTGTTAGTTATAAAACTGTAGGCCGATGACTGTACACGACAGCGAGTAAACACCACCATTCTGTCTGGTCTTGTTATAAAGAGAGAGACTATTAGCGCGGCCTTGTTGTTATTGTAGACTAACATTAACACGTTATAGCATATTTTTCTACATCGCAAACATGAAGCTATTTATAATCCTATAGAAATGTAATCAAATATCCCACTTCTGCTTGCCTAGCTTGTTTCATCAACATCAATATACAGCAACGTGCTTATAAATATGCTGACATATGAGTAATTTGTTGAAACAAGTCCTAAAAACAATAGCAATCATAAAGGCAAATGCTAAAGATATTTTTTATTTTATTCACATTTTTAATAGAAACGAATACAATAAGCAATAGCTTTTTAAATGTCTTTTTCCTACATCAAGTATATAAAGTCGTGCGTTATATAGTCAATTGTTGGTATATATACAATTGTGTAGTATATACAATAGTCAAGTAGGACTAGCTGCAATTGTTGAGTATGTACAATCGTCTTGAATATCCCATTCTCTCGCATAATTTGCAACAAAACAGCAATATACACATTCGTCTAGCATACACCATCGTTTCATGTAGCTCTAAACATGTGTCTTATTTATACATTTGTCTGATGTATACAGCTGTCTAGTTTATACAGGTATTTCATGTATAGAAATGTCTAGTTTATATAGTTGCGTGATGTATACAATTATTTAGATTAAACATGTATCCGATCAGAGGCGTAGCGTGGGGGGGGGGGGGGCGAGGGATGCGGAACGCACCGGGTGACACCATTTAGGGGGGTGACACCAAGGCAAAAAATAGCAAAATATATAGAGAAAAATTTGAGGGGGGGGGGGGTGCAAATCGAAAGTTTGAGGGGGGGGGGTGCAAATCGAAAATTTGAAAGATTGTTCCCGGGAAGGGTCGATACGCCTCTGGGGGGTGACACCATTAAGTGCCGCACCGGGTGACACCCGACCTCGCTACGCCACTGTATCTGATATATACAACTGTCTATTTTATACATGTATCTGATGTATAAATGTGTATATTTTATATACAAGTTTTTGATAAGATTGTGATTTTGTCTGATAAGGACAAGTTCAAATACTTTTGTACGTGATTCGCTGACGTGAGACTTGTTCTGATGTCAACAAATGTAGGATTACTTTTTAAAGCGACAGAGCTGAGTACTTGACGACGTCACATGAGATTGTTGTTTTGTAAAGTGGAAAGCACTTCTTCCCGTACAGATGTGATGAGGGTTGGGAATACATCCGAGTTTGTGTTACTATTTTAATCTCAGATTCGGTGACTAGATCACGTTTCGAGATTTTCAATTCATCAAATCGACTCATCAACATTGGTGGCATTAGTTGTTTCTTTTTCGAGGGTTTATAAAATTAAGACAGAGATTGTGTTTTTCTGCTGTCTGGTTTCTATGTACATTGTGACATTGATTGTATTGCTGTAAAACCTGTATAGAATTTTTTGCGTAACAGCGTAAAGTAACAATTAACCTGGCTTAAGTAAGTAGAGATAGCTATTCTTTTAAGTTAACTTGTATATTAATTTAAATTCTAGATGTAAATAATAAAAAAGAATAAAATACAAACGTACAAACTACGTACAAAAAGAGTGAGCGTGTATTAATGCTAATAACGACAGTTATTGTAATTAAATATTTCAAGAAACATTAGAGTTACTCTCTGTATAAAATGTAGATTCCCTTGATATAAATTTATTCAGTTTCAAACACTGGACTACAGATTGGACCAAAAGAATGAGCGTCTTAACCAGCGATAGCATGTATTGGATTGTTCTTTTTTGTTTGATTCGAATTTCAATTTCATTTCAAGGTAAACTTTACATACCAAAAGATTGATACTATTAATTTACTAATATATAATATAATATTATATATATATATATATATATATATGCCTCCATATTTATATAATCTACACGCAGATATTTAAATGGGAAACATATTTTGTGCCTTATATTCAGCAGAAAAACATTTTGTGCTTGATTTTCAAAGTCTAAATGGCACTGACAGATCATCTAAAGATGAAATCCAAGACGCTTTGTGCCAGATTAATTTTGGTGTAAAGATCATCAGTTTACAAATACAAGGGGTACAGTTAACACTAATGATTATGTACTCTACTAACCTTTATAAAATGAGCGTACCTTCGTACTATATATATATATATATATATATATATATATATATATATATATATATATATATATATATATATATATATATATATATATATATATATATATGAATGAAAGAGTTCCAAATAGAGACTACTTAAAAATCCCTTTAAGAAAGCGAATTATGTTTCTGATTCAAATGTTGTCAGTAATGAACCAATAGATCTCTGATTCCTAGAACGACTGCAATGTATCGATCCACATGATCTCATGGTGGACTGACGACCAAAGAGATTTATTTTGTTACGTGGCTAATTCTTGTAACGGCAAGACTCAATGTTTGGTCAATCTCCGACAGTTTACCTGTAAAAAATCTCTCCATAATATAACAAAACTCAAAGTCAGTTACGATTGTTTACCTATAGGTAAGTCTGTTTTTTTGTTAGGTTTATTTTACGTTATGTTTATTTGTGTGACACAGACTAAAAACAGGTTAAGTACAGGTAGCATTGCACCGAAATATACTTGGAAATCCTTGAAATATATTTGTGAAAATATTAACCATATCATATTTTAAAATGCGTAATGTTTTTAAGCTATTTTATATGATATACATTTTAGTTTTCCTTTGGGCTTGTTTGCTAACCTAGATTAATCATTAGAATTAATTCATTTTTAGTCATTAGATATTTATTGGTTTTTAAATTTTAAATAATTAAGATCTTTATTTTATAAAATACAGAAGTTGGAACTTATTTTATTTTACAGCACCAAATGATTCAAATGTGTTTGACCTAGGACTCAGGTTTGAGAAGGAAATAGTTCACCCAGAAGTAACGCCACATTACCTGGTTCTGTATAGAAGAAATTATTCCCAATCGATAACTTGCTCTCTTGTTGTGGAGCCAGAAGCAGAGCTTAAAGTTTTACACATGGCGCCCCACACAAGTTTAGTATTTAATCTTTCTAGTCACACAAGTTATCACAGTGAAGAGGTTTCTGATAAATGTATACGATATTTTGTAGATGGGTAAGTCTCGAACAGTGGCGTAACGAGGTCGGGTGTCACCCGGTGCGGCACTTAATGATGTCACCCCCAGAGGCGTAGCGACCCTTCCCGGGAACAAATTTCGCTTTTCGATTTGCACCCCCCTCTCAAACTTTTGATTTGCACTCCTCCCCTCAAACTTTCGATTTGCACCTCTTAAAAGACTATTTAACACTCGAATTAATCACTTAATTAAGTGGAATTATCATTTTTCTCTATATATTTTGCCATTTTTTGCCTTGGTGTCACCCCAAAATGATGTCACCCGGCGCGGTCCGCAACCCCGCCCCCCCCCCCCCTCGCTTCGCCACTGGTCTTGAACATTATTGAGATATATTTTTATACCATAAGCGTCACTAGAAATCATTTTGCCCTCCTGTCCAATTTAACGCAAAATCTTGCTATTTAACTCTAGCCTTTCTTTTATCATTTGCCATCACCCTTAGGAATTAGGTTATACCTTGATTAGATATTGAGCTCATATGCCGTCGATCACTGAAGAATCAAAGCATTTCCAACCAGTTTTTAACGAGTATTAAGACAACAAAGCTTGATTCAAAATGTCAATGATTTCAAAAACGTTTCTGCTTCGACAACAAACCAAATTTTAAACACCTTAAGATAGTTGGGTAGATCAATATAAAAATGCCTCCATGTGCTTTCTACTATCCGCATCCTAATAAATACACAGAACAAATGGAAACTATTTAATTAGAAGTTTAGTTTGACTTAAGCTATTTTTAACTATACATAGTAAAGAACTGTGAAGCGTGTTGTTGTGATACAAGAGGTAATTTTTTTTAAAGGGAACATTTAGAAAAACGTCTTCTTTTCTTGTTGTGTAAGGGATATGTTTAACGTTATGTTTATCGTCCGGTTTAACTTTAGGTTTAACATCAGGTTTAACGTTAGGTTTAATTTCAGGCTTAACGTTATGTTTAACGTCCGGTTTAAAGTTATTTTTAACGTCCGGTTTAACGGTAAGATTAACGTTAGGTTTAACATTAGAGTTAACATTAGGTTTAACGTTAAAGTCAACGTGAGGTTAAACGTTAGAATTAAAATTAAGTTTAAAGTTATGTTTAACGTTAGGTTTAACGTTAGGTTTAACGTCAGAGTTAACGATAATACGGATTAACTCCCACGTTAGTGTTGTAGTTAGATATTGTTAACGATAATTTGTATTTTCTCTATATATTGGAATGTACTAGCAAATAATCTAACAATGTAACGATGTTGATGTTTTCCTCTGTTGGCCTAGGGTGCAGATCGTACATAAAGTGACGATTAAAGCTACAAAAATCGACGGCCTAATATGGTTACAACTTAATAAAAGTATGGCTTGTTTAACGATTTATCAAATAGTTCACCTAACTAAAGACCTTTAAAATATCTATTGTCTGAAATGTTTAATTTGTATAAATTTGTATACTTTGTAATATAATTAAAAGTCGTTGATTAGCGCTATTTTCATTTTTTTAATATAAAAAGTAATCCACTTAAAAACTATATTTAAAATAACTACAAATGTCACATTAACTACTTGAAATATAGGCCTAATTATAAACGTTGATAAAAAAATAGGCTGATTAAAACTTGTGTTTTTTTACTTAGCAAAGTCATTTAATTTAACCTGCGACCACAGTGACATCCAGACAACACCCTCTCCTACTAGTAAGTAAATTATAGTTAGGCTTATTTAATTACTCGTATTACTGACTTAATGCCTACATGTGCTAACAGTTCGATCACTGGCAGAATAAATACGACACCAGCAGTACGCACAGTTAATTAAGTTCAATGCCTGACATATACTTATAATTAAGCACTTCGTTGAATCATATTCTTATGCAGTAGCGTAGCGAGGGGGGGGGGGGGGGACGGGGGGGGGGGGGACGGGGGGGGGGACATATGTCCCCGGGCGACGACCTTAGGGGGCGCCAAAATGGGTTGGAAAGATAAATTGAAAAGTTGAGGGTGGTGTAAATCGAAAGTTTGAGGGGGGTGCAAATGGAACTCTCGATGGGGGGGGGGGGTGTAAATCGAAAGTTTGAGGGGGGGGGGGTGCAAATGAAAATCACGAAGGGTGGGGGGTGCAAATGGAAATCTCGAGGGGGGGTGCAAATGGAAAGCTCGAGGGGGGGGGGGGTGAAAATGGAAAGCTCGAGGGGTGGGGGGGTGCAAATCGAAAAGTTTGTCCCCGGGCGCCGGGAAGGGTCGCTACGCCTCTGTTCTTATGTTAGTGTTTTTGCCGTGATATTTTGGTATCTAATGTATACATTAAATCTCGAAAAAAGGAAAAAATAGGGTTCGAGTAGCCTGGTTGGGGGTTAGCGTTCTGGGCATAGAACACATCAACGCCAGTAGACCTATACATTTACAGCGAGTTTGTTCATTACAGTATGGTTGTTTTATTTTTATCAGTTTATACGACAACATTACCTGAGTCAAGTATAGCAACAAAATCAACTACAGCAACAAAACCAACAGAATCAAGTAAAGTGACGACATCAACACAATCAACTATAGCGACGGCATCAACACCATCAAGTACAACGACGACATCAACACAATCAAGTAGCCCTATAGCAACGACATCAACGCAATTAAATATAACGACGATATCAACACCAACAACTATAGCGACGACATCAACACAGTCAAGTATAACAACGACACCATTACAATCAACCACAGCAACGACATCAATAGAAAAAGACATATCGACGGAAACAACGACAGCAACAAAAACGACAGAACCACAGGAAGCTTCTAGCCAAACTACAATCGTCGCTATAGCTGCAACAGCTGGGCTACTCACGCTTGCTATTTTAGTCATGTGTGTGCTGTGCTTTTACCGCAGGTAATGCACTCAATGGTTAAAGGCCTTCGGTTACCATTAAGCCAAGTATTCTATCACCGGAGATGGTGTAAAAAAATGAATTGCATGCTTCGTTACATTTTTTGAACTATCAATCCCTGACCCCATCGCCACGGTCAGCATCGTTTTAAAAGTCTAAAAACTCACTAATGGTAGATGTGTAATGAACACGAATAATAGTGAATTATAAACAGTGTTTCTTCTAGACTTTTTTCTCCGGGGGGGGGGGGGGGCACTTGAAATTTTCGGGGGGGGGGGGGGTAAATTTTTTTCGGGGGGGGGGGTCTTCGCCCCCCCCCCCCCCTCTCCCTTCCCCCCCGAAGAGATGCCTGGGAGAAACTGATTATAAAAGAGCAACCAAGAAAAAAACGTAATTGTAGTCACGAAAAAAGGAAAGTACTCTTTCGATCATGAAGGTTCATAGGTATGTTTCTGTGACCTCGTCGTTTGCACATATAGTGTGGTCAGCACTATGCCCACCTGTTTTTACTCCCCTTAACGTTACCCATAAAAGCTGGGTGGACAGGGATGTTCTACTGCCACGAACCCGGGATTCGAACTCGATACTTTTGGGTTAGTAGTCGTATGCTCTACTATTCGACCTCCCTTTCCCACAAGTTTTCACGATGTCATGTTTAAACTAATGACTTCCAGGTGGTCCGCGCCGTTCAAGCGACTCAGAGACCCACGAGACAGCAGAGTCAAGTTCCGTCACAGACAGCAGCACTACAAGTGTTACATGGAGTATGACATTATCGACGCCTCTGAGAACAATGACACGGTGAGTCAATTTTAAATCAGATGCGTTTTCCTATCTGTTAAAACACACATTGTTAACGTTTTTTTTTGTATCTTTTAGATCACTCCTTGTTAACTTTTTTGTATCTTTTAGATCAGGGGTCTCCAAACGTTTCAGTCCGAGGGCCGCATTAACTATCACATTTCACTTCGAGGGCCAGTTTCTTTCAGGCATGTCTAGGATATTTCTGGGCAAATATCCTCAGCCATCACCAACAAACGATTTTTCCTTTGACGAAAAGATCTCCGCGGGCCGGATGAGAGGACTTCGCGGGCCGCATCCGGCCCGCGGGACGCAGTTTGGAGACCCTTGTTTTAGATCACTCCTTGTTAAGTATTTCGTGTCTCCTAGACCACTCATTTTTAACGTTTTTGTATTTGTTAGACCACTCCTTTTAAGTTTTTCATGTCTGTTAGACTTAGACTGTCCGTTCGTTTTAATGTTTTCGTATCTGTTCACTATGTGATCACACGTTTATTGTACGGACAGACAGAACGTGAGCATAGTCAAGCACTGGTGATTAACTACAGTGAGAAAACTACAGACAAAAACAACTACTTGATATTTACAGACAAAAAACTACAAAACATCTACAAACAAAAGCTATTACATGACATATAAGACATAAAACCTCACATGACATTTACAAACAAAAACAACTACATGACATCTATTCTACAAACAAAAACAACTACATGACATCTATACTATAAATAAAAGCTACTACATGATATCTACAAAAAAAATTAATCTACATTTCATCTACAAACAAAAGCAACTACATAACGTTTATTCTACAAACAAAAACAACTACATGACATTTACAATAATAAACCGGGAGTGATCTCCCCTAAACTTTCTCGAATATTCTTATATAAAATAACAGGGGATGGGAACTCGGGCTATAGACATGATTTTTAATCTATTTTAAATACTTAAAGTTTTAAAAATAGAATAAAATCTCGTAGACAAATTAATTGACCAAGTGAACGCTAAATTTAAAAAGTGCATAATAGTGCGCAATATTATTAGTACTTTAAAAATTTACATTTGTTTTTTGAGAAATCGGAAGTAGCGTAAACTACTACTTCCGGTCAACGGAAATTACTCAAAATTTGACAGAAGGTAGAGAATTAGATCTTTTACTTACATGTGAAATTTCATTTATCTATCTGAAATAGTACTCAAGTCATAGGCTTTTGAAAAATTCAAAGTAGGAAAAGTACCACTTCCGGTTATCGGAAATCGCTCAAAATTTGATAAGGATCTACGATTTTGATAAAATACTTATATATGAAATTTCATCAACCTAGCTGTAACGGTACTCAAGTTATCGTGTTTACACACGGACAGACAGACAGACACACAGACACACAGACAGACACACAGACATACGGACAAGATTGCAAAATTATGTTTTTCCGTATCAGTGAGGTGTAAAACGTCGAGATTTGCAAAAATCTCGATTTTTTTTTTTGCACGATTACAATACTTTCTCTATACTTCGTATATACGAGAAAGTAAAAAACAACTACATGACATCTATTCTATAAATAAAAGCTACTACATATTGAAATCATATAAAACTCATTAGGCCTTGACTTTAAATTCCTCTATTCTTTTAAAATAGTTTAATATATTTTGCTTTTGCAATTATTTGTTTTAAACTAATATCTGCCGCGATTTTCCCCCTCCCCCCTCTATCTAATAAGTCATCAACAGACAAATTCGTCTCAGTTTCTGGAAACTTCTCCGCCCTGGGGGATGAGGATTACAGCGTTATTGAAGACGATTTATTACACTACTCGACACCCTCAGACCAGGGACCCACCAACCCGGGACCCTCAGACCTGGGACCCACCAACCCGGGACCCTCAGACCTGGGACCCACCAACCCGGGACCCTCAGACCTGGGACCCACCAACCCGGGACCCTCAAACCTGGGACCCACCAACCCGGGACCTTCAGACCTGGGACCCACCAACCCGGGACCCTCAAACCTGGGACCCACCAACCCGGGACCCTCAAACCTGGGACCCACGAACCCGGGACCCTCAGACCTGGGACCCACCAACCCGGGACCCTCAAACCTGGGACCCACCAACCCGGGACCCTCAGACCTGGGACCCACCAACCCGGGACCCTCAGACCTGGGACCCACCAACCCGGGACCCTCAAACCTGGGACCCACCAACCCGGGACCCTCAGACCTGGGACCCACCAACCCGGGACCCACAGACTCGCGACCCACACTCCCTGGACCAATCGCCCCAAGACGTACTGTATTAGCGCCAGCTGGTAATGTTTATTCAGCCGAAGAGAAAGTTGAAAAACAAGGGAGCGTACTGATAAAAATTGACGGGCGTGAAGTGTCGTACTCACAGTGCACGGTAGCTTCCCCTGAGTTAAAGGACAAGAATAACAGGTACCAAAATAAAGCTTGTTATGTTTTAGCTCTTAAATGTCGGTGGTCATATGATAAATGTACCATTTCAATCCATTACATCGATGAAGTAGAGTTCATCTTTTTCAATTATCTGAAAATATGAAGGGATAGTGTGGTCAGCAATACACTTGGCTGCCTTTAACTTTCCTTTAACTTACCATATTCGTATTGTATTAGCATGGCGTGTTTTAGTGTATACTGTATAACCAAAGTACTGATGTCAGTCATACATCCTTTGAGGAAAGCAAATTTTAGACCTTTAGATCCATGACCTCTGCTTGTGAAATGATAAAGTGGTCAGGACTAGACTCGGCCGCTGGTCAGACACAATGGTTTAATTAACTACGCCAATGTTAGTTGAACACGTCGTGCAACCCTAACCTCTCTGATAAATTCATTGTTATCCTTTCAACAGTTCCTCTGAAGAAGAGACGACCTCTGACCTTTACACGGAGTTAACGAAAGACGAGGACTACTCACACCTAGAACACACAAACCCGGGCCGAGCACTCACCGAACACGTATATGATGGATAGATTTTTCGAACGTTTTTTTTAATAAGCTGAATGCTGTAAAACTATTGTAAACTAGTTTGATAATGGCTATACTCAAGGTTGGGTGCTACACCAAATCACATTTCGTTATAGTCTTGCACATCCAATGAAACTCTACGCCTATGCTAAAAATCTTTTAAAATTGTTTCAAAGACTTGTGTTTTTGGTTGTCATAGAAACTACAGCCATATTGGATTTTGGACGATTCTTTGAAAATGCTAAGGCCCCGTAAACCCTACTGGGAAATACGCTAACAATCATAATTTTTATAGGACAGTGTTAACTGGAACTTTCTTTTAAGTATATTGTGGAGAAGACGGGGTGGTCGAGGGATTGAGAGTTTTACTGCTGGCCTGTAGGTTCTCAAATTCGGATCTCGCGATGAAATTGTGACTGTTGTAAGACTTCCCTGAGTCTACCCGGCTATGATGGGCAACTAAGAGACCTCAGAGATAGTTAAGGCGGCTGAACCTACTGCTGATCTTCATATGCTGAGTTATAGAAACATGTGAACTCTTCCTTATATGCCTTATGGAACGTTACGTCTGAAAGAGGAATCTATATATATATATATATATATATATATATATATATATATATATATATATATATATATATATATATATATATATATATATATATGTATGTATATATATATATGTATATATATATATATATATATATATATATATATATATATATATATATATATATATATATATATATATATATATATATATATATATATATAATTCTCTTCTGTAAGCGCGCCTTGCAGTCCCCTCTCTTCCTCTCTAGGCATATCGCAACCACCCCCATCCCAACATGGTCTGGTGAGCTGTGGTACACGCTAAATGTTTACAATTGTAGAGATGGATTTAGTTACCGCTATTCGGGGCAGATAATTTAGTTTGAAACTATTTTAAACTTAGGGGAGGTAACTAAGAGGAGGCTGCTTTCGAATTACTGAAAAGAAGAAAATAATACAACTAAATAGCGGCGTATGATACGCTGCGGGTCGGCTCGTATTACTTATTTATTATGTGAAGAACGTGTTGAACATTTTTTACATTTTTTTTATCTAATAGCTTGTTGTAACAATCTTGAATGTGTACTATTTGGAAATTTTGAGTCCACAACATAAAAAGGAACAAAAATTATAAATAGAACGTATACGGTGTTTTATGTTCATTAGAGCTATAATGAGGCTAAGTTTCAGTTCGATATATGAAGAACAAACAGAGAAATACCAAGTTAAAGAGTAATGTCAATTTGAACAATAAAAAATAAAGCAATACTTAGGTTTTGAATACTTTATTTTAGAGATTATCTGGCAATGAAGTTTTGAAATTTGAAATATATTTTTAACGTTAAATTGAGCAAAAAAACAACATAAATATCAATTGTGTTAATTATGCAAAAGTGAAGAATTTAAATAGACTTAAATAGACTTTAAAAAGATTAATACCAAATCCTATATGTTTATGTTATTGCGCATGTCTGTCTTTAAATTTGCAACTGCTAATTTTTTTCTGCCATGAAGCATTTTCTTTTCCAGATTTTCGTTTCGAGTTTAGGGGTCGGCGTGGTCGAGTCGGTAAAGCTAATGGTTGCTACACCGAAAAAGTCTCGAGTTCGAACCCGCGGGCAGATGAGGCCCGACACCTGGGGATAGCCACTCTTCTAGGAGAGACAACTCCAAAATTAAACAACTGCTGCCTTGTAGTTTGTTCTTGGTTGGACAAAGGCTATGGAAGCAAATCCAAAAAGAAAAGCAGGCTGAAATCGGAGTCAATGGCCTCAATGGCGCATAACCAGTTGACACGTAACGCTTAACTGTGTTGGAGGCGTGGTCGAGTCGGCAAAAAGCTCATGGTTGATAAATTCGAACAAAGTCTCGAGTTCAAACCCACTGGCAGATAAATCTCGATCCCCTTCAACACTAATAGTTAAGAACGAAGAAGAAGAAGAAGAAGTTTCGAGTTTTATACAATTTTTGTAAACATTGATGCTATTACTTTTCCAAATAATTGATTTATTTATATATTCATTTGTTGTGTTGTTGCTTGTGCACTGGGTGAAAGGAAAGTTCAAATCCCAATGTCTACTACAGTGGCGGAACTAGAATAAAAGGGCCACCCCGCAAAAACAAATCCTGGCCCCCTTATATATATATATATATATATATATATATATATATATATATATATATATATATATATATATATATATATATATATATATATATATATATATATATATATATATATATATATATATATGACCGACCTATGGGAGGCGATATTGGCCAATGCGCGGATTGGCCGGCCAATCCGCGCATTGGCTGACTTCGGGCTTTGACCGTAACATATATATATATATATATATATATATATATATATATATATATATATATATATATATATATATATATAAACATAATACAAACATTGGATACTCATTTCTAGCCTGATCGAGTTTTGAAATATTTTTTCTTTCAATTTAAACAAATTACAACATGTCACGTGTGTAAGTGCATTAGTCTGTATTTTTTAAAAAGATTTAGAATTAGTCTATTCAAAATGTTTGCTGTAATACTGCCTACCCGCTAGTTTTTAGCCGGTCAAAAGAATATAAAACGTGAAAGCTTTGTATGTGTAATGGTTTCTCTTGTTACGTTTTTTTTTATGTTTTTGTTTTATTTATATTATTTGTTTCAACTATATTTCCTTTTTATGCTATGTCATTCTTTAGTATTAATTTCTTAAAGAAATAATTATTAAGAGAAGTTATTGCTTTTCAATTTGTTTAGTACACATATATTAAAAGGCGCTTAGGAGAGCCCCTATTTAACTATTTAAAAAAGGGAAATAAGTCACGGAAGTGTTTTGAACGTTTGCTTATCTTTCACACTACAGCTCATGCATATTTTTTTTTTTTTACAAAACAGCATGTGTTAACTACTGTATAGCATGACTACTGTAGTAGATCTGTTTGTTATTTACAAAAGCTTTAACCGTCAAGTAAAAAATGCAAGAAAATTATTTTTTTAACTATACAAAATTTATTATGGTCGGCTATGGGCCCCTAAATGGCGTGCCCCCCCCCCCCCCCCCCGTATTGTAGTTTGTCTCCTGGTCTTCTATCAGTTTTGTCAAGAATTTTTAAAAATTCAGTTTTAAGTCCTACTTTTTTTCACCAAAATCTACTGTTTGTATACGAAAACACAATCTTAGGTTAACTTTGAATCTTTGATCGATTTTTCCCTCTAGTGTCACTATTTTTTTATGATTGATCTACGATGTACCGAGGTTTATCGTCGAGGAGAATTTTTAAAAATCAATTTTCGCGACTGGTCAACTAAAAATAACTAGTTAGATATACAGAGAATAAGTACGGAAAAATCTTTTCGAAGCTTGGCTTCCTTTTTTTAAAAAAAATGCAATGTCTATATAAGGAAATTCGATCTTTGGTCAGCTTTTACACATTTTTAACAATTTTTCTCGAGAGTGACACAACTTTTCCGGCTGTAATAGGGGTATAAAAAAGTGGGACAGGCCACAAACAATTAAAGGGCCAACAAGATGGAAGAGGAAACAGCACAACACACGGATACAAACTAGTGAAGGGCCAACAAGATGGAAGAGGAAACAGCACAACACACGTATACAAACAATTAAAGGGCCAACAAGATGGAAGAGGAAACAGCACAACACACGGATACAAACTAGTGAAGGGCCAACAAGATGGAAGAGGAAACAGCACAGCACACGGATACAAACAATTAAAGAGCCAACAAGATGGAAGAGGAAACAGCACAACACACGGGTACAAACTAATGAAGGGCCAACAAGATAGAAGAGGAAACATCACAACACACGGGTACAAACTAATGAAGGGCCAACAAGATGGAAGAGGAAACAGCACAACACACGGGTACAAACAATTAAAGTGCCAACAAGATGGAAGAGGAAACAGCACAACACACGGGTACAAACTAATGAAGGGCCAACAAGATGGAAGAGAAATAAGGACAACAACACACGGAAATACAAAATCTGAAAACCAAAGAAATTTTCTCAATAATAATAATAGCATTATTTGTTAATATTTCAAAATGGCGCACAGAAACTTCACAAACTTAACACAACTTTTTAATAATTTTCTTTATTGTTTCTATTAATTTTATTCCATTTTTATTATATAATTGCAAAGTTATTCAAATTTTAAATCTAAAACATTATGATGAATTTTAAGAAATAAAACAGCTCTCAAGGCATTTTTATGGACTTCATTTTTCTCCAATAATTTTTCAGCCTTTTGTATACATGGGCTCTAGATACGGCACGACAAATCTGAGGAGTGAAATGTTGATTGAAATGTTAAATCATTTACATTTATGCAGAAAAGGAACAGGGTATTACCTCCCTTCCGACGTTAACTATCCCTCCCCCTTTTTTCCCTGTGGAAAATGGAACTTCATCCGGGTAGAAAGGGGGGGGGGGTTATAAGGGGTGTTGATGGGGTAGGGGTGTGATAACATTATGGATACCGCACTAATTATTTATTACTTTAACTTATGTGGATAAAAATAGTTAAATAAAAAGTAAGGGACAAAAAAGAAGGAACTATCACATAATATTTAATAACAATGCAGATATAACTAATGCATATTCATTAAGTTATCATATGGAGAAAATGTGTTGGCCTACTTTATAAACTCTTTCAAAGTGAGATTGGTGTCACCGTCGTTATCCATTTTTTCACGCAATCCTTTGAAATCTTTGTCGTCCACAAACGTGTCCTTGTTAACATCGTAAACTTGAAACAGGTTGGTCGGTATTATATCTTGGGCATTAGAGAAATATTTTTTAAACACTGCAATGTACTCTTTTAGGTCAATTTGCCCATCTTGATTTCCATTCTTATCCGCTTCCTGTTGGGATAAAACCATTATAATATTTGTAATATTCATGCATAATGTTGGTTGTCGTGTTTTGGATGGTGAACAACACAAATTAAACACAACTAGCCGCTGTTTTTAGTTCATCCACTCTTGTTATGTCCAGATTAGGCTAACTCACTGCTTGCACTATGCTTGCACTATTTATCAATTTACTGATAACAACAATTACTTTAACTATATACTTTTGAATATGACGTAACGTGTCTTAGTAAATTATTATTTAATTATTTGAAAGATTTTTTAGCGCAATTTCCATACGGACAATTGCGATTATTAACTCGTCATTTCTGGATGGATGGATGAATGAATGAATGAATGGATGGATGGATGGATGTGTGTCCACAGCTTTAAGTCGTATCTCCTCCTCAACGAAGCAATATCGAGGACTAGTTCTAAAAGCAAATATGTTAAGCAAGTTCCGAGGATGATAGTGGGCTAAAAAATTCCCGGAATTCCTTTCTGGATTTCCCGGAAAAACCAAAAAAACCTCGAACAAATGCAGTTTTTGGCCCATATCTCGGCAACCAGACCACTTAGCGACTTGAAACATCTACCAATCGATTCCTGCCATAATTTAAACCAATATTGCCGAAGAAAGTTTTCAAAAATATCCTTTCGTTCGGTCACAAAAAATTAATTAAGAACATTTAAACTGAGCATCGTGTAGGCCTAGGACGATATTTTAAACTGAGCATCGTGTAGGCCTACTCGTTAAAATCCGTTGATATTTTCTATTACCCCCTACACGTCCGCATATTTTTTAAAATCTCGTTAATAAATATTTTTTCTATTTTGTTTTGAATTATTAAAACTACGTGTGTTGCATTATTTATTTGCTAAATATATGATTTATCTCGATTTAAAATTGTTATGGACACATAAGGAAATTGCGCTTAAATTGTCACTAGACTTTTTATTAACTTGTTTAAATCTACAATATCCTTTTTTTCTTGTATGTATTTTAGCCAAACAAAAAGTTATGTTAGTTTTGTACCACTTCAAATACAGCAATTTTATGGTACATTCATCTCCGAAAACAACGCAGGAATATCTTATTTATAACCGACCTGGATACTTAATTAGTCATTAAAAGTACATATGTTTTCCACCTGAGTGATTACAACAGACGTTAATCAAGGGGAGATAGTATTAGTTCAGCCTTACAATCGCCAACCACTGATCGGAGTTTTAAGCAAAAAAATTTAATTGTTACGTACTAATTGTTTTTGAAAACTTATGCATGTAACGACGGGGGGACAATAATTAAATAATGGGGCATCAGTCCGTATCTTGTAGACACAGACAAATTTATCTAAATCTTTGTCTATAGAAAAACTATAATTAACTACTAATCAAAATTTATTGCAAAAAAGTTTCAACCAAATGTTTATAATAGAAATCAGCAAATTTACTACTTAAAGTACACGTATCATTTAATCTCTTTATACAAAACATAACAACTTAACAGAACACTCAATGAGACATAGCAATCACTTTTACTAAACAATTTTCAACTTTCCACATAGCATACTGCCCATACTCAATACTTGACCAGACGCTCTAAAGATGAGAGCGACAAGTCGTCTAGACCTGCCATAGTCGACTAGACTGAATTTCGTGATTTCAACCGCACAACACCCACTTAAACCACACGCAGCGCACCAATAAATAGTCCCGAAGACCCCATCTCCTAATACAATACAGAATAGTACAATTAATAAAAAGGGAAAAAAAACCCCTTACACTGAGATTAAAACTTTCACAAAATCTGGATCAATAAGACAGCACAACTTCCACATAAAGTCATTAATCAACAAAAAAAAAAAAAAAAGAAACAACAATAAACCGCAATTAAAAACATAAAGCAATTAAATAAAAAATACCATCGAATGAGTAACCAGAAAATTGTTAAAAACCTTTCAATGCACAAAAAATAACAACATAAAACAAACATTGATAGTACTTGAAATCTCTTCATAATTTAGAGACTCATGTTTTATTAAATGAATCACGCTTGTTTTTGTTTTTCATGTTAAGTGCATTTAAAGCCTGTTATATGTTTTTTTAGCTTTATATGGAGCTTGAGGGTTTATACATATGCCTTTATTTATTATTTCGTAAAATCTGTAGATAATATAAAACTTAAATGTTTGATTAGCTGAGGTTGATATATTGAATACAATTTGTAAATTGAGTCATAGGGGTCATCCATAAATGACGTCACACTCGTAGGGGGGAGGGGGGGGTCCGTAATTTTGTGACGATGTGTGATGAGGGGGAGGGGGGGGGTCAGATGTTGCGACGTCACATTTTTGCATTATAAAAAAGCAATGTTAGAAAACGAATTTTAGACGTTATTTTGCGTTTTAGATAACTGTTTTAATAAATTGTAATAGTTTAGACAAGATTTTGGAAAAATATCAATGTTTTAAAAAATTCAACTGCAATTTTGAGGGGGGTTGTAGGTTGAGGTGTGACGTCATTTTAGGGGGGGGGGGGGTCTGGCTTTTTGTTACGAAGTGTGACGGAGGGGAGGGGGGGGAGGTAAAAATCGTCAAAAAAAGCGTGACGTCATTTATGGATGACCCCATACGCTGGTAGAAAGTTATACTTACATTTCTAAAGCTTTAGCGGGAAACTGTAATCTAATAACTAAACAAATTAACAGTAATGTGTTTTATTTTAAACCAAATACGTTGCCGCGGTAACGTTACTTACCATTAGAGATATTTTCATCTCGTCCTCAGTGAGATTGCCGTCTTTGTTCGTGTCTGCAGCTTCGTACTCTTTTGTGGCTTCATCCTCTGCCGGACCAGCTAGTGCTAGTGCAGGAATCAGTAACAAAAGTAGAAGTGGCGTCTTGTCCATGGTCGTCTACAGGAATCAACGGGAGGTTTCCTTCGTTACGTACAGCTTGGTTCAATGGTGTAAAACTGGTTGAGCTCGATGTTCCGGTGTTGTAGTATAATAAGGCGTTGTGTATTCTATATATTGTCGTAGAAAAATGACTGTAAAATGAGTGAATATCTTTTGAGTTCTTTGATTGGTTCATTGGGATTAATTAGCATGAAACAAATTCAACGGTTAATTAATCTCCTGCACACATGAGTGCAAGAGAAGAGAGACGTTCGTACTTGCCAGGTGCACCTTTACAGTCAGTTGACTGCTGTCACGTGGTTACTATCACGTGGTTACTATCAGGTGTTTACTGTCACGTTGAAGCGATGGTGACGTGGTTACGGTTACGTTGTTACAGGGTGCATGTCGCATGGTCTATGGGCTGGCGTTTGGTCAATAGAAATTAAGAGCAGTATCAACAGTGGCGTGAATAGTATGGGATGGTTAGAGTGACAAAATTAGAGTGACATGGTTAGATTGTCGTGGTTAAAGTGACACAGAATTACACAGAAAAAGATGTGGAAAACTGATGTTATAGTGTATGGTTAGAGTGACATAATTAGAGAGACATAATTAGAGTGACATGTTTAGAGTGATATGATTAGAGTGATATGGTTAGAGTGAAATGGTTATAGTGACATTGTTATAGTGACATGGTTAGAATGTTATAGTTAAAATTGACATTATTATATTTACATTTCTAAAACAGCATCTTTAAGGTGACGCAGTAACCGTTAATGTGGTTAAAATGACATTGTGTTACAAATACAAGATTACAGTGAGATGGTTAAAGTAAGATGGTTAGATTTACATGGTTACAGTGACGTGGTTACAGTAATGTTGTTACAGACAAACTACACTCTTGTATATTCTGTTTGTTTGAAAATAAAACTATAGTTGCATATCTAATGCAGCAGAACAGCACCAAAGGATATTTTACCGGACATTAAAGAATGTACCAGCATGTACCCAGTTAGATGTATGCTATTTGCTGTAGTAAATAAAAGCTCAACCTTTAGTTCGGATTGTGTTTCAACTCTCCTGTTATTCACGATTGAGTGATTAGTGGGTGATTCAGCTGAGTGAATGATGGTGTGATGTGTATCAGTTATTGGTGTGATGTGTGCCTATTGGTGTGAGGTGTACGTACTGGTGTGATGTGTATGTAGAAGTGTGATGTGTACCTACTGGTTTGATGTGTACCTACTGATTTGATGTGTACCTACTGGTGTGTTGAGTACCTAATGATGTGTACCTACTGGTGTGATGTGTACCTACGGGTGTGATGTGTACCTACTGGTGTGATGTGTACCTACTGGTGTGATGTGTACCTACTGGTGTGTTGAGTACCTAATGATGTGTACCTACTGGTGTGATGTGTACCTACTGGTGTGATGTGTACCTACTGGTGTGATGTGTACCTACTGGTTTGATGTGTACCTACTGATTTGATGTGTACCTACTGGTGTGATGTGTACCTACTGGTTTGATGTGTACCTACTGGTGTGTTGAGTACCTAATGATTTGTACCTACTGGTGTGATGTGTACCTACTGGTGTGATGTGTACCTACTGGTGTGATGTGTACCTACTGATTTGATATGTACCTACTGGTGTGATGTGTACCTACTGATTTGATGTGTACCTACTTGTGTGATGTGTACCTACTGATGTGATGTGTACCTACTGATGTTATGTGTACCAACACGCACAGCATGCGATATCTAAAGGCTCTATTCCCTATTCACATTTCGCCGTTTAACTACATTTAAAACACATGTTGCACTATTTAACCATTGTGTGCACTCAACACTCGTTGCATATCTAATGCAGCAGAACACCACCAAAGAATATTTTAACAGACATAAAAGAATGTACCAGGATGTACCCATTTTGTTCTATTCTTTGTGCTGTAGTAAATAAAAGCTCAACCTTTAGTTCAGATTGTTTTTCAACTCTCCTGTTTGCCTATTGGTGTGAGGTGTAAGTACTGGTGTGATGTGTACCTGCTGGTGTGATGTGTACCTGCTGGTGTGATGTGTACCTACTAATGTGTACCTACTGGTGTGATGTGTACCTGCTGGTGTGATGTGTACCTACTGGTGTGATCGGTACCTACTTGTGTGACACACTTAGACCTGCGTCATACAGAACCAAGACCCACAGACTGAGATCCACAGACACACACACACACACACACACACACACATATATATATATATATATATATATATATATATATATATATATATATATATATATATGATTCTTGAATCCTCCAGTAACATAATTAATACATCACAATATTTTTTTTACTCGGTCTTACAATACACTTGTGCTACAAAATTAGCTTAGGCTTAAAAAACTTACTAGGTTTCCATAAAAGCCAATTTAAAATATTTAACGTTTTAAAAGTTAATACGAAAGGTAGTGTGCCATTTTCTTTTTGTGCAGAGAGTAAACGGTATTGATGTTGGGTAATGGGATGGTCCGTTTGTACGACCAAAGTACATTATGTATGACGTTGATACACGCTGTTATCGTCATACTCCATGGTATAATGGTATATCTGTACTACCTGTTGCATAGCTTAAGAAAACATGTAATTCATATTTCATATAAATATTAAGTAATAGTAAAATGTGAAATATGAGTAGATTAATTAAGATAATATTTATAAAAGGTTAAGAATACTCATCAAAATATGAAATAATTTCAAAATCAAAAAGTACTTTTACGATTAAAAAATGTGAAGTTCTGTGAAATTTAGTTTGATAACGTGTTAGTTTCCTTTAAATTGTTGACATAACAAGCGTTGTTTTTAGTTGTTAAATTGTAATGACAGCTAGTTTTAAGTCTGTTTATTCTATTACTAAGTTGGCAATTTACTTTTATGTATAGACGCTAGGATTCCGTTAGCTTAATAAAATAATCAATATGATAGATGGATATTTTATGTAAGAATCTCGACTCAATACGAAGGTAAATGAATTATTATTTTAAGGAAACGATGATGGCGTAGTTCGTGTCTAAATATGTAAGTGTTAATTTAATCAACAAATGCTTCAAGACTCCCTGGGTGCAAGCATTGAGGTGGAACCCTCAAGGAAAGTGCAAAATACATCGACAAAAAAAAACACCTGGCAACCGGATCTTGAGTCTAAAACCAAAAAGAGGGACTTCGCCTGGAGTCAGATTGACATGGCACAGGACAGAGGACTCTAGAGATCTTTGGTTGGCGGCCCATACCCCAGCAGGACAGAGGACTCTAGAGATCTTTGGTTGGCGGCCCATACCCCAGCAGGACAGAGGACTCTGGAGATCTTTTGTTGGCGGCCCATACCCCAGCAGGACAGAGGACTCTGGAGATCTTTTGTTGGCGGCCCATACCCCAGCAGGACAGAGGACTCTGGAGATCTATGGTTGGCAGCCCATACCCCAGCAGGACAGAGGACTCTAGAGATCTTTGGTTGGCTGCCCATACCCCAGCAGGACAGAGGACTCTAGAGATCTTTTGTTGGCGCCCATACCCCAGGAGGACAGAGGACTCTGGAGATCTTTGGTTGGCGGCCCGTACCCCAGCAGGACAGAGGACTCTAGAGATCTTTGGTTGGCGGCCCGTACCCCAGCAGGACAGAGGACTCTAGAGATCTTTGGTTGGCGGCCCGTACCCCAGCAGGACAGAGGACTCTGGATATCTTTGATTGGCGGCCCGTACCCCAGCAAGGGTGACGTGCAGTGATGATGAGAAGTGTTGGGTACAGTAGTAGTTGAGAACAGCATTGTACAAGTCAGGCTATGCTTTGATACGCCCGGGCAACATTATCGATTCAGAAATAAAACCAACTAGGCTTACATCTCTCAATCGATTTTTATGTATTGGTTACAAGGGATGCTGGTAATAAAAATGATTTTTAAATCGTTTCTGCTAATTATCAGTTGTAAGCTTACTTTCTTTTCTTTAGCTCAAAAACACGAAAGCCAATTATCCGAGTTGACATTTATATTTCCAATTTAAGATACGATTTTTTAATTAAACGGCAACGGAAAATTACCATGGTAAAATCCAAAAACAACTCGAAAAAACACAAAATTGACTTAAACTGGCTTTTTACGCTACTACATACCGTTTTTCAGAAAAATTATATTATAAATGTCTAACTCTATTACAATCAATATTAAATTGCAGTTTTTAAAGATGACGGTTTTAAGAATTTTATAGTACAGAAAAAAATCGATGTATGCAGTTTAAGTCTTCTGTAACAATTTTATTAAATTGCTTAGTAATAAAAAAATCGACTTTCAAATTGTATTCACCCGAAATGTAAAAAAAAAGAATCGATTTAAAAAAAAAATTCTGAGCTTAAGTTATATAGTACAAAAAATGCATATGATAAATATTTCTACTGTGTCTATTTTATCTTTAGCGACGCATAAAAAATCTAATTACATTTTGTAAAGTAATATTTGTAAACAACCTAATCAACTGCATTGTTTGAAATTCGTATTTTTCTACATAATTTTTTTTCTAAAATACTACAAAACGTACTGTAAAAAGCACTGGGTAATAACTGCTGATATAACCTGGATATATAGTCTAGCAAAACTATTCTAAATTTGTGTATTTCGAAATTGCTTCAAGTAAAATAAGTTTTATTTTGAGCAAGGGATTTTATTTGTTAAAGTAGCTCAGTTGTGGTGTTTAATATTGTTCTAGACTTTAAAAGTTTTCTATTAAAGGAAAAATATTTTCAAAAATTAATCATCTCAACTTTTTATTATGTCTGTGAATGTCGCCTCAATTTCAAGTCTCCCGTTAGATCAATTGATTTCTAAACCATCTGGCCCTGTGTATGATATTTCTGATGAAGTTTTAGACATTGTGTATTTCTGTGTGGGCGCCGTCATCGTTCACGTACTTTGTGTGTTGGGAATTGTGGGAAATAGTCTCACGATTTTTATCATGTGGTGTCAAGGTCTGAATGAATCAACCACCATACTCCTCACATGCCTGGCTGTCTCCGATCTACTGTTTTCGATTACAGAATCGTTCATGATGTTGACAGCCGTGATACAACAGTTCGACGCGATCGTGTCTGAAACGTACGACAGTTACATACAGGCCTACATTAAATTGTGGGACTATTATTTTTTTGGTACCAGCCTCTACTGTGTCGTGCTTATCGCCCTTGAGAGGATGATCGCCGTGTGGTTTCCCTTTAAAGCTGGCATAATTTTCTCACCGTTCAGAACCAAAGTCATAATCGCCATCGTATTCACTCTGCTATTCTTCGACCATGTCCCGTATCAACTGCAAAATTGTGTTTTGTGGGTGCATTTAAACACTACGGACACGTTTTACGCTAAACGTGTTGATTGTCACATATACGACAGCATTTTCTTTAACTATTACGAGAAAGCAATAATTGCTTCGACGATAATAGTCATACCAGTAACGGCTGCGACTTTCTCTTCTGTAATGATCGTAGCAAAGCTTGTTTTATCTTCAAAACAGGTTAGAAGCTTGTCAGCCCTAGCGCACGCTAAAAGGATCAGGGACCTGAAGTCGATCAAAATCACGCTGACTCTCTGTATTTGTATGATGCTCATTGTTCTCATTCCAACTAACATATTTTTATACTATCTTGAATTTGCCGACTACCAACCATTCACTGAAAAAAGTTGGAAAATGATTTTGGCTTTGATAGAAATTATTTATCAAGCCAATGCATCGATTGGCTTCGTGATATATGTAACTATGAGCTCAAAATTTTCAAAAATATTGAAACAACGTATTTGTCATATAAACTACAAATAGAATATTACGAAAGTTTGGTGGAGTGGAATTTGATGTATGATTTTTAAAGATTAATTTCCAGTAAAAAAAAACAAATAATAACGAACTCGTGTTTTTGTTTTGCATAATGTGTTAGTTATAAAATAACTTGTAAATCCATATTTTGTATTTCTTTAAATTGGTGTAACATATTATGATTAGACTCACACAGTTTTCCAATGTATTATTTTCACATTAAGTAGATTTTTAAAGTTACTTTTTTTTACAGTCTAATATATTGAAATAGAAATGTACACCAATCACAAATGTCTCCAATCCTCCCTGACACCAATCATCACTGTCTCCAATCATCTCTGTCACCAATCATCACTGTCTCCAATCATCTCTGTCACCAATCATCACTGTCTCCAATCATCTCTTATCCAATCATCCCTGTCTCCAATCATCTCTGACACCAATCATCACTGTCTCCAATCATCACTGTCTCCAATCATCACTGTCTCCAATCATCACTGTCTCCAATCATCTCTGTCACCAATCATCACTGTCTCCAATCATCTCTGTCACCAATCATCACTGTCTCCAATCATCTCTTATCCAATCATCCCTGTCCTTATAATCTCTGGCACCAATAGAAAATACATCTAAATTTTATTTACGCTTATGGCTGAAAACAAAATTAGGATTTATTATGTTTTCAAACACTTCAACCAATAAAAATACAGCCGATATTGCAACAGCTCTCTATAACAGCATTTAAACGAAATGAGGCTGAACTGCGTGTTTCGTACAGTATTGCGTTATTTATAGATACACTAGGTGAACCGCACCATTTTGGCAAACAACTAATCCTTCCTTCTTTAAGTGAAGTCTTCTTCTTCTTCTTCTTCGTTCTTAATTATTAGTGTTGAACGGGATCGAGATTTATCTGCCAGTGTCAATTGTTTATGCGCCATTGAGGCCATTGACTCCGATTTCAGCCTGCTTTTCTTTCTGGATTTGCTTCCATAGCCTTTGTCCAACCAAGAACAAATTACAAGGCAGCAGTTGTTCAATTTTGGAGTTATCTCTCCTAGAAGAGTGGCTGTCCCCAGCTAACGAGCCACATCGAGAACTCGAGACTTTTCGGTATAGCAACCATGAGCTTTACCGACTCGACCACGCCGACCCCTTTAAGTGAAGTAATACACACTATATTACATAAAACGTATTTTTCAAACATAGCTAGCCAATATTTTAAGCACAACGCCACTTACTTGTGTTACATATCAGTAGATGTTTAGTTTAAAACTTTTCATTCATTTCTAGATATTACAGACAAATTATATAACAATATAAGCAATCAGTGCTTATTTATTTTTTTAAATATGTGTGTAGGCTTGTGGTATAACGAGTTGAGTATAACGCTAGGGCATAACTATTGGTTTCACGTAAAGGCCAAATACAGTTGTTAACAGAATTGATTAGTCTTATAATATAATACCTTTTTTATTATTAAGACGTAAAGTAATTAATTTGTGTTACGTTAGTTTCATAAAACGAAAAAAAAACATTACATCATTTTTTTTTCTTAACCAGTTAAGTATCATTGAATTTGGTATATTATTACAATTCTACATTTATCTATTACTATTGAAAATGTTGGTTATGAATACGAATAAGAAAATATTGCAAAAGTATTTTGTTATTGCATTATGATTGGATTCATCATCAGCATCATCATCTGCCAGTTTCCATTTGGGCACTAGTGAGTGCCATTTCATTCTGCCTCTAGGTATGACCTCTGCCTCTAGCTATGCCCTATTCCTGTTGGAGAGTTGGGCCTCATTACTTCAGCACACTTTGCATTCAATTTCTCCATGTATTTTCTGCGTCACGTGGTCCCCAACAATGAGAAGTCCTAGCCAGTACACATAAATATGTCCAAACAATCCTCATCGTGTGTGTCTATTTACTGATGCTCATGGTTGAATGAGTAATATTTTTAACTCCTCACTTCAAATGATGTTAGGCCAGATGATTCTCAATACTTGTTTCAAAAGCACTAGATTACAAGAAAAACAAACGCAAATCTATCGATATATATTTTTCTATTTTTTTCGTCACATCCGAAAAATAAACAAATAAACCTAGACACTATTTCAACTACTTTTTAAAAAAAAATCTGGTTGCCTCCCATGTTATATTCGTATTGGAATATAAAATAGTTTTGTACGTTTTAAAATATCAAATCTAATGGTGAGCTTTAAACAAACAATTCCTGGGGATAAGGTACAGCACAAAATAAATGTCAGTGGCTCTACCGTCCAATGAAGGCACACAGCAAACAGCAACACATACAACTTGATTGATTCGCATTTTGTTGGATATTTTTCTCTTTATTCTGCATACAAAGAAAAATACATTTATCAACTTTTTATTTAAAATATCCATAAATATGAAAGTTCGGTCTGATACAATGAAAACTAAAATGTGACTTTTAAAAATAAAAATAAATACACTTTAAAAAAAGATAATTAAAAAAAATGTTTCATTTACTTAGAAAAATAAAGAACGTATTTACATCTTTATAACTGAAAAGACCTAAACGCATATAATTTTCATAATTACATTTATTTCATCTTTGAAAAAATTTCGCTTTCAAAAAATTATGGGAAAATAACAAGTCGCATCAACAAGTCAAAGTAATTTTATTGATCGTCTGTTGTTGTCCACGCAAAATTACTGTCAAATTAAAGGAGACAATCTTTTCAACACATATCCTAATCTGTTTATTATTTTAATAACGTCACATCTCATCTATAAACTGTCATCAAAAGTAAAGTTAAAATAACAGCATCAAACGAAAACGTTTTTTAAAAATCAAATAATTATTTTCACTTCATAAAAGGCCAAGCAAACGTTTAATCTGGTGGGAAAATCAATACTGCAAGTGTTTATTTTGTGATATTTTTATCCCATTTCCTGTTTCTTCATTTAAGACTGGTCGGAATCACGAATAGTAAAGAAAATTTAATAACAGAAAACATAGCTAGCTTAGAGGTGAAAGCATTGCAATGGAGCTCTTCTCAAACACAACAACCGTTGCTCAGAAATCAACTATACAAGACAACTTCTCACTTGAGGTCACCGTGCTCGGCGTCATTCGCGGAGTGATCTCCCTGTTTGGTATCATCGGGAATTCATTAACGATACGGACCTTTGTCGCCATGGGACTTAAAGATGGCGTGACGCTGTCCTTTCTATTTCTTTCAATCTCCGACTTGCTGTATTTAACTTCCATGCTTGCGTCGACGGTTTCGTATATTTTTCTCAGCGTTGAGCTACTTCGTAAATACAGCATCTACTTCCCAATCGATCCCTACGGAGTGAATATTTACTTCTTAAACTGCGGGAGTGGCCTGTATCTCAACACGACTCTAACCATAACCTTTCTCTCTATAGCGCGTTGTCTCAGCGTCGCTAAACCTCTATGGTTCCGAAACGCCTCTGGGAAACTAAAAATAACGATTATCTTTATGATCATTAGCTCGTCCATCTGCGTGGCTTTAAGTATACCAACATTAGCTCTGATGGGAATCATTCCTAAAGCTGATTCCAAAATCAACGGAACCCGACCAACGCTTTGGATTTCGCCGTTAAGAAAACTGATCACCGCGATAACGTGGCCAATAGGGGGCTCTGTGATCCCGTTCTCTGTGCAGTTTATTCTCATATTTTGTATCGGGGTAATGACGTTTTATCTGAAGAAAGCCTTACAATTCCGCGAAAAATTCACGCAGGCTACAACACTGAAGACGACGGATGAAAACGAAAGTACGGAGAATGAAAAAGTCGAGGCGAACAAAAGCGTCAAGTTGAAAGGACGAGAACTCCAAATCGTGAAACAAATGTTGATCATCTCCCTTGTTTTTGTGACGTGTAACATCCCAAAGATCAGCGTCAACACGACCATATTCCTCGTGCCCGAGTACTCGATAGACGGGGCCTACGGCAAGTTGTACGAGGCGTTTGACATGGTCAGGAACACGTTTCAAGTCATCAACTCCAGCTCCAACATTTTTGTTTACTACAAGTACAACTCGAGGTTTCGGAAATTGTTTTGGAAATGATGTGAATATAGATGTGTGAAGGTGAAATGTTGAGATGGGGGATAGGAAGGTGGAGGGAAAGGGCTAAACAAATATTACCCGAGATCAATGTTTTATGTGTTACAACATTAAGCTTGATGAAATACTAACGTATCTGCAATTTTATAACGTCTCTGAATGACATGTCTAATATATATATATATATATATATATATATATATATATATATATATATATATATATATATATATATATATATATATATGTGTTATTATTAATTCTGTACAATGACGTAGTATTTTATATTTTATAATTTTTACAACAGTTGCATTTCTTTATAAGGATAATATATGATGTAAGCTTAGGAATATTTTGGGGTAATGTTTTATGTAAATTTTACATTTATTTGAATACCATGCGATGGAGATATTGATGCTAATATCATTGAGGTTACCCATAGCATACTCGCCAGATTCATGTGCTTGTCAGATGTTAAAAGATTTAATTTAATGATACGGTGTTTTTTTCCCCTGCTTGAATTTTTATCAATGTCTAGGTGTGTGTGCGTTGCACTGTTATCAAATAACAGACTCTGTCATGTTGTCTTTCATGGTCTCAGATGTTTTTTTGTATCGCTGTTAAAATTTGTATCTCTTTTTGTCTCGATTTTTAGCAGTATCTTCCGAGTTATTGTCTATATTTTCTCTCAAAAACATATTATATCAAAGAAACATTCTTAAGAAATTGTAACAGCTAACCAATTTTTAAAAATACCCATTTATTCCAATAGCATTTAGAAAACTAATAAAAAAACTAATTTATTTTGATGAACGGAGGGGGGGGGGGGTTAAATTCGGATCCCTAGACTGCTGCCATATCAGCCTATAAACCGCAACCGCCACCGCTTCCTAATTATTAATTTATTCAAACCAGATCACATAAACCATATGTGATACATGGAAGCGGCCCTGGCGTTAAAATATATGACTTCTATTGTTATGAACAAATCTGAAGTATCGACACTTACCATTTTCTCATGCTGACAGGTATTCACATCTGCAACAAGTCCATAATTCTCTTATAACAATTTTACCCCCCCCCCCCCCCCCACCCTTCCACCTCCTTCCCCACCGCTTTCTAAACTGAGAGCTGTACAATAGAATCAGCTGTTAGGGATGCGATTGTGGAACAACATACATACATTTTAGTTGTAAATATTATATCTGTAAAATATTACATGACACTGGCCTTTCGCGTTTGTTAACCCTTCGTTTCATATTGTATCAATCTTGCTACAAAGTGAAATAACCCTTACTGAATGTACACAAATGTTATAGTGATGGTAAATTAAGATGTGGGTTTGAGTTGTTATATAAGATAATTAGTGTTGGAACAGCGTGAATAGAAAGAATGTTTACATAATGTGTTTCAAGGGGAACAGAATAAAATATTATGAATGGTAAACATCTTTTTTGTAACATCATTTAGGTGACAGTTATTGTAATTAACATCTTTTAACAAGCGTTGATTAAATCAGATACATTTGAATGTATCCATTATGTGGTCTTGTTGTTCGTCATTTATGTAGTCACGTCTTTTTTCATGTATTATTTCTATCTTTACGTCATCCTGCCTGTCTCAGTTGCATATTGCAAACGATGTTTCACAGGTTTCTATCGAAACTTCCAAATTTAAACATCATCCCCAAACAAAAATAAACACTGATTGAAGGAGTCTTGTTTCTGGTGACTCTGTACGGATTGAGTTGGGCTGCGTTGTAAACATTATTTTAGATCGATGAATCACACAATTTGACATAGATCTATAAATAGATGAGGGAGATGTTATGGCTAGACATTTTGATGTATCGTTGGCGCTGTGAAAGTAAAAAAAAATGTTGTTGTTCGAACGTCAACGCCATCAATCAACTCTACCAAAATCACCAACGGTGGATTGAAACAATAAAGAGATCTATGGTTTTAATGATGTAGTGCTGATATATTTCTCTGTTCTAACAATCCTAATATCTATCGAACTCACAGTAACAACCTAGACAAGACTTAATATTTAGAATACTCACAGCAACACGGACCTTACGAAAAATCCTTCAGACGTGCACACAATTTCGTCGTCAAAAACATTTCTTCTTTTTTTTCCCTTTTACACTATTTGTTCGACAGCACATAATCCCATACCCCAACAAACGTAGTATAAAATCTTCATAAAAAGGAGAATAATCTGGAAAAAACGTGCTTTAAGTCCAGAAAGTTTTACTAAAACATCATGTACGTATTGTTATTTTAAAAAATTCCGAAAAGAATAGATTCGAAAAAATAACTTATAAGCTAAATAATGGTCGCTTGAATAACAAAGTGAGAATTATTGGTTTCATCAATCACATTAATAGCAGCAGTTGTATCATACACACATACATTCATTCAGACACATATTTACAAAATCTAAACATACATAGTGTATGAAGAGTCACAATTATAATCGTTTTGCACATTTTCTGAATTATTTTGTTACTAATTCAAATATTACTACAAAAACCGAAAGGACAACCACAGAACACGAACACTGGAAAATCATTGCACAAAACACAACTAAAACCACAGTAAAAAATACAACTAAAAGGACAGTTAAAAATACAAAGGAAACCCACGGAAGACAAAAGCTACCATCACATATTGCCGTATATGGGCTGTGATTGGTCATCTAACGATGACACATTCCCATAGATGGAGCTATCTGTAATGTTCCCATATGTGGACAGGTTCCCGTAAAGTTCCTGACCCCCCTCTGTCTGGCTAACACGAGCGGCTGTGGGGTCGGGCGAATACGGATGGCTTGACCGATCGTCTACCCCCGTGGGTGGGGTAGAACCAGGGTCATTAGTGTCTCGACTTCCAGCTACTTGTTTAGTGTGAATTCTTCTAACTGTGGAGGCAGGAAAAGTATCAGAGTATGTTTTGTTTACATAGACTTATGGTACACATTACAAGTAAACACACTACAAACCATCTGTTAAAACCGCAACACAACACACTTTTTGAAAAAGTCATTTTAACCCGCCACTAACCGTCAAGAGCTGGATTTGTTATGAAATTGCGGTCAGATTTTTTTATGAAGTTGCGGTCAGATTTTGTTATGAAGTTGCGGTCAGATTTTGTTATGAAGTTGGGGTCAGATTTTGTTATGAAGTTGCGGTCAGATTTTGTTATGAAGTTGCGGTCAGATTTTGTTATGAAGTTGCGGTCAGATTTTGTTATGAAGTTGCGGTTATTTTTTTTCTCCTATTGAACATTACAAAGTCATTTTTTTGATTGCTTTTTCTAACCTACTCCAACCCACGGCACTTACACTAACCTTGACCGTGACCACGATCTTTATCTTAACCATTACGAGAATACAAGTATAAGACATTGTTTTAAAAAGTAAAGTTCCATTTTCAAAATGACGGTCTACAGGGCATGTGAAGTAGAGTTCACTTGTTTCTGCGACCTCGGCATATGAAGAGATACTGTGGTCAGCACTATGCCCAGCCGCATTTTTCTTTCCCTAACGTGATTTGGGTACCCCTCTGACTTGAACCCGGAATCGAACTCGAGACTTACGTCCCACTCCGTCCCTAAGACATGGCTTAGCCACATATATTCTCTATTTAAAACTTACTGTCTAGAGATTATATTTGTGGGCTGGGAGACATTTACCTGCCGGTTCTAGGTTCTCCTGGTCACGTGATAATCCCTTCTCATGCACGGCCAGCTGTGTGAGCTCCGCCTTGTCACGTGTTGGTCTCTGATTCCTGTAGTGGCAGACGACGGCGACCACAATGGTCAAGCAGACGACCGCTATTGCAGCGACACCTACACCTATGGCAACGTGCTGGTAGTTGATTGTGGACGGTTCTGAAACTGGTGAGAGATGTTTTACGTTACTGAATATGCTGATAATAAATAGTTGAAATCAACATCTTCAATCAAATATTGCGAAAAACGAATAGTAAATAAGAATTTGAAAATTTATGTTTTGTCACAAAAATGAATTAAATCATTTTAGCGACCAACGCGTTACAAATATAATACTTTTATCAGAATATTATTTTGTTTAATTTGTATATCTTTAAAATATTTTTAGCGACATTTTGAATACAAGATTTAAAATTTTAGTTTCCTAGTTTCATATACTTTAGACACAAGCTTGAAAGCAAGACATTTTAGTTAAGTCATTAAATAAAAAGGGAAACAACCAAAAGTCTTAGTGTTGAAACAGAACTTGGAACCAAGAGGTTTAAGAAGCAGACAGCAGTCTTGGAAGAAGGTGGTGAGGCAGGCAAAGACCTCAATGGGATTAGATCAAAGGGGCGGTCAATAGAAGGTTTATTTTTTTTTTATTTTTTTTTCTTTTGCATCAGACATGTAATTTACAGCGTCAGTTGCGTGTGTTCGCTTTAGTATTACAGTTTTCATCACCGGCTTGTGGGGACTGATACAGATTTACAATAGTAATATTTCTTTCTTCCTTGTAGCCTACTTTCATTCAACAATGTTTAATTAAATTTCCTTTGCAACTCAAGTTGTCGAGGGTTTAGTAGTAGAAAACAATACTCCTATAAATTATGTTTTAACGATTGAATAAACTAAAGTTGGTATATTCCAGAGCTTACCATCCTGTTTGACTAAACTAAAGTTGGTATATTCCAGAGCTTACCATCTAGTTTGACTAAACTAAAGTTGGTATATTCCAGAGCTTACCATCTAGTTTGACTAAACTAAAATTGGTATATTCCAGAGCTTACCATCCTGTTTGACTAAACTAAAGTTGGTATATTCCAGAGCTTACCATCTAGTTTGACTAAACTAAAGTTGGTATATTCTAGAGCTTACCATCCTGTTTGACTAAACTAAAGTTGGTATATTCCAGAGCTTACCATCTAGTTGACTAAAGTAAAGTTAATGCTCCTGTAACTAATATTTTAACAATTTAATAAACTAAAGTTGGTATATTCCAGAGCTTACCATTTAATTGACTTAACTAAAGTTGGTATATTCTAGAGCTTACCATCTAGTTTGACTAAACTAATGTTGGTATATTCTAGAGCTTACCATCTAGTTTGACTAAACTAAAGTTGGTATATTCCAGAGCTTACCATCCAGTTTGAATAAACTAAAGCTGGTATATTCCAGAGCTTACCATCCCGTTTGACTAAAGTTAAGTTAATGCTCCTGTTACTAATATTTTAACAAGTTAATAAACTAATGTTGGTATATTCTAGAGCTTACCATCTAGTTTGACTAAACTAATGTTGGTATATTCTAGACCTTACCATCCAATTTGACTAAAGTTAAGTTAATGCTCCTGTTACTAATATTTTAACAAGTTAATAAACTAATGTTGGTATATTCTAGACCTTACCATCCAGTTTGAGTAAACTAAAGTTGGCATATTCTAGACCTTACAATCAAGTTTGACTAAACTAAAGTTAATGCTCCTGTAAACATTTTAACAAGTTAATAAACTATTGTTGGTATATTCTAGAGCTTACCACCCAGTTTAACTAAACTAAAGTTAATGCTCCTGTAAACATTTTAACAAGTTAATAAACTAAAGTTGGTATATTCCAGAACTTACCACCCAGTTTGAGTAAAGTAAAGCTGTACACATAAGCCTCACTGATGCTGACGATGTAATCTGCCAGCTCATCATCCCGCACCTGATACAGGGCAAGGTTCAGTCTGCCGTAGTACCGGCTGCTCAAGGTGTACTGGGTACTGTAGAAGGCTGAGGGCACTGAGTACAGGTCTCCGTCCACCGTCCGTCTCAGGATTGGTGACGTGGACGTGTTTCGAGAGAAAAACGGGATGGAAACAAAGACGTCACTTCCGGGCTTGACGTTGATCTTCTGCTGACTAGTCTGAGGAGTCTGAAGCTGGAACCCGCCTTTTAGAAAGAAGAGCACACAGCTTATTTAATCGCCGCAGAACCTGGATTAATTTACAGCCTCCTCCTCCCCTCCATGGTAAGACTAATCTACCAGGTAATGTCACGCCCCTCCCCTCCCCCCACACACAGCTCTTACATTGTTTTTTTTTCTTGATTTGTTAAATGTCTCCCTAAATACTTAAATACATTGAATACATGTTCGGTATAGTAATCGAGTTTTATTAAAATATTTTGTATTCAGGGGTTTGGGATAGAACGTTAAAACCACTGCGGTACAAACATCTCCACATCCCAAGAAGGTGCTAGGACTGGGGTTGGCGATGTTATCGCTTTACTTTATACCGCTTTACTTTATAATGCGTTACTTTATAACGCTTTACTATGTTACTCTTTATTAAATAAAGCTTTACTATATAGAACTTTACTATATAGCGCTTTAAAATGCTTTACAATATAACGTTTTATTATATTACTATTTACTACTAAAAAATTGATTATGGTCCACTGTGGGCCCCTAAACGACCTGCCCCCCCCCCCCGCATTGCGGGGTCTGGCGGCACTGTAGTTCCGCCCCTGTATTTTAGTTAATAGTATAAATGATATAAAATTTCAGCTTTGCAAATATCAGAGCTGATTGTTGGACTCAAAGATGTCCTACAGACTCTAGTCAGGGATTTGAACACGCTACTTCAGTGCGGTTTACCATCTTACTATTGTAGTACTTTTGAGTATATATATATATATATATATATATATATATATATATATATATATATATATATATATATATATATATATATATATATACATAAAAGTCAAATACTTACAAGTGGTTCCATAAATGCCCACGACACTAGACGTATTTGGTACACTTGCCATCCCATTGTCAACTTGACAGATGTACTCATCAGTGTCGTAACAGCTAGAAAATATCAAGTTGTATGTGAGCAGCTTGGAGTTCTCTATCGACCCGACCACCTCCCCACTGCTCCTTCTTGTTAAGGTCAGTCTTACTGCCGGTATGGGTGTGGTCGTGCAGGTGAGTAGAGTAGACACATTCAAGTTGAGACCGAACTCAGTTTTTACTCCTGAGTTTACTAGAACGGTTACATTCGCTTGGTCTGAAAATAAAAATACACAAGTAAGATAGGAGAAAATATAGGCACGCATTTCTATTAAATAATGATGGATTCGTTTAAAAACTAAACCAAGCCCCCCCCCCCTTTTTGCAAGTGACATCCTTTCTATTGTCAACATACGTGCATGTTTATCAAGGGATATAACCAAAACAATCTGATTAAACGAAAGAAATAATTGTATTTTCCCTTGACTAGACAAATAACGAAATATTATAGCTCCTTTTATCCACTTGCTATCTTGGGTTTGACCAACTAAATCACTAAATACTATTTAATACTCAATATTTAATTAATTTTTTACTTCTTTTTTAATGTACACAAAAAATTTCTTATAAAAAAAAGAATATTTAAGTCTTTGAGTTCAGTTTAAAAGAAGTTTCATTTTTATAGTATAAAGTTACACTTTTCATTATTCCTATCCCTCATTTTCTCAATACATCCCTTTCCTAATACTTATTCTGAAAATTTAATTTTTTTCAAAAGTAAAACTACTGATAAGAACCTGCACAGATAGCATTTATACTATTACACTTATACATTCAATAGATGTTAATAGTATAGTACAATTTAAAATTTCAATATATATTAATTGTATCAATAGAGTTTCATATTTGAATTTTAGTTATTACTACATTATATTTACACATTTTAATAGACGTTCATAGTACACTTCACATACATATTTCAAGATATGTGAAAATCCCTCTACATTTACATAATTCAATAGGTTACCAGTTAAATATTACAACACGCAACTCAAACAATGTTGATAGCACAAAAAACATACATGTTTTAATATCTATGTTATTAGTACAATGCACTCACATAATTCGATATATGTTAAAGAGCTGTTGACAGCGAAAGTTGAACCGTTAGTGATGTTCGGGTAGATGAACATAAAAAACGTGTTGTTTCCCCTGTTGAGTAGATCAGCAGACACGAAGACAGTGCAGGAGCTGTTGTAGTATCCGGCGGTGATGGGTGTACTGGTACAGGCCATTGATACCACTGATCGGTTGTTCTGGAAACATGTTAGAACAGACTCAATATTTTACATGAAAGTCTAATACCTTTGACAGCCTATATAGTGTTTGGGTCCTCAAGATAAGATGGCCAGTATCAAATACAGATCCACTAAACAACAACCAATAGACAGCAAATAGAGAGTCAATGGACCGCAAATAGACAGCCAATAGACAGACAATAGACAGCAAATAGACAGACAATAGAAAGCAAATAGACAGCCAATAGACAACAAATAAACAGACAATAGACAAAAATAGACAGACAATGAACAGCAAATAGACAGACAATAGACAGCTAATAGACAGCAAATAGACAGCAAATAGGCAGCAAATAAACAGCCAATAGACAGCCAATAGACAGCCAATAGACAGCCAATAGACAGCCAATAGACAGCCAATAGACGGCAAATAGACAGCCAATAGACAGACAATAGACAGACAATAGACAGACAATAGACAGACAATAGACAGACAATAGACAGACAATAGACAGACAATAGACAGACAATAGCTAAGTTACTGTATGGCTAAAACACTAACAAGAATCTTACATTTGCCTGTGTGTAGAGCCGCGCAATAGAGCTGCTCGGGTAACCTCTGGTGGCTGTACATTGAATGTCGACTCCAGACAAAGTAGATCTCAATACAGGCGGGTAGCACGTCACGTTCTCGGGGCCGGCTGGAGTAAAACATATGATGTTTTAGGTAAACGAAGTTAAAGGGCAGATAAAGATGACTTTTTATGTATAATGTCAAGATATATTTTACTTCATCTCAATATGGTGAGGTGTGCATTAAAGCTGAGTGTACTCAGATATATATATATATATATATATATATATATATATATATATATATATATATATATATATATATATATATATATATATATATATATATATATATAAGTGATACAAATAAATAACATGTTAATCTATACATATCAATTTAGCAGTTTGATCTATATCTATTAGTTTAGTACTTTAATATAGAACATAATGTAGACTATACAATATACAATATTATATATCTATTACATTATTTTTCTTTTATAACAGCTATATTATAATATAATATTTCATGTTTGACTGGGATATAACTTAACACGCCAAGAATTTAAATACATTGTTACCTACCAAAAATCTGTAAAGCGCAGTTCTGGATAACGGTGGAGTTATCCAACCTTAGTGATACGTTTGTCATTTCAGTCCCAACTTTTGCTATCGTTAACGTTACGTTCAGACGGCCGTTTAGTAACGACATGTTAGCGTATAGGTTAGGATTGACCGAGGTACACACCATCTGTGAAACAGAGCAGTTTAAATCTGTTTTTACAGTTTGTGAACCTACGGTCCAGGTGAGGTAGCTGATGTTCGTGTTTTCTATGACGTAACGAAAAGTCTGGGGCTTTCCTACCTCCATTGGCTGCTGACATCCTTCTATTGGGAAGTAAAAGAAGATAACTAACATATATGGGGATATATATATATATATATATATATATATATATATATACATCTATATATATATGTATATAAATATATGTATATATATACATATATAAACTGACATAAATAAATAAATTAAAAAAAAAATATATATATATATATATATATATATATATATATATATATATATATATATATATATATGTGTGTGTGTGTGTAAAATTGCCTACATGTTTGTTTGAGTGTATTTCTAGTTATATTTGTTAACATATAATATATATATATATATATATATATATATACAATTCTCTTCATGGATACCATAGAAAACACCACGCAGCTTGGCCACCACCCTCATCCCCACCTGTCAGGTGAGCTGCGGTTCACCCCGAATGTTTACAATCGTAGAGCCGGATTAGAGACGGCTATTAGGGGCAGATAATTTAGTATTAATCGATTTTAAACGAACGGTAAGTAACAATTTCTGATTGATTTTTTCATTGTCTGTAAACAGCTGATTTCACTGGGCGGTAGGGGGGAGGGATGGGGTAGTGTTGAATTCACAAATAAGCAGAAAATAAAACAACTAGATGGCGGCGAATGCTACGTTGCGGGTCAGCTCGTATAAAATAATTTTTTTCTTAATTTATTACATTAAAAAAAATTCTCCTTTGCTTACCGATTTGTGAAGACACTGAGGTCCAACAAAACGTGAATATTATAAAAACACCAACACAATAACTAAAATACATTTTTTCGGCAAGATGAAAACAGTTCTGTTTTAATATCCACAAACTTGTATAATTAACATATGATGTATACTTATATGGTTTTTTAACTTTTAAGTTTATATCTTAAAACTACGCGTGTTATACATTTTTGTTGACAGATCTACATTGTGTGATATGAACAGTAGTGTAGTGCACCTTAAAGTGTGAACACCTTGAGACGGTACTTGTTTATAAAAGAAATACCTGCCGAACAAACCAGGAAGTAAAAAGAAGCGCACACACCCCGTGTTTAGAGTTCTATAGCAGTAACCTGACCTTATACACAGTACAGATATTATGTTTTTTGTGTTGATGTCGGGGGAAGTTTTGTTCGTATGTGATATATGGGAAATCTTTTAGATTAAACAAAGTATGAATAAGATTAAAAAAAATGTTTTTATCGATTATCAAATAGTTTTCTATTGATATTTTTTTTAACGGTATGGCATTGAGGTATAAAGGTCAGGATGAACGTTATGATCAGTCAACATGTCGGGATTATGTTCCGGGTCGAGAGACGTAACATTAACGAAACATCGAATTTGTCCTGACTGGTTTACATAATGCTAACAATGGCTGCCAGCCCTAGTACAATTGAATGTGCTAGCTGTTAATAAAATATTTCCCTACGTGGGAAATTTTCAGAGCCCCCCCCCCCCCCTCTCGAACAACAATCGATCAGTAATTTTTATTTGACTTAAGGCTGTTTTTTCGTTAATACAAAATTGAAAATCGCCATTTAATATAATTTTTTTCTCGTTTGTGTCAAAGACACATGGGGCTGATGAAGTAGAGTTCATCTGTTTCAATGACTTGTGACATAAAAGGTGATAATGTGGTCAGCCTTACCTAGCCACCTTTACTTTCCCTAACGTGAGTTAGGTACCCACCATAGGTAGGTGGACTCGGAGAAGTTCTACTCATTTTAACACGGATTCGAACTAGAGACAATCAGGTTAGCAGTCTAGCTCTACCGCTAGGCCACGCCGACCATTTTATGTTGTATGCATATCTTTTCGAAACGACGAGGTTTAAAAATAAATCTGACATCACGTATTTAGTATTCCTTGTACGACCCACACAGCTTATTCCGGGTGAGGTTGTCTCGTTTTCACGTTTGCTGACATTTTAAAATTGATTAATTATGTACAGTGTTTTTTCCAGACTTTTTTCTCTGAGGGGGGGGGGGGAGGGGTTACTTTATATTTTTGAGGGGGGGGGGGGCGACAACCTTTTCAGGGGGCGGGGGGGGGGCGACACTGGTAATGTATGTTTTTTATATAAATTCCATTTCGTTCGGGGGGCGGGGGGCGGTAGATTTTCTGCCTGGAAGAAACTCTGATTATGCAGGGGGGGGGGGCACATTGTTTCTTGTTGCTCAGGTACAGAAGACACTAAACAAACCTAAATTAATTCAAGTATAGACTATTTTATAAGACCCAATTAGTTCAGATATTTTTGTTCTGTTATTTCAGTATATTTTGTGTGTTAGTGTAAGTCATAACAGGAAAGGCCCTACACTCTCTGTTTCACACCTTTACCGTGGACGCCCATGCTTACCATAGATTACACACGTGACGCTAGTGTACTTAACCTAACGTTAGATAGGAAATCAATGAGCAAACACGTTTATGATTGATTTTCCGTTTTAAACATTAAAGATTAATATCCTGGTCGTATTTTTGAAATTCTCTGGAGGGAGGTTGTGGGGTGGGGAGGGGGGGGGGGTGTTGGGAAGTCAAGAACCTCTCGTTACTGATTTAATCCATAATTTATTCATTATATGTTAGCGGTCAAAATGTTACACAAATCAAACACCAGCATTTAATATCAACGCATTATATAAAAAAACACCTCTCTAAATACCCCCTCCAAATAACATACATTTTCATACGCCCACCCCGAATACATACCAATGCTTATCTTGATCAATGAGCAAACACGTTTATGATTGATTTTCCGTTTTGAACATTAGAGATTAATATCCTGGTCGTGTTTTAAAAGTCTATGGAGGTTGTAGGGGGGGGGGGGGCGTTGGGAAGTCAAGTGCCTCTAGTTACTGATTTAATCCATAATTTATTCATTATATGTTAGCGGTCAAAATGTTACACAAATCTAACACCAGCATTTAATATCAAACCATTATATAAAAAAACACCTCTCTAAATACCCCCCTCCAAATAACATACATTTTCATACGCCCACCCCGAATACATACCAATGCTTATCTTGATCACTGTTTATTTCTGGCGCCTCTTAGGGGTTGGGAGAAAAGGGTAGGGGTATGAAGGCATGGTCGCGTCACTCCTAACGAATGGAATTAAGATAGTAAATATATACTTTTATCAGTGCCCTCTTCCCGGAAAATTTAATCCGCATCCCCCCCCCCCCCCACCCTGAAACTTTAAAGTGCCGTGTCGTCCCCCCCCCCCACTCCCCATAGCAAAACGTCTGATAGAAACACTGATCTTAATTAACCAAATGCAGATGGGAAAAACGAATGGGGGTATTTTTATCGCCAGTTGCCGACAGCAGACTCCAAAACAAGGGTTTTTAGATTTTTAGCAGTATTATAATCTTCGGTTTAGTTTTTTTGTTATAATAAGGACTACGGAAGAAATCCGTTTAGGGTTTAGGGATAGGGTGAGGGATGAAATAAGCAAATTGTATTTATATTTGGTTAATCACGAAGTCATAAAACACTTTTAAAAAAACCTAAGGCAATATTTGAAAGGTGGAACACCCAAAAATATTTCGCAGAACCAAATCTATACAGTAAACAATTTAACTGTGTATTCTTTGCCAGTGGCGTAGCGAGGTCGGGTGTCACCCGGTGCGGCACTTAATGGTGTCACCTCCCCAGAGGCGTAGCGACCCTTCCCGGGGACAAACTTTCAAATCGTCGATTTGCACCCCCCCTCAAACTTTCTATTTGCACACTCCCCCCTCAAGTTTTCGATTTGCACCCCCCCTCAAGTTTTCGATTTGCACCCCCCTCAAACTTGCGATTTGCATCCCCCCCTCAAGTTTTTCTCTATATATTTTGCTATTTTTTCCTTGGTGTCACCCCCTAAATAGTGTCACCCGGTGCGGTCCGAACCCCCCCCCCCCCCTCGCTACGCCCCTGTTCTTTGCTTATGTCACAATATTTTCTTAGTAAATTTTACCCGAAAATGTATTAAGAATATTCCCCACCCCTTTCTCTTAAATCGAAAGCTAATAATATGTGCAGCCAAGACACATAGAGATGCATTCAACTATGGCACTTTACTTACAGTTACCGTCACTGGTAAAATTGCCCTCCTTTCTCTTTCGCTGTCTCTCTCACACACACTCTCTTTCTCTCTGTCTCTCTCCCTCCCTCTCTCTCCTATTGAAATCCCCAGTAAAAACATTTGCTTATTAACCAGGCAGACTGGAATAATGTTATGCATTGATCATTTCTTTCACTAATGCTACCAACGGCTAGACTCGTGGGTTTCCATTCAACTTATCCCCCCCCCCCCCCCCACTCCTGCCCGTGTATCACACCACGGTTTGGACATCAAAGGCGATTTGGTCAAGAACAGATCTACGGTCTGGAGCCCTGGTTCTAAACTCTAATAAAATTTCGGGTAAGCAAACCGCCCCTAGGTTAGACAACACCAAGCTCAGAGTGAACTAGTCGCAATGTTCACACATTTAACCAGCTACATGGTATAGAGGCGAAACTCTGTGTTTCGTTGGGAGGCAGGTGAATTCGTATTTCGTCTGTCTTCATTTATTGGTTTACAATTCCACCAGCTTTATCTATGGTGATACAATGAAGCTTTATGTCTAGCTTAATAAATTTGTAGATTTTACAATACGATTATCCTCTATAGCAAATAGTGAATATATATATATATATGTATATATATATATATATATATATATATATATATATATATATATATATATATATATATACTGTAAAGAAACATAACGAACTCTACGGTACATCATTAATAAGAATTGCCTTCCGTGACAGGTATAAACTTATCCATCCAGGCATGAATTCCCGCTTGACTGCGTCGGGACACGGTAGTAAAAAATATCTAATAACCTGACTACGTCACAGGTTCAAGGTGAGAGTAGGTATAAATAGAATGATGACACAAAGGGGTATGGAATTATTTAATGAAATACAATGAAGCACTGTGTAGTTTCGTAAATATGTTGGGCTCCGTACACATCGAAGTCGCGATTTACTCTGTCGGTGGCCTACGTTCCTGAATGGACGGTGGCCGCTGGAAAATCATATACATATCACAAAACTTAGAATACTAACACGTTAAAGTCAAGTATCCTTACGGTTCATGGGGCAGGTGAAGTAGAGTTCACCTATTTCAGTGGCATATGAAGGGATGATGTAGTCAGCCTATTCCGAGCCGCGTCTACTTTCCCTGATGTTAGTCAAATGCAAATTAGAACGGGGGGAAGGGGGGGGGGGGGGAAGGGGAGGGCACAGGACGGGGGGGGGGGACACACATGGATTCGATTCGAGTCTGGGATCCTAACCCGATACGTTCAGATAATATGCGTAAGCTCTACCACTCTACCACGACTGTTTTTGATTTGGTTGTTTATTTAGAATGACAGATGATGTCTGCTTTGTTTGTCCAAGTAATATTGCAGATGCACGTTTAGGGTGTGTGTGTGGGGGGGGGGGGAGGGAACTAGTACATGGAGCAGAGCATGCAAAGTAAAAAGCCGAGTCAAGAAACTACTGATTATTTTATAGACCTCGTTCTGATAAATTTGTTGAACCCGCGGTACTGCTTTATCGGACCGAGTCATAAATCTCCATATACCGACAGAGCTATAAATCAATCTGAGAACACCTTACCCCAGGTCGAAAGTCCGTACATGAAAATTTTCAATAGAAAAATAAAGTATGTTATTGGTACTGTTCGACTCGTGGTGAGTTCCTGTCATGGCTGCGTCGACAAACTAATTTTCGTTCTGTTTATCATTTACAATTTATGATGAAAAGACGATATGAAAATTCTAATAATCGGCTTTCTATATGTCTACATCTAACTATGTCTAAAAGAAGGGTCTACGTGCTGGGAAGACCGGTATCCTAAGTAGAAGTATTGACATAATTTATGTGTGACGGCTCATTAAAATAACAAAATTACCTTTCTTGTAATATTCATAGTCTTTTGTCCGGATCCCATTTTTTGTGCAAGTCTGTTGTGTGTGCGTTTAGCTCAGGAGCTCAAGGGCAAGGGAATTTTAGGTAAAGCGGAAATGGTTCAAAAGCAATGTTTCTTCCAAACTTTTTCTCCGGGAGGGGGGTGCACTGGAAATTTTCGGGGTGGGGGGGGGGCGGTCTAAAAAGTTCGGGGGGCGGACACTGATAAAAGTTATATTTTCTATATTATAACTTCCATTTCGTTCGAGGTGGGGGGGGGGGGGTAGATTTTCTTCTGGGGGGGGGGGGGGTGCGGAGCCTTGAAAAAACACTGTTCATAAGGGGTATTAAAGCCTTGGCGCATATCTTAAATATATGATAAACATTATTATTTTAAATTTAAAAAAAGTTCACAGTTAACTTAACGCCATTCGATTTTAAAGGTAAACATTTCTCCTTCCATGTTGTATCTGTCAAACTTCACAAACATAAATTCTCCTCAACCCCTCTCTTCGTCTTTTAGCATTATTTCTGGAATCCCCTTTCTCCAGCAGTAAATATAGAACATCAATTGAAGTGTATCTTACAATGACACGGTTAGGAGGAAGTCAACTCTACCAGTGAGGCATGCGATGACGCTGATCTTTACACGACTCAGGTTAAAATGTTGGTGATGGCGCAACGTAAAGTGGGATACAAGTATACAGTGACGCTAAGCACAATTCAACTGAGAATAAAAGGGATTGCGCCACCTAATATTAGCTACTCGAAGAAGCATATATATATATATATATATATATATATATATATATATATATATATATATATATATATATATATATATATATATATATATATGTATATATGTATATATATATATATATATATATATATATATATATATATATATATATATATATATATATATCTTTCTTACTTCAGTCACGTCGTCTTCACGCTTTATTGCATCCCTTTGACGATACGCACATAGAAATTCCGGGTATTATCTGGAGCGGAATTTAAGTACAGGTTATTAGGAATTGCAGCCAGTTTTTCATTCTTACACAATTTTTTCTAAGAAAGGTGGAAGGGTGGGTGTTGTACTTGAAACTTTCGAGTGGGTGAAGTCGAAGTTCCGTGATGGGACAAACTCTGGTTAGTTGAGGAATACATTTTATGTAAATAAATCTGTCTACTTCGTCAGATGGGGGGGGGGGGGGGGGCGAAGGGGAGAGGGGGGAAGGAGAACTTGCTCAGCCTCCTCCCAGAAAGCAACTCAAGATATGCCTGAAAGAAACTGACTACAGCTTTTAGTTGGGTAGGTATTTTGGTCGATGAACTGAAACAGAATGTTCATAAGTCAATGTTGTTATTGTTTTAAAAAAATAGATTTTACACGGGTCGAACAGTTCATTCCATGATTTATCTAAGATGTAAATAGTTAAGATAGAATTCTAGTGAATGTTGAAACCGTTACTGAAGACATAGAGCTTAGAGTTACATGATTAGATAGAATACAAGACACCGAGACATTGTTAGTTTAATAGTGTATTTAATTATTGGTACTTTGTTCAACGTGTTTCGCAATGAAAGAATAAAAAAACAACCTGATTTCACTGCATATCTCTGTCGTTGCCTTATTCTCTTAAATTTATTTTTCATATTACGTTTGGAAATGTATATGCTAAAAAAAGTAGTAATATGTTAATTAATAATTATTTTTAAAATTTAAAATTAAATTAATAGCAAAAATACAAAAACATGATCATGCTAAAATGTTTTTTTTTATTAAATTAAAAATTATTTCGTAAAGATGTTTCCATGTTTTGTAGCCAACACAACGCCATAATCTTGTAGTAATTAAATTGTATTGTGGACTTTGTTGGTGGACTTCCTTAGACACCGCTGGATAGGAGAAAACGTGTACGGTTAAAGAAACAGACAAGATAACGCAGAAGCAGTTAAGAAGCTTAGTATCAAATATATCACGTAATGCCTGTCTCTCTCATGAGATCTTTTACACATTTGAGTGACTATAGCTTTTATTGAAGAAAGCAAAATAGTTTTGTTTTCTTATTCTCAGTGCATTTAAAAGCTTGTTGCTATAAATGTTTTATTTTTTATATTTGTTTATTTCCAATTTTTTTTAAGTGATTCCTAATTTATGAAGTCGACACTACTAAACCACAGCTCAGCAGACTGGTCCAGTGATAGCGTCAAGCTAGTTATCACCTCTTCTGTAGTTGAAAAGAGTAATCTATCTAGTCACATGTTTTAATTTTGTTATCTCCCTTTAGTTTCGAAACCGTTGAATTAATTTTTAATGACTAATCAAGCATCCATTTAAATTAAGAAACAGATATACTTGTATTAACATCGAAGTGGAACATATCTTGAAAGTTTGAAGAAAATCGCTGAATTAGTAATGGGTCAAAATTGAGTTAAAAGATTAGCAACAAACCCACAAACAAACAAACAAACAAGACGTTGCGAACTAAATAAAAGCTTGTAATTAAAAAATGTGAAAATGTGTCGTCTGGAAAGCGTCCCCAGTTCGAAACATGACGAGTCTCATTCGGTGGGGACAGCTACCCATCAGGGAGAGAAAATTAAAAAAATCAAACAACTGGTAGATTTGTGTTGAGTGGAAATGGGCTATAAAATCTAATCCACAAATAAAAGCAGACTGAGACCGGCCATTTTGCGCCCTCTTGACACGTTACCCACAAATGAAAGGAAAGGAAAAAGAAGACTAAAATTATAGATTGCAGGTCATAAATAAAATAAATATATTTCTCATAATAGATGAGATGTTTATCAAACATTTAAATGAATAAGTTCCAATGTATTATAGTTTATTAATTGCTTAAAAATAAATCTACTAATATGATACCGGAACAAACCATAGATTCATAGACATGAATAAATGTCTGACTATAAAAACAAAACAAAGACAAACACTAATCTATTAATAAGAAAAGCAGAAGAACTGAAAGTATGGCGTCAAGTAAAGAATTGCTAATCAACATCTAGAATATAAGCCATAATTTCAGCATGGAATCTAAAATGTTAAACTGTGACAGCAATATACAAATAAATCAATGTTGAATAGTAGGCCTACTAGAAATCTTTATTTGCATATGTTTCTATATTGTAAAATATAAAATATTAAAGCGTTATAAGCTCTTTATAATACATTAAATATGCTCTTTTAAAAATGGTAATATATAATATTGTAAAATATAAAATATTAAAGTGATATATGCTCATTATAAGACATTCAAATATATTGTTTTAAAATAATAATATCTAATTTTGTAAAATATAATAAAATATTAAAGTGATATAAGCTCATTATAAAACATTCAAATAAATTGTCTTAAAATCTTGAGTAACATTAATTTAAAATGGTAGAGTAATAAAATATATTAACAACAATCTACAGCAAGTAATCTAGAATAACTGTATGGTTCTTAGACGTGGAGAGAAAAGCAAATTAATCACACACACAATTCAGACTTTTATTAACGGATGTCTCCGCCGTATATTGAACATCACGTGGTCTAAAACATAACCAATGCCGAACTGTGGAGGAAAAAAACTGGGCAAAAAAAAATACACAAGCGCTATTGCGGATGGATTGGATCCTCCCTTCGGAGAATAACTAGCAACATTACCAGACAGGCACTAGGCTGAAATCCTGAAGGAAAGGCGAAAGAAGGTAGGTCAAAACAAACTTGGAAAAGATCAGCTGTTAGTAAAGCAAAAGAAGCAGAATTGCTGTGGACCCAACTTGGAGGAATCTCCCAGAACCGAATGCGATAAAGAAGTGTGGTTGCGTCCCTATGTTCCACAAGGGGACCACATGAATGATGATGATATAGAATATCTAAAGGACAAATCGAATTCCATAAAATGTTTTTTAGAATGAAAGATGTAACAGTCTAATCTAAAGCTATTTGCATTATTGATCAAAAGATATATTTAAAATAAGTAAAATATGATGATAAAAAGCTAATGTTTAATCCAGGGGTCTCCAAACTACGGCATGCGGCCCGCAAAGTCCTCTCGTCCGGCCCGCGGAGATCTTTTTGTCCAAGGAAAAATCGTTTGTTGGTGATGGCTGAGCAAAAACCAAAGACAAGCCTGGAAGAAACTGGCCCCCGAACTGAAATTTGATAGTTAATGCGGCCCTCGGACTGAAAAGTTTGGAGACTCCTGGTTTAATCTATCATTAAGGGGTAGGGCCTACATGGAAAGGTAATAAACTAAAACAGATAATTTGAATTTTGATTATGTGCTTTTAAAAAGTCAACCAAGTTAAAATAAAATTATTGTATTTGCATGTCAGATTTAGAAATATATTGTTCTAATAAAACATAATTGTTTAAAATTGAAAAAAAAAACCAACCTTATTGTAATTTTATTAACCTTAAATTTAGGCTATTAAGACTATCAGTTTAAAAACAGATATACATAAATACATTCATATATATATTATTATATATATATATATGTATATATATATATATATATATATATATATATATATATATATATATATATATATATATATATATATATATATGTTTTTAGTGTGGGAGTTTGATGTTAACGTAATTATGTTGGCTGTTATCTCTTGATTTGTCAGTAGGCCTTAATGTAGTTGACCGTTCTATGATTGTTGGCGTTAAATCATCATACTCCGTATAATGAGATTGTGGCATGTTGACGGGCAGCTGCTGTGCATTTGCATACGCTTGTTCTGTAACACAGTATCATACATGTAACTGTAATACAATATCATACATGTAACTGTAATACCGAAATACTTGACTATAAATACACTATTGTAAAACATAATACAATATACAATATTAACAATGATATGAGGGAACTAGCTTTTTCTTTATTATGTAGAACTGTATAAGTGTAATTCACAGCCTCAGTTGATAAGACTCATTTAGCTGTCTCTAGACCAATTGAAGACGACAGGCAAAACATCTCGACCGAATATGTTATGGTTGTATCTGAATGTATTCAATGAAATACAAATGTATGTAGAGAACTGTTCTTTGTGCAATTTTAATTTGAGCAGCTTGATGATGCGCCAAACCAGAAAAAATAAGGAAGACTTCTAATTGTACACTTCGTTAGGCGTTGTATTATCGTATCTTCCCCTCAACCATTTAAATTTTCTGCTTGCTGTCTCCACCCAAACACCCACCCATTGACCCAACCTCTCTCCGGCAACCAACTACTTGCTTATTAATAGATACAATTTTAAACTCCAGCTATGGATTGCATAATGTCCTATTTTATTTCAAACAACATACCTCTTATTCATATTTTTAAAAAAATGCTTTATGTATATTTATTGAAAATATAAATTATGCACACATTTTTACTTTTCATTACTTTCTCGATTACGAAGAATAGAGAAAGTATTGTTATCGTGCAAAAAAAAGAGATTTTTACAAATCTCGACGTTTTACACCTCCCTGAGTCGGAAAAGCATAGTTTTGCAATATAGTCTGTATGTCTCTGTGTGTTTGAATGTGTGTGTGTGTGTGTGTGTCTGCAAACACGATAACTTGAGTACCGTTACATTTAGATTGATGAAATTTCTTATATAAGTATTATATCAAATTTGTAGATCCGTTTCAACTTTTCAGCGATTTCCAATAACCGGAAGTGGAACTTTTTCTACTTTCAACTTTTCAAAAGCATATAACTTAAGTACTATTTTGGATAGATAAATGAAATTTCACATGTACGTAAAAGATCTAATTCTCTGCTATTTGTCAAATTTTGAGTAATTTCCGTTTACCGGAAGTAGTAATTTACGCTATTTCCGATTTTTCAAAAAAACGCATGTGAATTTATAAAGTACTAATACTATTCCTCACTATTATACACATTTTGCTTAGCGATCGCTTTGTGCGCTATTTTTTTTTCCTACGAGATTCTATTATATTTTTAAAAGTTTAAGTAATTGAAAACGATATCTGTATCCCGAGTTGCCATCCCCCGTAGTAATATATATTATTCTGAATGTTTAGGGGAGATCACTTCCGGTTTATGTTAAAATGCTTACCAATTAGAAGAAAAACGAATTAATGGTTCAAAAACAATTAGACGTTTACCTGAAATGACCGAAGAAGGGCGAGAATAATTTTTAGCTTGTGGTCGGTTGATTGATAGAGGTAAAACATTGTCTGTAGTATTCCTGTGAAATGACATAATTAGATGAAATATTTGACACATAATAAGTACAACAAATATTTTACTCACACACACACACACACACACACACACACACACACACACACACACACACACAAACACACACACACACACACACCACACACACACACACACACACACACACACATACACACACACACACACACACACACACACATACACACATACACACATACATACATACATATATATATATATATATATATATATATATATATATATATATATATATATATATATATATATATATATATATATATATGTGTATATATGTATAAAACAAAATGATTTTAGTTATACAACTAATTTTCTAATTATTTAATCCAGCCTAAGTGTGAACGTAAATTACCTTGCATTTCGTCTTGATTCTGCGATCGATTTACTATTTCTTCTAAGTATCAGGATAATAAGAAGAACGAGAAGAATTACAAAAACCAGCGATCCTACTGTAGCTCCTGCTATCAGCCCAATGTTCAGCTCGCTTGAAAGTGCTTTAAGAATTGAAAAGGAATTTTATAATAGAACAGTCGTTATTTGTCAGTTTTTTACAGTAGAGCGTAGAGCTGTTAACATTAAAGTCTCAAGGATTTGAGATGGAGGGGAGCTTCACTTTTCCCAGAATGAAACTTTCCCGAACGCGACAAATGCCCGAATGAACATTTGGACATTCGGGCACATGTCACATTCTGACAAACTTCTATTTGGGCTAATGACATTCGGGCAAGTGTCTTTTTGATATCAGTCGTAAATTTGGGCTTGAGCCACTAGGACGTACATAAATCCTCCCAGCACTGCTAGGTACCTGACTCACGGTTGAGAAACTAAAGACAATGAAATATCGCCATAATATCTAGCTATATATATAATTCTCTTCTTCGAGCCGTTAGAAAACAAGCTGCAAACGCTCTCCCTACCTCCCCACCCCTACATGGTTTTAGTGAGCTGTGTTCACTCTAAATGTTTACAAGCAGAGCCAACGATTTTAAACGTAGGGGGGAGGGAAGGAAGGGGGGGGGTTATGGTCCTTATAGTGTTTTAAAGAAATATTTTCAGTGTCAGCGTTGGTACTGTCGAATTCACAAATTATGAATGATTGAAAATTAGAAACAACTAAATAGCGGCGTATGTTATGCCGCGGGCCGGCTCGTTTCTCTATAAAAGATTAACTATACTTTGTCTGTGCTTCGTAAAGTCGGAACGAGTACTGTTATCTTTTAAAAAACATCCGAAAATGAACTTTCAGTTTATTTTCAAAAACGTTGTTTAATTATAATTATCATTCATTATCATATTGTCCCGTTCATGCCCAAGACACATGGGGCAGATAAAGTAGAATTAAGTTGTTACCTCGGCATATCAAGGGATAATGTGGTCAGCATTATGCCCAGCCGCCTTTGATTCCCTAACGTGCGTCAGGTACTCATCAGATATGGATGAACGCAGGGACGTCTGCATTCACAAGTACGAACCAAGTTCCGAACTCGAGACCTTTGAGCTAATAGTCAAACGCTCTACCATTCGACCACACCGTCCCTACTGAACATTGCACAAATAATAACTTACCATCTGAGTTTGGAGTTTTAAAACTACCTTCTATTACACTACTTTCATCGCGGACAGAATTGACAGCTTTAATGCTGTAGTTGTACTCTGTGTCTGCTTGTAGATCTGATAGTTTTATTTCAGGGGAGGTTACTGTAAAATTTTGAAATTGATATGTAGATTTCAGAGAAAACTTGTAGAGATCTACCCTGCCTTCAGATGGTTGAAATCTTATGACGTAAGGTGGTTTATCCAGTTGACTGAGTTCAGTGTTTACTAAACCTGGTTGTGCTGCGTCTAATCAAGAAACAAGTTAATTAAAAAGTCTAGTGACAATTTTAGCGCAATTTCCTTATGTTATCTAAAAATAGCTCTGTCGTAGCGTAAATCAAGAGCAGGGTTAGTAAAACCATTGGTTAGTTATTAAAACGTTTTTTATTAAATAAACCTAACTACGAACTAAACTAAGCACCTTGAAATCAAGAGCAGGGTTATTAAAACCATTGGTTAGTTGAACTTGATTATCAACATGATAATCATTAAGATGATAGATCTCTACTTCCGGCATGTATATACAACCACACCACACGCGTCATCACGTTCAATAGATGCGTCATCGCGTTCCATGGCTGCGCCATCACGTTCAGTAGGCGCGCAAGTTAATTAAAAAAGTCTAGTGACATTTATGCGCAATATCCTTATGTTATCTAAAAATAGCTCTGACGTATAATGATGGGGTGCGTTCAAGCTAGAAGAGCGATCGGTTTGTAGGTGTTTATGTAATTTTAAAATTTGTGACCGAACGAGAGGATATTTTTGAAAACTTTCTTCGGCAATATTGTTCTAAATTATGGCAGGAATCGATTGGTACATGTTTCAAGTCGCTAAGTGGTCTGGTTGCCGAGATATGGGCCAAAAACTGCATTTTTTCGAGGTTTTTTGGCTTTTACGGGAAATACATGAAAGAAACCCGGAATTTTTATGGCCTATGCTCATTCTCGTAACTTGCTTAACATAATTGCTTTTGGAACTAGTCATCGATATTGCTTCGTTGAGGAGGAGATACGACTTAAAGCCCGGACACACATTCATCCATCCATCCATTCCCAGAAATGACGAGTTAATAAACGCAATTCTCCAGAATGGAAATTGCGCTAAAAAAAAATACAAAACTTTTTTTTAAAAAATGTCCTTAATAAACAATTTATAATGATACACAGCTATCAGCTCTGTTTTTAATTCTTCAAAAGGTTTTGGGAAGAAAAGAATGAAACTAAAATTAAATCTCTGCTGCCGAAAAATGTCAACTTACTTGTGATAATGTTGATTGTGGTGCTGACGTTTCTTGTAGAATAAAATCCCTGCTGCTGAAGGAACGTGTAGACTGTGATTGTGTAGCTGGTACCTGGTGTTAGACCAGTCACCGTCACACCGCTCTCATTGGCGGCTTGTGTTCCTCTATCTGTTTCATCACTGGCCGACACCCACGACACACCGTACGTTCTATTGGGTCCAAGTGTAGTGGCTTCCCATTGTAGCTCAACTCCAGTTGTGCTCTTAGTTGTCAATTGTGGGCGTTGTACAATAAAAATAGAGGCTGGAAAAATGTAAGTAAAACAAATACATTCGTGCTAATTAGCTATACTAAAACATATGAGCTGACCCGCGCCGTAAACATACGCGGCTATTTAGTTGTTTTATTTTCTACTTTTCAATAATTTATAATTTGTAAATTCAACACTACCAATCCTGCGACTGAAAATATTTTGCTTTAAAACACTATCAGTAGTGAAGGACGATTATCCTGGTCCCCCATGAAGATAATTATATATATCTACGAGCTGACCCGCGACGTAGCATAAGCCGCTATTTAGTTCAATTCCTATTTTTAGTACTTCCTAACTTATGAATTCAACACTACCAATGCTGTGACTGAATATATTGTTTCTTTAAAACACTTTTAGAAGCTAGTAAAGGACGATTATCCTCACCCTCACTATCCACTCCTCTCTCTCCCCTACCCTCTTCTCCCCCCCCCCCCCCTCCGCGAAAGCAGTCGTCTTTGACGACAGTTTACGGACGTCAATGAAAAGAGCAAGCAGATCATGTTATTACCTCCCCTTAATTTCAACTAGTTTAGAAACAAAATTATCTGCCCCTAATAGCCGTAACTACGATTGTAAACAGCTCGCCAGCTCTGGTGGGGGTGGGGATGGTTGCGATATGGTCTGCTGAGCTTACGTCTTGGTGGTGTCTCGCATGGTCCAGACGTAGAGAATATATATATATATATATATATATATATATATATATATATATATATATATATATATATATATATATATATATATATATATATATATATATATATATATATATGTATATATATACATATATATACATATATATATATATATATATATATATATATATATATATATATATATATATATATATATATATATATATATTATCTGTTATATCATTACTATTGACATTAGTCGTAACACTAAACTTTAAATAAAACTAAAACATAAATTATATGCAGACAATATGGTGTTTAAAATTAAAGATAAGCAAAATATCGTATTAAATAAGAATAACAAAATGGTGTACTTTAATTGTTGTAACTTAAAAATATCAGATGCTAGAAAATCAGATTTGTATGTCAGTTAACTTTCGAGTTCAGTTTTAAAAAGTCGTCACGATAATGGATGCTTAAAAACATGAACTCCTATAATTTTACTCTTCTGATTTTAAGCAAGCCAAAACAAGTGTACTTACAAGAAACGCATAATTTGCTCTCAAAGTAAAATCTATCTATACATAAACATCGTTGATTGCCATTAACATCAGGCAGACAGTCCGAATTTGCAGGTTTACACATACCAGAAATACTACTGTTACAGATTGAAGTATGATCTAAGGCTGAAATATTTGGAGCATTTTAAATGTATTGTTCTTATTAAAAACAAACATTTTAAGTGAATATAATTACATATTTTGATCACATATGTTCAGCAATGTTTTCTGATTGTAGGAGTCTGTTGATTTATATGGTTGCACATGTTAGTGATAAGTTGAATTGTTAGAAACTAAACTTGAGATGTTTTTGAATGCTACGCATTTTTTTTTTAAATTCATATTTTGTTCACGCTTCTGAGGTTTTGCATATTAGTGATATGCACCAATTTGCACAGATAAAGATTGTAAATACATCAAACAGGACCAGAATGCTTTCATTAAAGAAATACCACTATTAACAGTCAAACAGTATTAAGGGTTATACACAGACACACAAAGCCCAGAGAGCCATTAGGCGAACACACTCACACACATACCCGCCCACACACACACACACATACACAAACACACATATTCACATACACAAACACATACGCATACGCATACTCATACGCATACGCATACGCATACGCATACGTATACGCATACGCATACGCATACGCATACGCATACGTATACGCATATACACACACACACATATATAAATATATATATATATACTAGGCATACTGCCTAGCTTCGCTTAGGTTTTCAAAAACATTTGATAATTGGAATACTAATTATTTGGTGATGGATGAGGCGTGGAGTGCTTGAATCTAATTTTAGTTTTTTTTTTTTTTTTTTTAAACATTTGTAATTAATATTTTATTTTTAAGAAATGAAAATTTCGAATATCGAAATTAATTTTTTTTAAATACACTTGTACATATTTACAATATTTGAAAATTTATTTATTTTTTTTTTTTTTTTTTATTTTTTTTTTTTTTTTTATTTTTTTTTACCATAATAGTCTTAAGTGTTTTTACAGTTTTGTTGAGAATTTTTTTACAATATTTTTTTTTTTTTTTTTTTTTTTTTTTTTTTAAATACTTTTATTTGCAATTAAAACAAGTACATCAACATCAAATTTTTTAACATAATTTTGAACACCAAATGAAAACGAAAGGTTTTGCAAATGTACATAATGAATATTTACATGAAGTCATGTATTTGTTTATAAAAAATAAACCGGGAGTGATCTCCCCTAAACTTTCTCGAATATTCTTATATAAAATAACAGGGGATGGAAACTCGGGCTATAGACATGATTTTTAATCCATTTTAAATACTTAAAGTTTTAAAAATAGAATAAAATCTCGTAGACAAATTAATTGCACACCAAGTGAACGCAAATAAAAAAAAGCGCATAATAGTGCGCAATATTATTAGTACTTTTAAAATTTACATTAGTTTTTTGAGAAATCGGAAGTAGCGTAAATTACTACTTCCAGTCAACGGAAATTACTCAAAATTTAACAGAAGGTAGAGAATTAGATCTTTTACTTACATGTGAAATTTCATTTATCTATCTGAAATAGTACTCAAGTTATAGGCTTTTAAAAAATTCAAAGTAGGAAAAGTACCACTTCCGGTTATCGGAAATCGCTCAAAAGTTGATCAGGATCTACGATTTTGATAAAATACTTATATATGAAATTTCATCAACCTAGCTGTAACGGTACTCAAGTTATCGTGTTTACACACAGACACACACACGGACAGACACACACACACACAGACATACGGACAAGATTGCAAAATTATGTTTTTCCGTATCAGTGAGGTGTAAAACGTCGAGATTTGTAAAAATCTCGATTTTTTTTTTTGCACGATTACAATACTTTCTCTATACTACGTATATACGAGAAAGTAAAAAAATTGCAAAGGATGACAGCAAAAGGGGTGAAGGTCAAATGAAAGTGTCAGAAGTCTGGGTTGGGAGAGGAAAGGAAATTTTTCAGAGAGGGTCAATGGGACAGTGAAGCATTTTCTATGTAGGGAAACAACTTAAGTTGACTAGTTGAAAGGGTGTTGTAGTGGTCGCATTGAGTTTTCAAAAGGTTGCAGTGTGAAAGATGAGGGGAAAGAGACAAGATTTAGAATTTATAACTAAAATGGAAATAGAACTACAGAGGTTCCATGAACAGTATATCTCATAATTTATATTACATTGACTTTTAAAATTAATTTTTTATTTAATTATGATACGAAGTTTAATTAACAACTTATCTTTTTCTAAAACAAATGCTATACTTCGTCATTTTCTGTTTCTGTTTAAAATAGTATATAATTATTTGAAAAATAATTATTTAAAAAGGTTACCTCCCTTGAAAATTAACCGAATGACGTATGTCTGTGTTTACTTTTTTTTAAACAAAGTTACTATTCTTATATAAGAAAATACGATATATACACACATTTAATGACTACAATGGCTTTTTCCGACGGGAAAACGTTTTTTGTTACCCTCCAGGGTCGGTCTACGACCTCAAATAATATTAATGGGATCGATCGTCAATTTATTTATATATATCTCATATAAGGAGAATTTCACTCGCGGTCATCTTTTAGCACTGGTCGAGGGCTTTGAGTCTGACCAACAGTTTTTCCATACGGCCTAGTCATCTATAGAAGTGTATGCAAAACATTAGCATGATGTACAGAGGTTAAGTAACGTAAAAATTGTGTTGAAATTACACTGTTTTTCCCATAAAATACAAAGATTATATAGGGAAATACAACTGGTCAGTTCTGACCCCTTTACGAAGTTTTCCCAGATATGCCGAGTTTTTTGTGACACCCCTAGGTGTTCTTCTACCACCTCACAAAATATCAAGGGGGGTCGTCGGAGGAAAATTATTTTCGTAATAGATCTCATATAAAGAGAATTTCACTCGCGGTCACTTTTTAGCCCTCGTTGAGGGCTTTGAGTCAAACCGACAGTTTTCCCTAAAGGTCAAGCCATTTACCTAAGAGTATGCAAAAAATTAGCCAGATGTAAAGAGGGTAAGTGCCCTAAAATCCGCTTTGAAATGACCCTCTGTTTTTCCCATAAAATACAAAGATTATATAGGGAAATACAACTGGTCAGTTTTGACCCCTTTACGAAGTTTTCCCAGATATGCCGAGTTTTTTGTGACACCCCAAGGCGTTTTCCTACCACCTCACAAAATATCAAGGGGGGTCGTCGGAGGAAAATTTTTTTCGTAATAGAGCTCATATAAAGAGAATTTCATTCGCGGTCATTTTTTAGCCCTCGTCGAGGGCTTTGAGTCAAACCGACAGTTTTCCCTAAAGGTCAAGCCATTTACCTAAGAGTATGCAAAACATTAGCCAGATGTAAAGAGGGTAAGTGCCCTAAAATCCGTTTTCAAATGACCCTCTGTTTTTCCCATAAAATACAAAGATTATATAGGGAAATACAACTGGTCAGTTTTGACCCCTTTACGAAGTTTTCCCAGAATTGCCGAGTTTTTTGTGACACCCCTAGGTGTTCTTCTACCACCTCACAAAATATCAAGGGGGGTCGTCGGAGGAAATTTTTTTTCGTAATAGAGCTCATATAAAGAGAATTTCACTCGCGGTCACTTTTTAGCCCTCGTCGATGGCTTTGAGTGAAACTGACAGGTCTGCCCTACGACTTAGCCATTTACCTATAAACATGCCAAAAATTAGCCAGATGTAATGAGGGTAAGTGCCCTAAAATCCGTTTTGAAATGACCCTCTGTTTTTCCCATAAAATACAAAGATTATATAGGGAAATACGACTGGTCAGTTTTGACCCGTTTCCCGATTTTTCCCGGACATGGCGAGTTTTTTGTGACACCCCAAGGGCTTCTCCTACCACCTCACAAAATTTCAAGGGGGGTCGTCGGAGGAAATTTTTTTTCGTAATAGAGCTCATATAAAGAGAATTTCACTCGCGGTCACTTTTTAGCCCTCGTCGAGGGCTTTGAGTCAAACCGACAGTTTTCCCTAAAGGTCAAGCCATTTACCTAAGAGTATGCAAAAAATTAGCCAGATGTAAAGAGGGTAAGTGCCCTAAAAGCCGTTTTCAAATGACCCTATGTTTTTCCCATAAAATACAAAGATTATATAGGGAAATACGACTGGTCAGTTTTGACCCATTTCCCGATTTTTCCCAGATATGCCGAGTTTTTTGTGACACCCCAAGGCGTTCTCCTAACACCTCACAAAATTTCAAGGGGGGTCGTCGGAGGAAATTTTTTTTCGTAATAGAGCTCATATAAAGAGAATTTCACTCGCGGTCACTTTTTAGCCCTCGTCGAGAGCTTTGAGTGAAACCGACAGTTTTCCCTAAAGGTCAAGCCATTTACCTAAGAGTATTCAAAAAATTAGCCAGATGTAAAGAGGGTAAGTGCCCTAAAATCCGTTTTGAAATGACCCTATGTTTTTCCCATAAAATACAAAGATTATATAGGGAAATACGACTGGTCAGTTTTGACCCATTTCCCGATTTTTCCCGGACATGCCGAGTTTTTTGTGGCACCCCAAGGCGTTCTCCTACCACCTCACAAAATTTCAAGGGGGGTCGTCGGAGGAATTTTTTTTTCGTAATATAGCCCATATAAGGCGCCGGTCAGTCGAGGTCAGTTTTGACCCCCTCTCTGTAGACTTTTCGGCGAACCGTCACCGGCCCTCGTGTTCTATCGCCTCAAGGCACCATCGTGCCAAATTTGACGCGCCTGCGGCGCCGGGAAGTGCCCTGTCGGGCACCCGACCACTTTGCTTTATATATATAGACTAGGCATACTGCCTAGCTTCGCTTAGGTTTTTAAAAGGCATTTGAGAATTTGAATACTTAATTATTTAGCGATGGATTGGGTGTGGAGTGCTTTAATAAGTTTAATAAGTTTAATTTAAACAGTAATGCTAACTTTAGAAAAAATGTTTTTGTTAGTCATTTACATGCAGATCCGTAGCGAATTTTTGGAAAGTACGCAATGTATAACTAAAATGGAATTAGAACTACACAGGTTTCATGAACAGTATATCTCATAGTTTATATTACATTGCCTTTTGAAATTAATTAATTAATTTAATTAACATACTTAACTAAATTAACAACTTAATTGTGTACTAAAACAAATGCTATACTTCGTCATTTTCTGTTTCTGTTTAAAATAGTATACAATTATTTGAAAAATAATAATTTTAAAAACGTTACCTCCCTTGAAAACTGAACGTATGACGTATGTCATTGTTTACTTATATTGTTTGCTTATATAAGAAATTACGTTATATGAACTTATTTAACGACTATAATGGCTGTTTCCGACGGGAATAAAGTTTTTTTGTTACCCTCCATGGTCGGTCTACGACGTCACATAATATTAAGGGGATCGTTCGTCAATTTATTTATATATATATATATATATATATATATATATATATATATATATATATATATATATATATATATATCTCATATAAGGAGACTTTCACTCAAGATCATCTTTTAGCCCTCGTCGAGGGCTTTGAGTCTGACCAACAGTTTTTCCATACGGCCTAGTCATCTATAGTAGTGTATGCAAAAACTTAGCATGATGTACAGACATTAAGTAACCTAAAAATTGTGTTAAAATTTCCCTGTTTTTCCCATAAAATACAAAGATTATATAGGGAAATACAACTGGTCAGTTTTGACCGCTTTACGAAGTTTTCCCAGAATTGCCGAGTTTTTTATGAAACCCCTAGGTGTTCTTCTACCACCTCACAAAATATCAAGGGGGGTCGTCGGAGGAAATTTTTTTTCGTAATAGAGCTCATATATAGAGAATTTCACTCGCGGTCACTTTTTAGCCCTCGTCGAGGGCTTTGAGTGTAACCGACAGTTTTCCCTAAAGGTCAAGCCATTGACCTAGGAGCATGCAAAAAATTAGCCAGATATACTGAGCTTAAGTACCCTAAAGTCTGCGTTGAAATGACCCTCTGTTTTTCCCATAAAATACAAAGATTATATAGGGAAATACAACTGGTCAGTTTTGACCGCTTTCCGAAGTTTTCCCAGATATGCCGAGTTTTTGTGACACTCCTAGGTCACTCAAGGGGAGTCGTCGGAGGAAAATTTTTTTCGTAATAGAGCTCATATAAAGAGAATTTCACTCGCGGTCACTTTTTAAGCTTAAGTACCCTAAAGTCTGCGTTGAAATGACCCTCTGTAAATAGGGTAAGTGCCCTAAAATCCGTTTTGAAATGACCCTCTGTTTTCCCCATAAAATACAAAGATTATATAGGGAAATACGACTGGTCAGTTTTGACCCATTTCCCGATTTTTCCCGGACATGGCGAGTTTTTTGTGACACCCCAAGGTGTTCTCCTACCACCTCACAAAATTTCAAGGGGGGTCGTCGGAGGAAATTTTTTTTCGTAATATAGCCCATATAAGGCGCCGGTCAGTCGAGGTCAGTTTTGACCCCTTCTCCGTAGACTTTTCGGCCAACCGTCACCGGCCTTCGTGTTCTATTGCCCGAAGGCACCATCGTGCCAAATTTGACGCGCCTGCGGCGCCGGGAAGTGCCCTATCGGGCACTTGACCACTTTGCTTTATATATATAGATATATATATATATATATATATATATATATATATATATATATATATATATATATATATATATATATATATACATTTTCACTTTAAAGTACTTACAAGGATTGCACCTATCATCATCAGGACTGAAGTAAAAGCCTCGATCACAATAGCAAATTCCATTTAAACACTGCAATGTATTTCGACACTGTTCTGTTACAACACATTTCTCCTTAAACTTAAGTACTGTTCAAGACAAAACAGGTATTGAATATGAATATATGGACGGCCAATTAGGTAAAAAATAGTTGTTGGAAATCGGAAAATAACAACAAACTAAACGTGTCCTTGTTTGTTTGTGAAAAGCAAAAGAATCGAGTTTTGCAACAGTTAAAAATGACTTACTATTATGACAGCTCAGTGTAGAATTGTTATGATAATTGTCATTTGGACAGCTACAGTAATTATTAACACAAGTCAAGTAACTTTGGCACTTGTTCAATTCAGAACAGAACTTGCCATATGGTATATCTGATGGAAATATAAGAATATTAAATTACTTTATACAAATAAATAGTTTTTAATTTAATTAACGATGCATTTATAACATTGTTTTTAATCAAAGTCAATGTATGTTGTTTAATGGTATATTAATTATGTTATTCAATACTTAAAATTCAAGTTTAGTTCTAAATAGTCAAATTATGAATTATAAAAAAAAAAAACTATTAATTTTGAAAGTGCATACATTACAATTTAGTAAATTATTTTAAGTGTCGCTTAATTTAACCAAGCAAGTATCTTTCGATGCTATTTACCATATTTCCTTAATTAATAAACACGCGATTTAATTTTTAGTGTTTCATATGTAATGCATTATTATAATTAATATTAGATGCATCTAATAATACATTAACTGAACCAGCAAACATAGTGTATTTTAATACATCAGCCCCCTTACCTTTGATAACATAGTTTAGCTTAAACCCTCTGTAAGGCACAGAGTTGATAAGCCCTGATGTTATAAACACGATAAAGACGAAGTTGCTCGATGACGTGGTGGAAAATACAGGTACTTGACCACATCGTGGGAGATATAGATTATCTCGTGTATTTTGACCATCATATGCGAGAACAAAGGCGGACTCGCACGGCGAAACATCAAAGTCTGTGATGCTAATATAAACATAAATATTAATATATATATATATATATATATATATATATATATATATATATATATATATATATATATATATATATATATATATATATATATATATATATATATATATATATATATATAAAATTGCGGATTTAAAGGGGTGGGGGAGGGGGGCTGAGAGGGCTGCAGTCAGGGGCCCCCTATTTTTGGGGGCCCCAAAATTCCTTTTCCAATCATAATTTTTTTACTACAAAGCGACATTTTTTAGTTTTTTACCATAAAAATATCAAACACGAGTACACACATTAGTATAAACACCAGCTGTCATCACCTCCTACCCCATACATTGTTTTCATAAAACCGGCGCTCCCTAAAATAGTCTGGACAACGTTTGCTGATGACAATAAAATTGGTTGATTTTGGAGTTAAAAAGCACAGACAGCGGCCGAATTCTTACAAATGAGTTGATGATTGTCGCCTCTTGAAAAATGCAAAGCAATGGAATGCGATTCAGTCAGATAAGGTCTACATTGTGAATTAGCTCTCACTCGCAAGCATTCAAACAAGCAGCATTATAGACTAACCCTACAAATCAATGGAAAATTGCCTGACCATCTTGTTTACCCGCTACGCTACTAAGAAAGCTATTAAATTTGCTTTACATTTTTGTTATTGGAAGTGAGATTTTGGATGATCGTTTCTTCGGTATAGGTATAGGTATATCTAGATCTTTTTATTTTGGATTAATACCCCTTATATTCCTTTCTTTGTTGTCAATGCGGGCTCGAGAATTTTAAATATCAAGATAGGCCACATATCGTTAGGCTTAGTTAATTAGCTTGTGATTTTTTGGCGACTAAGATTTATCTTGTGAATATAAGAATCATACATATATGGAACTAGCACTTTCGACGATTGTGGATAGGTGTGGACGGCATATCAGAGGCGTAGCGACCCTTCCCGGCGCCCGGGGACAAAGTTTCAATTTGGCGCCCCCCTCGGGAGCAAATTTTCAATTTACACCCCCCCCCCCCGTCAAACTTTTGATTTGCACCCCCACTTTAAACTGCAAAAATGCAGCTAAAATGACATTTTAATTTGTTTTTACAACCCATTTTGGCGCCCCCTAGGTTCGGCGCCCGGGGATATATGTTCCCCCCCTGCCCCTCCCCCCATCGCTACGCCTCTGCGGCATATGAATGGATGTGGGGGGTCTATGTAGACATAACAATCAGTATCAGTCTCCCCACTTCTTCACGTGGGCCATTAAAGGAGGCTTGATTTTTTTCTCCCTTTCAGAGTGTTTCGGAATTGAGTTAAGTAACTGTCATTAAATAGCACAGATGATTGAACTGTTACATCATATAATCCAGCAACTCGTATCACAAATTTTGTTCGCATGTCAATGCAAATTTTAGCTTGCTCGGCAGATCGTATCTCAAAATCTCGTAACGTATGTCAGAGCACCACTATATAAATAAATAAATAAATATATATATATATATATATATATATATATATATATATATATATATATATATACATATATAATAGCATATTCATAGCTCATGAATTTAAACGAATAATGTATAAGCATATTTACATATTTTAAATACTTCATAACAAGAGTAGATACTTACTTTATAAATATTCTAGTTCCAGCATCCCCTACAATTCTCCATGAACAAGACGAGTATTTGTTGTAACTAGAAGGATAACCAGAGCTGGTAATTACACCAGATGTTCCATATAGAGTGTTCAAGCAAGCTGACAAATGAGAAATCGACTAAAATCAATAATTAAAATATTTATATTTTATCGACTCTCACTATACAAGGATTAATATGTTCGAATAATGATTATATAGTTTAGAATAATGTTCAAGGCCATCTTTTCCATTAGGCACATCAGCAGAGGCGTAGCGGAGGGGGGGGGGCGGACCGCACCGGGTGACCCGAAAATTGCAAGTGACCCCCTTCCTTTCCATCAGTCACGCTCACGACAAATATGCTCCCTCCATTTGGACACCTGACAAAGGGACCACAATGAATACGGTTCCCGTTGGGTCAATAAGACTCGGCAAAATGGCCCCGTTGAAAATGACCCATGTACGTAGGACCCCTTCATGCTCTTCCGAATCAGCTTAGCAAAAACCCCTGAATAATAAAGCGTTATTTGTACATTAATTTATCTAGTATGAGAAAATAGTATGTTTTAAAATAAATGGGTCATCTAGTTTTGACTCCATCATATGGGTTGGTTATGGGCTGTTCTAACTCAGTGTGTGTGGATAGACGTACTTGCGGTACATTTATAAATATAGGTTTTGAAACCTCACGTCGTTTATCGCGTAGCAAAATGCAAATCATACATTTAAACGCCTGCTCTCGCGTTTAAGCAACATGTCCTCACAGGTTAAAATAGATCATTAACACAATTTCTAATATTAGTTTCTCTTTGCTGATAAGAGTTAGATTTTATTATGAATTGCTGTTGTTTTATGTAGTTTTTCATTATTGCATTCAAAAGAGACTATGGTGGTAGTGGATACAATAGTTATGCTTAGGGGTCGTCCATAAATGACGTCACAATCGTAGTGGGAGGGGGCCCGTAATTTTGTGACGGTGTGTGATAAAGGGGAGGGGGGGTTCAGATGGTGCGACGTCACACTTTTGCATTATAAAAAAAGCAATGTTAGAAAACGAGTTATAGCCGTTATTTCGCGTTTTAGAAAACGGTTTTAATGAATTGTAATAGGAATTGATCAAAATACACTATGTTGACAGAGTTCTGACAAGATTTTGAAATTTTTTCGATGTTTTAAGAAACATTCAACAGCAATTTTGAGGGGGGGGGGGTTGTAGGCTGAGGTGTGACGTCATTTTAGGGGGGGGGGGGAGGAGTCTGGCTTTTTGTGACGACGTGCAACGGAGGGGAGAGGTAAAAATCGTCAAAAAAAGCGTGACGTCATTTATGGATGACACCCTTATACCAAAAGTGATCATATGATTCATTTGTGTGGAGCTAGTATGTTGGGAGTTTTTTGTCTGCAGTCGGGAGCCAATATGTCGTTAGCTCATACATATCTGGATTCCATTTGTCGAGAGCACATTCGTGCCTATATGTCGGATTTCAATATGACGAGTCTTTTTTGTTGGAAGTATTTTGTCTGGGTGATTTTGTCGGGGTCCAATTCGTCGGTGGATAGATATAAACCTAACATGACCTGGAGTTTGGGTCACGACAACAGTTTCAAGTTGGGTCTACGAATGCAAAAAGTGCCTAGGGCCTAGTAAGACCTTAAAACAACACTGATAACGTTAATTTATAAAACTCGGGCGGTTGTGGTTCTTAACATTTTGATTGTTTTTTTTGGAAACTACTAATTATTCTGTTATTTTAAAGCTGCCTATCTAAAGATGCTTTCTCCCCCCCCCCCCCGATAGTACAATTTCAAAGTAAAATGATTTGGAATAAAAATAATATCAATGTAAACGGATGTTTTATTTTTGTATGGTATATCCTTTCTAGAAGTATGGATTCTTTTTTATTTGTAACAGTGTGAGCAATATAAAAACAAATGCTTTCTACCACAAAAGGGACATTAACTCTGTAACTGAAGGATTAACAAAGTTACCTAGTGTAAAGTAGTTACTGTAAAACCCTTTATTCGTCGTTGTACTATCAGTTCTAAACACGACGTGCATGTTGTTAGATGAAGATACAACATACACTGGTGAACTGCTATAGCAGTACCGTCCTAATGATACGCCACTGGTGTTCTGTCCGTCGTAGACTTGGATGAAATGGTTGGGACAGGAAGATGGGGAACTGCTTAGTTGTAATGTTGTAATGCTGTTGAGTAGAGGAAAGTACTACATACATACGACATAATCGAGTGGAATGTCATGCGGATTTTATTTACTTTTCTTACACATAATAATTATGATATATACTACATGAATGGGTTAAACTTAACAAATCATAAAAAAGCAGAGAGCAAACTAAATTTAAAAAAAAAATAGCATTTTATATGAAAGTATAAGACATGAAAATGTGTAAAGGTTTGTAATGTGAAAAGGAAAGGATGTTTTTATCGCATCAACACAAACGTAATGTTTGCTGGTCGTAGTCCGGAGTTAATCTTACTTCTTCAAAGTGCAGATGCTTTTCTACGATGTAACAAAAAATGGGCATAGCTGGGTAATAACCACTAATACTGCTTTGTTTGTTGCATGCACACTAAGAATAACTTTGCTCAGCATTCACCACTGTCTTTTAAATAAACATTTGTCACGTGATCACTAGAGTTTGACCGAAATATAACTGTTGACTTTATATGCTAGCAGTAATGTCCATGGAAGGCGTCTTGCTGCGAAGGTGTGTTTTTATAGCCCATCCATCCGTCAATAGATGACTGATTCCCTTTGATCTAGTTTCATCCACCTAATGTAGTCCCATGATCGGTATGTCCTCCAACACTGTCTATATAGACTTTTTTATATAGAATATTATATTTCTAATTGCAATTTTAATAATTCGAATGTAATTTGACAAACTATGCGACTATATTTTTCTCACAATTATTATACGTAATAAACCGGGAGTGATCTCCCCTAAATTTTCTTGAATTTTCTTATATAAAACAATAAGGGATGGGAACTCGGGATATAGACATGATTGTTAATCGATTTAAAATACTTAAACTTTTTAAAATAGAATTACGAGAAAGTAAAAAGTAAGTAAAATCCCTATAACAATCCATTTTTTACTTTCTCGTATATTCGAAGTATAGAGAAAGTATTGTAATCGTGCAAAAAAAAAATCGAGATTTTTGCAAATCTCGACGTTTTACACCTCCATGAGTCGGAAAAACATAGTTTTGCAATCTTGTCCGTATGCCTGTGTGTGTGTATATGTGTGTGTGTATGTGTGTGTGTGTAAACGATGAGCGATTTCCGATAACCGGAATTTTTCAAAAGATTATAACTTGCTTACTATTTCAGATAGATAAATGAAATTTCACATGTAAGTAAACGATCTAATCCTCTACCTTCAATAAAATTTTGAGTAATTTTCATTGACCGGAAGTTGTAATTTACGCTATTTCCGATTTCTCAAAAAACGCATGTAAATTTATCGCTTGGTGCGCAATTCTTTTTTCTACGAGATTCTATTCTATTTTTAAATGCTTTAGTAATTAAAAAATCATGTCTATATTCCGAGTTGCCATCCCATTTGGTGTTATATAAGAATATTCGAGAAAGTTTAGGGGAGATTTCTCCCGGTTTATTTCTAACATCATTTGTCATGAGATGTGTCCGTTTTTTTAATGTACATGGACTATCAACCGACAAAGCCTTACAACTTTAAAATAGATCTCTTGACTATTAAAGTGGCGAGTGGTTAGTTATGGCTTAGATCTGGATTAAAGAAAGAGAGTTGCTGAGAGTTCTAGATTAATTTGAAACAACAGTTTCTCTTAATAAAATAAAAAAAAGATTTTTTCAACATACTTGAGTACAACAAACGATCCAACGTTGCCTTGTATCGTCCAGGTATAGACATTATTCGTGGGAAAATAATATGGGAAACCTGGACTAATAATATAGCCTGGTGACGTTGTGATTACTGTTGATGATTCTAGAATAATCAACGCATGCATCAATAAAAGTAACAACCGAAAGTATCAAGGTAACAAAAAAATTGAATAAGTACTTAAATTAACATCGCCCTGTGTAACAGAAAAATTATGCAAAACAATGTAAAATGTGTGCAATAGGTAAAAGTGTGGAAAAACACTATAAATGTTTTATGCTTTAAATTTTTTAATTTAGGATAGCTTAAAAAATTAATGTATGTATATACAAACTTTGTGTGGTATACGTTGCTCTAAAACCTCTGTATGTATATGAGCTATCAGTCCTAAACACAATGAACATGTAGTTTGATGTAGAGGCGATCAAATCAGGAACAACGTTACCACACTGTGTAGCTAACTTAGTGTAACCAGTAGATGGTCCATCAAAGATGTGAAGAGAATCATTACTGCAAGTTGGCATTAGTGGGCTCAAGTCTATAGATGTTATACTGTAATTTAAATATTAAAACTTATATTATTTTATCTATGATAAACATAATCATATATATATATATATATATATATATATATATATATATATATATATATATATATATATATATATAAAGCAATGTATGTTTGTGTGTCTGTCTGTCTGTCCGTCTGTCCTTTATGCATTACTACACCTCTCATCACATTGCTGTTAAACTTTGGGAAGTTGTTGAGAATATTCCTGGGGAGGTTTCTGCGAAAAAAAAATTCAAATTCGCAGGGGTGGCGCCCCGACAGGGCGCGATTTTTTTTTTTAAAAATACGGTATATAAAAATAAAAGTCGATTTTGGTTTGACATCGTTTATCCGATAGCCATGAGACTCTGGGGAGTTCATTATACTACTCTAGTGAAGGGTTCTGTAACAAAATCATTTTTAATTTCACAAGGGCGGCGCCACGGGAGGGTGCGATTTTTCTCTATATACGGTATATAAAAATAAAAGTCGATTTTTGTGTGGCACGATTATCCGATAGCCATGAGACTTTGTGGGAGTTGATTGGGACACTCCAGGGAAGGTTTCTGTAAAAATATTTTTTTTTTATTTCGTAAGGGCGGCGCCACGGAATGGTGGGATTTTTCTCAATATAGGGTATATAAAAATAAAAGTCGATTTTGGTCTGACACCATTTATCTGATCACCATCAAACTTTGGGGAGTTGATTAGAACAATTCAGGGAAGGGTTCTGTAAAAAAAAAATCCTTTTTTAATTTCGCAAGGGCGGCGCCACGGGAGTCTGCGATTTTTCTCTATATACGGTTTATAAAAATAAAAGTCTATTTCGGTTTCACACCGTTCATCCGTGTACCATGAAACTTTGGGAGGTGATTAGATCACTCAATGGTAGGGTTCTGCAAAAAAAAAAATATTTTTATTATTGCAAGGGCGGCGCCCCGGGGGGGGGGGGGGGGAAGCGATTTTTTTCTCTATACACGGTATATAAAAAATAAAACTCGGATGCGGTTTACCCGAGTTCCATGAAACTTTAGGGAGTAGATGAGAATACTCCCGAGAATATTTCTGAGAGAAAGAAAACTAAAGTTTCTTATGGGCGGCGCCATATAGGGTAAAACTTTCGTCAATACACGGTTTGGCGCCCAGTGTTTTAGAGCGACTGTGTTGGCACTTGACATCCGTTAATCGAGCGTCCTGCATAGCGAGTAAGGGGTACTACTATGTTCAGCGGTAAAACTACAACAGGCTTCTAAAAATAACTTTGTAACGCGAGGAAATCCTTCTGTACAGTTTCGTCACCTTGCGAAAGATGAAAAAAAACCTTTTGAATATGAGGAGCCTACTGTAGAGTTTCGTCACTTTGCGAATGATGCAATAAGCATCTATTATTAGACAATCCAGTCAGAAATTGAGATCGAGCATCTGATTATAAACCATTAGTAACGCTAGCGTAGTGCATCAGTCACACTGATGTTTAAAACACGTCAAATACTTTTTTTACGTGTTAAAGAAAAAATCCTGTTCATTTGTGTTACTTTAGCGAATGACGAAATCTGCATCATTATTAACAGGATACTATTTGGCACGATGGCGTCTGTTAGTTTTAAGGGGCCAGGGGTCTACGCCGCGCCTTTGCGGTAGTGTAATCGGGGGGTGGGGGCCCTGAGAGCGCCCCTCTACGTCTGTGACACAATGGCGGTCACCGAAGTGTGTTCTACCATATTATTTCGGTGAGTGATTAATGTACACTCAATGTTTTCATGCGGTAGTGTAGGTAAACCCGTGTCCCGATATTTATGATCCAAGCGCAGGCCTTGTTTACATTTAAATTCACTTTCAGAAAAGACGGTCACGCGTCTAAGAACATATGATTGGTAACGCGTTGGTGAAATCCTTCTATATATTTCGTCAAACTTTCTTCTATCCCAGCGGCAACGCGCGGGGGACGGGTACGCTAGTTATTATATATATATATATATATACTCGCCGTCCCGGCCAGGCGCTGCACTGGCCGCTGTGAAAAACCTATCTGTAAAAGACCATGAATTGTGTGTTTAGTAATCACCATATACTACAACTAACCAAAATCAAAACACAAAAAAGCAAAACATAACATAAACGCAAACATAAATACAAACACAAACACAGACACAAACCTAAAAACAAACGCAAGCACAAACGCAAACGCAAAGAAAAAAAACACAAACGCAAGCAAAAAAAAACAAGCGAAAACAAACCAAATTCAAACATAAACCCATTCACAAACGCAAACCCAACCCAAACACAAAGAAAACACAAACGCGAACATAAACGCAAAATGCTCACAGTCTAGCCCGTGGCGCCAAATTACACCATGCTGGGGCGCCAGCGGAACCGCCTGTTTCAGCTTAGTAAACGACTATAGTATCCCAACTTATTCATACTCAATTAAACGAACGTAGGCGCCATAGCGAACACTGGAAGGCTCGGGGGCTCAAATAGCACCCTGTCTGGGCGCCGGAGGACGCCCGGATTTGATTCACTTAAAGACTATAGTAACCCATAATCTATCGCACTGTATAAAACGAAATTATGCGCCATAGCGCTCAAAGGGTAGCCCACGACGCCAAATCGAACCCTGCCGGGGCGCCGACGGTCGCGCTTGTTTCAATCTAAAGAACAATTATACTACCCCAAGCTTATCCGCCAACGGAAAGTAGTAAACATAGAGGATATTTAGGAACTGGCTTCTTAACTGTTATTTTTTTTTTAAATTAGTAAACAGTAAGTTCAGTGAATAAATTTAAAAAAAAGGCAGTATTTATAATACTTACAACATTGCACTTGATCAATCCCCGCTAATTATGTAAGTATTTTTTTTTCTAAACCATAACAAAAATTATAAAAAGTAACCCCCTCGCCCCTCTAAAGATTTTATCAAGGGGAGTAATTGTGTTTTCCTAATTTATCAATGGATGTAATGAGAGCTAAAGGGCTAACGGTAAATAATTTTCAGACACACTTAGAATTTTTGTGAAAGATGATACATTTAAAAAAAAATGTGTTTGATTGACATGCTGGCAATTATTATTAAAAGTTTGATTTAGATTTTTTTGTGTTACATCTCATACCATGTGTGAACTTACTCAATCACTCTCATGAGAACACTTCCAGCTAAATTTTGACCACTAAAAGGAAACTCCACTGTAACCCCACACCCCAGGATAGCCAAATACCTACACGAGACTTGAACACAACAACCCTACCCGCCCCAACTCAGCCGCTAACACAAAAAGTCACGTAACATGTAAATTATGTTACTGTAAATATGTTGTATTTTGTTTTATGGCAAATAAAAGTATTTTTACATAAACCGGGAGTGAACGCCCCTAAACTTTCTTGAATATTCTAATATAAAACTACGAGGGATGGCAACTCAGGACATAGACAATATAATTCGTAATCCATTTTTAATTACTTAAACTTTTTATAATAGAATAGAATCTCTTAAAAAAAAAGAATTGCACACCAAGTGAACGCCTAATAAAATGTGCATAAAAGTGCGGGATATTATTAGTACTTTATAAATTTACATGCGTTTTTTTGAGAAATCAGAAATAGTGTAAATTAGTACTTCCGGTCAACGGAAATTACTCAAAATGTGACTAATGGTAGAGAATTAGATCTTTTACATACATGTGAAATTTCATTTATCGATATGAAATAGTACGCAAGTTATAGGCTTTTGAAAAATTCAAAGTAGAAAAAGTACCATATCCGGTTATCGGAAATCGCTCAAAAGTTGATGAGGATCTACGATTTTGATAAAATACTTATATATGAAATTTCATCAACCTAGCTGCAACGGTACTCAAGTAATAGTGTTTACGCACAGACAGAGAAATAGACAGACAGACAGACACACACACACAGACATACCGACAAGATTGCAAAATTATGTTTTTCCGTATCAGTGAGGTGTAAAACGTCGAGATTTGTAAAAATCTCGATTTTTTTTTGAACGATTACAAGACTCTCTATACTTCGTATTTACGAGAAAGTAAAAAAAAATCTATTTAGAATGTCCCACCATACAAAACATGAAAAAGACGCTAGAAACCAAAAAAAACAAGAAACGAGGCCTTCAAAATCGATATCGTTAGAACTTAAAAAAAATCCCTAAACAAAGAGACAGGACGGACCTAGAGCATAAAGCAAGGACGGTAGCTATCTATAGACAGACTATTTGGAACAGTAGAATAAAAGCAAAACACGACAAGGCACGGTTCACGGGACGGCTCCCGGTCTAAAAAACCCTGGACATAAACCCCCTGGACAAAAACCCCCGCGATATAAACCCCCTGGACAAAAACCCCCCAATTGAGTTTTATCTAAGGAAAAACCAAAGATGATGAGAAACAAAATTAATATAAAAATACAAAACAAACATTATAAAAAAGGCTTTTATTTTTATTATACCTTTAAAAAGACAGATTGTGAGCGATGCCTCGCAAATACTCAATAATGGAGGACTCATTAAAACTTTTTAGCATTCTGAGCTTGAGAGCAAATTCACTATCAACTTGGTAGAGTTGTTGAAGCCCACAGTCCTGAATTTTTCTGTATATATTTTGGCTAAGAAGGAAGAAACATCATTTGACCTCACAATCTGGAAATACCTTTTCAACACTTTTTATCACAGCCATTTCAAAGTCAATCATAATAGAAATTGGTTGCAGGTTTGTGTTTAAGACCGTTAACTGCTGTAAGAGTGCTTTGTGTTTCCTGTGTTTTGTTTTGAAGTAAGGCATAAACACATGGAACAGTGCGTCCATTGACCAATGCACGGACTGTGTACAGTTGTGAAAACAATGCAGGAGCTTTTTGAATGTACAATCCATAAACCAGTGCTGAATAACCTCCAATAACCTAAGGTTGTCCTTGGTTCCAAACAAAAACATGCTACCTTTTGATTTGGCACCGGAATCGAACAGAAGAAATTGTTGTCCATCTTGTGTAATTGTATATTGTTCAGGAATGATTATATCATCAACATTCCTTGGATCAGACAGTGGGTGTTTTAGCGTTTGACGTTGACGCCTGATGTTACGCCGTATGTGTGGAATCGAGGGCAGCTTGGCCTTGGCATCTTCAGTAATCGTAGTAATGGACTGAGTGATGATCTGCTGGGGTGTTGCTTCCGTTTCTTCTGCTAGTTGTTTCATCTGCTGCACTACTTTACACACTTCCAGTTGAGATGGATCTGGTCCATGCGAATGTTCTTTACATCGTCCAACAAGCTGTTCACCATGAATTTTTATTTTTGCTTTGCATTCTGCCTTGTTGCGTCTTTTGGCACACTCAAATGACACAACGCCGTTCGCCAGATCTTTTTGCTTGACATAAACATAGCCTTCAAAAATCACCTTTAAATTTCCTTTATTGGATTGAACGAACTCCATTCCAGAAAATATACGATTTGTCGAGAAATAAATTTGATTTTATATTTATACCATGGTTCTGTATGCCAAGGTGGATATGAACCAAGCTTCCGCCGGTGAATCCCTCACATCTTTTGAATTGTTAAGAATGTGTTGCTTTGATCCGCACGGCTCCCACATGTGGATGACCTATATCTAAGGTGTTGTCGGTGCCCGATCTTTGATCAAATACAACTAAGGTCACTCCTTGCTTTCGAAAAGCATTTTTTTAGGTAGAAACTATTTTCTTAGTCGTAAAAAAATTAAATTAATTTAATATAATTTTTTTGAATTTCTTGATTCACATCATCGTTATTTTTTCTTTATATAAACCTCAGTCCGGGGGTTATTATCCGGGGGGTTTATATCAAGGGGGTTTTTGTCCAGGGGGTTTATGTCGCGGGGTGTTTTTGTCCAGGGGGTTTATGTCGGGGGTTTATGTCCAGGGGTTTTTTGACCGGACGCCTCACGGGACACGTACTAGACTTGATTTATCGTAGACGACTCGACAATGACAGCACTCAAACACATATACCATAATTAGCAACACCACAACGTAAAGAATATAATTTAATATGACACCATGGCCTGCCTAATCCTAACCGACACATCCCCTTTCATCGCACCCTACCAGCCCCCCCCCCCACACACACACACCTAAACCCCTAGATCCTCATATTATATTGTGCCCATAACTGCATCCCCTTCGTCACCATGACCCCACCCCTGTGTTGAAATACTATGTTAAATACTGAGGATTATGTATTATCAAAATACATTTCTAACAAGACACATTTGATTCCCATCCCCACAACCCCCATGTCCCCACCTAGTTTTGCATCATTTATTATTTGTCATTAAGGTTCCTATTGTTGCTTATTTGTGTATTGTTTTATTTACACAGCCTATAAACAAACATTGTAAAGACATTATTTGACACTATTTTACTATTATCTTATATGTACGGTACTTTGGTCCACAACGAAAAAAGGACCACAGCGACCCCTCCTCCTTTTGTATTCATTTTATTATCTGTAAATTAATACTAACAATTGTTTTGTTAACTTCAATAACATGTACGGCCTTATTTGAACTCTTTTATGAGAACACTGTTAACCAATTTTTGACCTTTAAAACTCTACTGTATCCCCACACCCCCTAATAGCTACACGCCTACCCAGTCCTAACATGTCGTTCCTAAACATTCAAATAAACATAAACAAGATTTAGTCCACCGACTTCAACATACCGACCTTTCACCCTCCCGCTTAATCGCTCACACAGCAATCTGTTCGTCAAACGCCCCCCCCCCACACACACACTCTAAATAGTAACACCTCAGCAGTTAGATCACACATCACTAAATGCCCATATCGTCCTCATTTTAACTGTTCCAACGACCTCACCACCCACCCAAACATGTTTCGAATATTTATTCATTTACTTTTTTATCTATTTTTAATTTCTCATATATGCGAAGTATAGAGAAAGTCTTGTAATCGTACAATAAAAAATCGAGATTTTTACAAATCTCGACGTTTTACACCTCACTGATACGGAAAAACATAATTTTGCAATCTTGTCCGTATGTCTGTGTGTCTCTCTCTGTGTGTGTGTGTGTGTGTGTGTGCCTGTGTGTAAACACGATAACTTGAGTACCGTTACAGCTAGGTTGATGAAATTTCATATATAAGTATTTTATCAAAATCGTATATCCTGATCAACTTTTGAGCGATTTCCGATAACCGGAAGTGGTACTTTTTTACTTTGAATTTTTCAAAAAAAAAAGGAAAATTTCCCCATACCCACCCGAACAGTTTCGATTCGTTAGTATTCATTTTTCTTTTGTATTTATTATGTTTACTGTACAGAATCGGATGAAATCCATACAAACCAATTTTGTTTTCGACTATTCTTCCATATGTTATACTTTTTAACCCACTTGTGTTGGCAAAATGTTCCAAACCTGCTTTTGTCCAATTTTTGAACCAACAAACTTTAAATTCAATACTTATTTCGCTATTTATTTTCTATACTCTGTTTATCAATGTAACTACCTTATAAATACCCACCTAAATGGCGTGGGTTGTTACTGCATTTGTTTTAAATTGGAAAAAAAGTATTTAAAAAAAACATAGAGAATTGAACTATAAATATTAGAGAAAATAATATATTAGATAAACTAATTTGAGGAACATTTACCTAAATATAATAAAGGTGTTGGAGCCACCATCAATTTTCCAAATGTTGTTCTGATCACTAAGATAAACTGGGCTTTCAATTGAACCAGATGGTGCAGTCAACGTGGTTATATCTAGAAATGCAGGCATATATATATATATATATATATATATATATATATATATATATATATATATATATATATATATACACTATGATAAAACGCAAGGAATTTGTATATATGGGGCGGAAATGATTTTATGTATTTGGAAGATTTGATTTTAGAAAACTTTTTATCTCTAGGTCCCCATAGTGTTATATTATTGTTTATAGTTTTTTTTTAATTTAATGTGTGTATATACTAACTTTTTATGATATACGTTGCTCTAAAACCTCTGTATGTATATGAGCTATCAGTCCTAAACACAATGAACATGTAGTTTGATGTAGAGGCGATCAGACCAGGAACTACGTTACCACACAGTGTAGCTAACTTAGTGTAACCAGTAGATGGTCCATTAAAGATTTGTAGAGAATCATTACTGCAAGTTGGCATTAGTGGGCTCAAGTCTATAGATGTTATACTGTAATTTAAATATTAAAACGTTTATGAAAAGCATAATCACACACACACACGCATATATATATATATATATATATATATATATATATATATATATATATATATATATAAATATATATATATATATATATATTTATAAATATATATATATATATATATATATATATATATATATATATATATATATATATATATATATATATATTTATATATATATATATAGGCCTATATATATATATATATATATATATATATATATATATATATATATATATATATATATATATTGCTAAAGTTTGTTTACACGTCTGAATATTTTTTTTCGGTATGGTTACAGGAGAGAATCTGCACTATGTGTAGAGCTGTAAAATAGAAATTGGGTATAACACCCGTTTTTTTTTCAGGCAGACTGTTAATCACAAATTTATTTAAAGACGTTAATTAATTTATTGATTTATTCATCGGTAATATCAATTTTCAACACTCCTTTTTATTTAACTATACAATAAATTTCTCTAGATCTAGAATCTAAAGAGATCAGCCGTCGAAGAAAGTTATTTATTGAACTAGATCTAGAATCTAGGTCGAACCAACATTAATTAGTTTAAAAAAAACTTTAAAAAAATCAGAATACATTTTTGAGTTTGTTTATTAAACTATTTTAATCATTAAAGACTTGATATAAATCTTTCCTTTTTGTCTTAACGGATCATCAAATTCTGGAATACAAGTGATTTATCTATCTACGGTCTAGATCTAGTTCTAGATCTAGCCAGAGTTAGGGGCGTCCATTAATGACGTCACACTCGTAGGGGGGAAGGAAGGGAGTCCATAATTTTGTGACAATGTGTGACGAGGGGGAGGGGGGGGGGGGTTCAGACGGTGCGACGTCACACCTTTGTATTATAAAAAGCAATGCTAGAAAACGAATTTTAGACGTTATTTCGCGTTTTAGAAAACTGTTTTAATAAATAGCAGTAGGAATTGATTAAAATACTCTATTTTGACAGAGTTCAAACTAGATTTTGGAAAAAATTCGATGTTTCAAGAAAAATGCAACTGCAATTTTGAGGGGGGTCATAGGCTGAGGTGTGACGTCATTTTAGGGGAGGGGGTCTGGCTTTTTGTGACGATGTGTGACGGAGGAGAGGGGGGGGGGGTAAAAATCGCCAAAAAAGCGTTACGTTATTTATGGATGATCCCTTAAGGCAAAAGCTAGACTTAATCTAGCCAGTCGTAGAATCTAGATAATTCTATATCAATCTAGATAATAATGAGTTTCTATACTAAACTATTTCACAACTTCATTATTTTATATAAATCTTCGTTTGTTTAGCTATGCAATTGACTAATTTAAGTTATAATTGAATTTGAAAGGTACTAGATCAAGATCTAGGGCCTATGCGCGTAAATCAAGTTTCACAACGCGACTCAAAGCATATAGCACCAAAAGATGTCAATTTCATTTTTTTTAGATGTGAGTGATACAGTTGCCTATATTAACTTGGCGGGATTACAGGGCAGGTGAAGTAGAGTTCACTGTTTCTTTGTCGTCAGCATATGAACTTTATATTGTGGCCAAAGACATGCTCGGCCGGAATCGTATTTTTAAAACTATAAAATCATGTTGTCTGAGACTTGGCGTGACACTGTGCAGGAGAAGTAGAGTTATGTAGGTCACCTGTGACGTCAGTATATGAAGGGATAATGTGGTCAAACCAACGCTCAGGCGAAACCGATGTTTTTAAAATATAAAAAAGCAACCTCTTGTATGAATGTGGGGTCTGGTTATTTTTTGATGATAAGAGATAGAAGTGATTTCATTTATAGATGACCCCCGAAACGCAGAGTTATCTAACTAGATAACGGGTAGTATAGTATATATTATAATTTGAGGAACATTTACCTTAATATAATAAAGGTGTTAGAGCCACCAGCTATATTCCAAATGTTGTTCTGATCAATAAGATTAACTGGGCTTTCAATTGACCCAGAAGGTGCAGTCATCGTGTTTATATCTAGAAGTGCAGGCATATATATATATATATATATATATATATATATATATATATATATATATATATATATATATATATATATATATATATATATATATATATATATATATATATAAAGCAATGTATGTCTGTGTGTTTGTCCTTTATGCATTACTTCACCTCTCATCATATCGCCGTGAACCTTTGGGAAGTTGTTGAGAATATTCCTGGGGAGGATTCTGCGAAAAAAAATACAAATTCGCAGGGGTGGCGCCCAGACACGGCGCGATTTGTTGTTTTTTATATACGGTATATAAAAATATTTTTTTTTAATTTCGCAAGGGCGGCACCACGGGAGGGTCCGATCTTTCTCTATTTACGGTATATAAAAATAATAAAAGTGAATTGCAGTGACACCGCTCATCCGATAGGCATGAAACTTTGGGGAGTTCATTATAAAACTCTAGGGAAGGGTTCTGTAAAAAATCAGTTTTTAATTTCGCAAGGGGGTCGGCGTGGTCGAGTCGGTAAAGCTCATGGTTGCTTAACCGAAAAAGTCTCGAGTTCGAACCCTCGGGCAGATGAGGCTCGTTAGCTGGGGACAGCAACTCATCTAGGAGAGACAACTCCAAAATTAAACAACTGCTGCCTTGTAGTTTGTTCTTGGTTGGACAAAGGCGATGGAAGCAAATCCAAAAAGAAAAGCAGGCTGAAATCGGAGTCAATGGCCTCAATGGCGCATAACCAGTTGACACGTAACGCTTAATTTTGTTGGAGGCGAGGTCGAGTCGGCAAAAAGCTCATGGTTGTTAAATTCGAACAAAGTCTCGAGTTCAAACCCAATGGCAGATAAATCTCGATCCCCTCCAACATTAATAATTAAGAACGAAGAAGAAGAAGAAGAATTTCGCAAGGGCGGCGCCACGGGAGGGTGCGATTTTTCTCTATATACGGTTTATAAAAATAAGTCGATTTTGGTGTGACACCGTTATCCGATAGCCATGAGACTTTGGGGGAGTTGATTAGAACAATTCAGGGAAGGGTTCTGTAAACAAATCCTTTTTTAATTTCGCAAGGGCGGCGCCACGGGCGGCTGCGATTTTTCTCTATATACAGTTTATAAAATTTCGGTTTCACACCGTTCGTCCGTGTACCATGAAACTTTGGGGAGATGATTAGATCACTCAATGGTAGGGTTCTGCAAAAAAATATTGTTTAATATTGCTAGGGCGGCGCCCCCCCCCCCCCCCAGGGGGAGCGATTTGTGTTCTCTATACACGGTATATAAAAAATAACTCGGTTCATCCGAGTGTCATGAAACTTTAGGGAGTAGATGAGAATACCCCCCCCCCCCGAGAATATTTCTGCGAAAAAGAAAACTAAAGTTTCTTACGGGCGGCGCCATATAGGGTACAACTTTCGCCAATACACGGTTTTGCGCCCAGAGTTTTAGAGCGACTATGTTGGCACTTGGCATCCGTTAATCATGCGTCCTGCATAGCGAGTAAGGGGTACTACTATATTCAGCGGTAAAACTATAACAGGCTTCTAAAAATAACTTTGTAATGCGACAAAATCCTTTTGTACAGTTTCGTCACCTTGCGAAAGATGAAAAAATAACTTTTTGAATATGAGTAGCCTACTGTAGAGTTTCGTCACTTTGCGAATGATGCAATAAGCATCTATTATTAGACAATCCAGTCAGAAATTGAGATCGAGCATCTGATTATAAACCATTAGTAACGCTAGCTTATTGCATCAGTCATAATGATGTTTAAAACACGTCAAATACTTTTTTTACGTGTTAAAGAAAAAAATCCTGTTCATTTGTGTCACTTTAGCGAATGACGAAATCTGCATCATTATTAACAGGATGCTATTTGGCACGATGGCGCCTGTTACTTTTAAGGAGCCAGGGGTCGTATGCCGCGCCTATGCGGTAGTTTATTCTGGGGGTGGGGGCCCTGAGAGCGCCCCTGTGCGTCTCTGACACATGGGCGGTCACCGAAGTGTGTTCTTCCATATTATTTCAATGTTTTCATGCGGTAGTGTAGGTAAACCTGTGTTCCGATATTTATGATCCAAGCGCAGGCATTGTTTGCATTTAAATAACTCACTTTTAGAAACGACGGTCACGCGTCTAAGAACATATGATTGGTAACGCGTTGCTAAAATCCTTCTAATGCATTTTGTCAAACTTACTTCTATCCCCGCGGCAACGCGCGGGGGACGGGTACGCTAGTTGTAAATAAAAACACGTAATGTACTAAAAAAATTTCATAAAAAACGTTTTAATAACAAGCTTTTATGTATTAAAGCACTAAAAAGTAGAAAAAAAAAATTATAGACTACTATTTAAATAACTATAAAGAAAAGCGTGAGTCTCTTCCTAAATATTAGTAAAGGTATTCAATAGATACTAAAAATCATGTAAATATTTCGAGTTGCCATGCCACGTAGTGTTATATAAGAATATTCGAGAAAGTTTAGGGGAGATCACTCCCGGTTTATTTGCTTCGTCACTAATATATTGTTCAACGTGTATTAAGAACATTGCGTTTTGACCTATAAATATTTTATGAAATATTGTTATCAATAAATTGTAACATTAAAATATATAGGCCTCTAATTCACGTGTAACAAGTATCAACGTCTAGAATAAATATATATATATATATATATATATATATATATATATATATATATATATATATATATATATATATATATATACTTATACATACTTATATATATATACTTATATATAATAATATATATACTTATATATATATATATATATATATAAATATATATATATATATATAAATATATATATATATATATATATATATATATATATATATATATATATATATATATATATATATATATATATATATGTATATATATATATATAAGTATATTTTTTAACCTGAAGTGTAATTAAAAAAATATAAACCACTAACTTTTTGTATAATATGTTGCATTAAAGCCCTGGTATGTTCCAAAGCTATCAGACCTAAACACAACATACATGACGTTCGATGAAGAGGCGATCAGACCAGGGGCGACGTTACCACACGGTCGAGCTAACTGTCTAGGATTATCATATTCCCCACCCAATATTTGAAGATAATCATTAGTGCACATGGGTGAAACTGGACCAAGGTCAATGAACGTGATTCTGTGAAGTAAATATTACAAATTAAATTAATTATATTAGATTTTCTGTTCTGAATGTGTCAATCCCCTACTTTTGAAAGTGTTACCTTAATATAATAAAAGTGTTGACGCCACCTTCAATTTTCCAAACGTTGTTCTGGTTATTAAGATATGCTGGACTAACTATAGACCCAGATGAAGTATTGACGATGATAAGATCTAGAAGTACGATATATATATATATATATATATATATATATATATATATATATATATATATATATATACATAAACCTATATATATATATATATATATACATATATATATATATATATATATATATATATATATATATATATATATATATATATATATATATATATATATATATATATATATATATATATATATATATATAGTTGTGGCTGGTTGTTTGCTAGGAGAAGATTATGTGTGAGGTATATTAAATTTTTCCACGAAGATTTATATTTTGCTTTAATAGCTAGAGCGCTGACATTTTTTTTTGCTTGATGTTCTTATTTTCAAATTATTACCACTGCTGAATGAATGCACCTTATCAATGTTGATTTAAAATATAATTTGAAAGTAAATATAATTTTTAAATACATTTAATTTAGCAAAAACAATTTACATATTACCAAGTAAATATATTGTCCAATAATAATTTTTAAACTTAATATAATTTGTGTATATATATATATATATATATATATATATATATATATATATATATATATATATATATATATATATATATATATATATATATATATATATATATATATATATATATAAATAGATTAAAATACAATTAAAATTAATTTATATTAATTAATTAATAAACTTACTTTTTATATAATATGTAGCGTTAAAACCCTTGTATGTTGAAGAACTGTCAGCAATGAATCGAATGTACATGTAATTAGATGAAGAGGCGATGAGGCCTGAAGTAACGTTACCACATAGAAGAGCTAACTGGTTGTTGGTCTCATAGATGTCTAGGTAATCATAGCAGGAAACAGAACTTGGTTCCAGATCAAATGAAGATATACTGTTTTACAAAATTTGCATTAATCTTGTGTTACCCTGTGATTATACTTTGTTATTGTTTTGGGCTCCATTAAAGCATTGTTTTCTAAATCATTGGACAATTAAGCTTAATTTAAATGCTAAAAACAAATAATTATTTATTTTAGCTTATCTCTAGATTACTCAGATTTTGTTTGGAAAACGGTGTGTCGTCCTCACTAATAATATGTCCCGCATGTTATTAGTCTTTAATTTAAAAGTTGTAAATACATGTTATGAAAAAAGAAAATGTTTCTTTTCATAAGTGTGCATTTTCAAGTCCTATACATAGGACAGATGTTCAGACCTCGCGATACCGAAAAATTAATAAACACAAAAAATTCACTGTACAAACAAATTAATTTGTTACTACTAATACAATATAGATATTACTTGCTTTAAAACAATGAAAGTCCCAGGTGCAGTATTGATTCTCCAGGCTATGTACTGATTGTTTATGTAACCAAGAGGAAATCCTGGACTCATAATCAATCCAGCAGGATCGTACATGTAATTGTACGTTGCTATTAGAAGAACACATTCGTGAATAATATATATATATATATATATATATATATATATATATATATATATATATATATATATATATATATATATATATATATATATAATGAGAGAGAGAGGGGGTAGGGAACGAGAATCAGAAAAGTATATAGATGGGCAATTAATACCACCCTCAGTTTGCCTTTTCTTACCGAACGTTTGCCTATTCTTACCGATCGAAAATCGCAGAAACAAGTTGAACTATATATACATATAAATGTTACGGTTAGAACCCAAAGTCGGCCATTGCGCGGATTGGCCGGCCAATATCGCCTCCCATAGGTCGGCCAAAGTCCGAAACGTTGCTTGATTTCAGCCTTTGGCCGGCCAATCCGCAGACTAGCCATGGTGGACCGGCCAAAGTCTTAATTAGAAGATCATGAGCAGATTTGTTTTTATGCCGTAAGGATCATGAAATTAAGTCTTTATTGATTATTAATTAAAGTAAATGACAGAAATATTCAAATTTTGTATTGTACTATAATCTCAAGCAATCAATATTATCATTTGTTACAACAAGTTGAACTTTTATGGCATTTAGAATTACATAGCAGCTTGTTATTTTTACACTTGCAGCTATTTGTTGTGCACTTAGTTGTGCAATTGCAGCGAGTGTAGCCTTGGCCCCAGTCAATGATTGTGAAGATGCGATGTGATTTTTCCTCAGTGCCAACTGACGACAATAAGAGTAGTTTTTCGTGAAGAATTGAAAACTCATTTCTAGCATACAGTTGTTTTAGAACACCATGTTCCGTTCCTAATTTGTAGAAACCGCCCTCGACGCTCATGACAACTGCAATCACGCTTCGGGGATCACCGCGACCTCTGTCAACATCTGGAACACGGATGCGTACATTGTCACCCACTTCACCATCTTTAAATTTTGTATTTGATGTTTTAAGAATCTTAGCACCTTGAGTTTGCAAGCCAGTATAAGCTGCTGACCTGTGTTCCATGATGTCTTGTTTGTTGTGACACAATCTGCAGGTAATGTTCCCTCCGTACCCTTCGTCTGCTTTATTGGGTATTCCACAAATAGCATGGACATCGTTGCCACAGGATCCACACGAATGAGCTGCACTACAATGTTTTTCACAAACTATACAGAATCTGTTGGCCACATTATTGTCACGCAACTGGTCTGGACGTTCCGCCACGACAGCAGATGTGTTAGTTGAGGATGTCGTTGCATTTATGGTAACCTCCATTTCTTGATCAATGTTCTCAAGATCTTCCTCAGTAACTATTTTATCGAGAGCCTCTCTTGGTAGATTTGAAGTGCTAAGTCCTACTTTTGCTTTGCATCTAAACAAGGCTTCGTATGGCGATTGTTGGATTCCTTGATGAAAAGAACGATTTTTCATAAATTGAATGAATTTGAGACTCTCAGCCCAATGAGCTGATTCATTTGTTTGCATCCATGTCATCATCATGTTTTGAACATCTCGGTTGACACGTTCGACTGAACCTTGGCTTTGGCTATGCCTTGGTTTTCTGTGAACTAGTTTAAGTTCAGGCCACATGTTCTTTAGTTCAGAAATAACTTGATTCACAAATTCTCTTCCATTATCTGATTCAAGCATACTTGGGGCACCAATAGTCGTGAAGATATACAGCAGCTAGTAAGCAACTTCTTCTGCTCTTTTGGTTTCCAAAGCTCGCAACAATATGAACTTGGTTAAATGATCCTGGTAACTGAGTATAAACTTGTATTTGCCGTCTGGCTTACTTTGCATATCAATAAGATCTTTTTGGCATCTTGAGTTAAATTCTTTAAATATCAAGGGTTTGGAAACAAGACCTTTCTTAGGATTAGACAATTTTGTCTGACAATGCTTGCACAACCGAATATACATAGTAATGATTTCTTTGGTGATATTTTTGTACTTTCACTTTAGCTCTTTTTCCATCCATGTGGGACGTCCATGTCCGATTTTCAAGTGAGTTTCATTGATGAAGTCGAACAACTCTTCTGAGTGCTTGTAGTACAAAATAGCACCATTGTCTTCTGTTAGTGGTACAATAAGTTTTTCTTTACCGTCAACTACAATAACATCATATTTGTTTAGTCAACGAAAGTCAACATCTGCTATGTCTATCTCATGGTCTGACGGTCCTTTTGATCCATGTCGCCTTGCATGTAGAATGCTATACAAACAAGAGCTAAACAATACGTTACTCACAATGAAACCGCACCAAGAATAATGAAAACGCGATCATAACTTAGTCTAGATAGAACATTATAGAACATCCCAGCCAGTGCGCGCATTGGCCAGATATGTACAAAATACACTCTCAAGTTTAAGCGCTTCGGACTGGCCAGTACGTCCCGGCCAGTGCGCGCATTGGCCGGCCATGGTACGAAATACGATCTTAGTGCTAAGTTCTTCGGGCTTTGGCCAAGAGAGCCGGCAAATCCGCGCTTTGGCCGCACTTCGGGCTTTGACCGTAACATATATACAAAGTGGTCGGGATTAGGCCCTTCCCGGCGCTGCAGGCGCTTCAAATTTGGCAGTCTCGGGCCGTCGAAACACGGGGGCCGGTGCCGATGATAAGGGGGTCCACGGTGAGGGGGTAAAAACTTAACTCGATTGACAGGCGCCTTTTATGAGCTATATATCGAAAAAACCTTTTGCCGATCGACCCCCACCCCGCTTGATTTTTTGTGAGGTGGTAGAAAAACACCTAGGGGTGTCACAAAAAACTCGCCATATTCGGGAAAAATCTTGAAAGTGGTCAAAACAGACTAGTCGTATTTCCCTATATAATCTTTGTAATTTACGGGAAAAACAGAGAGTAATTTCAACAAAAGATTTTAGAGTACTGGCTAATTTTTTGCATGCACCTAGGTAAATGGATAGGCCGTATCGAAAAACTGTAGGTTTGACTCAAAGCCCTCGATGAGGGCTAAAAAATGACCGCAAGTGAAATTCTACTTACATAACGAAAAAAAAACTTTAGCCGAACGATCGCCTGAAGATTAACAACAATTTTTTTTATTCTCCTCGGAAAAACCCCTTAGGGCCGTTAGATTTGTCCAGATGCCGTATATAATGTATGATGTGATGTGTTACATTGTAATCCACATAACATTCCGGTTGCTTTCTGCTCTACTTAAAAGCCCAAACCCCCTAAATCCCTTGAATCATCATTAAATTACACATTTGCATTTTGATGTTTTTAAAAATAATTGTATAATTAGACGTTTTGTATTAGATCTATTTATAAGTAAACCATCTTAAAAACGAATAAAAGTAGGTTACAAGTAAGAAAGAAATATTACTATTGTAAAACTGTATCAGTGCTCACAAGCCGATGATGAAAACTAGTACTAAAGCTAACATGCAAGGCAAACTGACGCTGTAAATTACATGTCTGAGGCGAAAAACAAGGAAAAAAATACACCCTTCATAACAGCCAATCGCAGACAACACTACTTTCTTAGTATAAACAGCAAAAGTAATATAGACTGTAATAGAAAAAAATCAACAACTTTGGGAAAGGAAGCGGGGGCAAAAAAAAAACGCGGAAAAATAAAAAAATAATGGGGGATAGGCAAATGGAAAGATAAAGATAATTACAACATAGACATCACAATAACAGACAAACTCAGAATATATGGAATAACCTATACCAGCGATCCCACAAAAGACGACCAAGAAATTTGGGCCATACTGAACAATAAAAAAATCACAATCTGAAAAAATACCAATATTGCAATATAACCATCTTTGCCATAGCTGCAGTAGTAAACAGATGTATCATTCCAAAAATAATTTTCGTAGCGACAAACTCTAAAATACCCAGATCGTTTATCAAACAAACAAACAATCACATTAGAGAATTCATTTTCAAAAGCACACTTAGAAACATTAGCCACAAAACCTTAGTAAAAAAACAAATTAAATTGAGGTAGGCCTATAGGACTACATAATATTCATACTAAAATAAACACCATCCGATTAAAACACCTGGATAGAATAAGGATAGAACCACACTATCTTCCATTAGCACAATACTACATAGTGTTGAAAATAAAGAGCATTCTAAAATTAAAAATCATAACACCACACTATGGGGGAAATGACATAGGCAGCTGTTATAAAGAACGCTAGCAACATTTCAAGGAAACAAACGCATTATTGGTGAAAACACAAAAAATAAAACGTCATCCCAATCAAACAAAAAAAAAACCCTATACTCCAGAATTAGTTGGGCCAGGGAACAAAATATAATAAACATTAAAGATACATTTAGAAACATTCATAATAAGGGAAGTAGTATAAAGACTGATTTTTAATACAACACCAGTTTCACTAAATACGAATTCAAATCAAAATGTTAAAAAAACATGTCAAACGTGTAAACAAAATATACAAGAAACTTAGAAACACATTTAATTAGATTGTATATTAGTAAAGGAAGCAAAGCAAACACTTGCGAAAATATTAAACACCACCAATCAAACAGCCACAACAAATAAAGCAATCACACTTAACTTAAATAACACGACTAGACAAAGAACAGAAGATAAAAACGGACTAGTAGCAATGGCTATTTATAGAATTACTATATGGGAATATACGAATAAAATCAGATTTTTTTTTAAAATACTCTGACATGTAGTTAAAAGAAATATTTCAAGCAAAGGTAAGACATAGACTGGGAACTCTCACCTAACTAAAAAAACTGATAAGGAAAAAATAAATAAAGTAATAATGTTAATTAAGACAGTCTGAAGCCAAACATCACTCGATCAGCCTTCGAGTAAATTAACGTTAGAACAGTCCTTAGGTTTCCCAGGTTTTAAAAGTGCACAACCTGAATGGTAGAAAGAGATACACACCTCTCACCTCACCCCCCCCCCCCTTCTACTTCGCCCACCCAACCGGACTGGCGGATAAATCAAGGGCAGCGTACGCTCATCGCCAGGGGTCAACTTGTGTCAGAGAAATTCTGGAATGATAGATCAGTATGAGTATTACAGAGACCCTTTTCCCATGGTCGTTTCTATTTCTGTCCATGGGTGGCTACAATGTCAACTTTTGACTTCACAGCTAAGGATGGAGCACAGTAAACTAAGCAGTCAAAAGAAACCGAGTTGCACATCTTATTTTAGTCAGGTTCTTATGCCATTTTATTTTCCCCATTTAATTACTATATAAACAATTGATGTCCATGTCTTTAAAATACCAAATAAATTATTATTACTATTTTAAATGTTTAAAAAAATTAAAATCAAAAGATTAAAAATTCAAAAGCAAAAAAAAAAAAAAAAAAACTGTGGGAGGACTGCTATAGATATAGACGTTTGAAAGGGAAGAAAGTTTCATTTGATGTGTCTCATTGTAATCATCATAACATTCCGGCTGCTTACATTTTTAAAAAAAAAAATATTTTTCTTTAATTTCAAACTTATTTCAGCTCTACTTAATAAAAAGCCCAAACCCCCTCAGCCCACCACGCCGATAGAAAAAATAACAGTCAATCACTAATTAATTATTCAAATCTCAAATGCTTATTGAAAACCTAAGCAAAATTAGGCAGTATGCCTAGTTTTTATATATGATGAAAAGGGACTTGTGGTTACAACGAATAATAGAATCGATCGTAAAAAAGATCATCAACAGCATAGCATAGTTTGAAAGACAGCCTAACATTATACCCATAATTGTGAAAACACAAAAACTCACGACCAATTCCACTTTATTTTGTCACGACATAAATTTCATCATCCGTAAAATAATCAATATTTTCCGCATTTTTCTATCGGTAAAGTTAAGCGAAACAAGGATGGTTTGGCTTGCACACCGGTACGAATAGACCAAGTTTACTATATTTATATTTATATGTATATACATACATGTATATATTGTTATATATAAATATATAGGCATTAACATATATTTACAACCACGCGCATACACACACATATATATATATATATATATATATATATATATATATATATATATATATATATATATATATATACATATATACATATTCATTCAATAAAAATACTCAGTGTTTTGAAGTAGGCAAGAAATCTTCCAGTTCCAGACGTTCTAAACACCACAAGCATGTTGTTTGTTGTAGATATAGTCAGTGTTTCCCAGGATGTACACATTTTCCCAAATGTCCTGTTTGATGTCGACGGTCCATCAAATATCTCAATGTAATTAGATGCACAACTGTTGTCTGTACCCATGTCAAGGTATGTTAAGCTTAAACAATAAGATGTACCAACTCCTTAAAAACATTGTATTATAAACAGTTACATATAAACTTACAGTTCGAAAAGTGGGCGTATTGATCAATGTAGAAAAACACTATGCATTAATGCGAACAGTATTGTCCTTATGAATTAAAATGATTGCAAAATCTTATTGTTTTTCTTTCGTTATAATATTCTCTGAGACGTCCATTAATTTAATCGGTAATTTATCTATTTTTTTTTCAAATAACTTGAAATGTATCTACATATAGAGCATAACATAAACCATTTTCTTTATAGCAGAATAATTTTAGAAAAGAATTAACAGTGTTGATCTTCAATTTAAACAGATTGAAAAAAATTGTGTATCGAGGTTATAACATTTCAAATATTTATATTAAACGGTTAATTGATGCCAAACTATTAATGTTAGAGTAATATTCATGAATACAATTTTTAGTAAAAGCGGATGTTCACGCTTGATATCTATATTCATCTACCGAAAAAATACGGCTACAGGACAATACCCCCCCCCCCGGACATTCCCCCCCCCCGGTCGTTCCCCCCATCATGTCATGATATTTACCCCACGGAGCAATTAGCCCCCTGTCGAATAACCCCCGTGGGAATTACCCCCCCCCCTTTTCAAGTTAGAATCCTAACTCTAACTCAAATCCTATAACTTATATATTACCTTAATGCTAACGTTTAAGAAAGAAAAAAACAACCTAAGCATCCAGCTCAGCCTGAAACTTAACACAAAACCAAAAACCGATGCTAGACATTGGTTTAAGCCTATACCTAACCCTAACCCTAGCCATAACCCAAACACTAACCCTAACCCTAACCCTAACCCTAACCCTAACACTAACACTAACACTAACACTAACACTAACACTAACACTAACACTAACACTAACACTAACACTAACACTAACACTAACACTAACCCTTACCTTAACCCTAACCCTAACCCTAACCCTAACTCTAACCCTAACCCTAACCCAAACCCTAGCCATAACCATAGCACTAATCCTAACCCTGACGATAACACTAACCCTAATCCTAACCCTAAACCTAAACCTAACCGTAACACTAGCCCTAATCACATATCTAACCCTAACCCTGTCCGGGGGTGGGGGTAATGTCCTACTTGGAGTGGAGGTAAATGACAGGGGGGTATTTACTCCGGGGGATAATTGACGGGGTGGGGGGGGGGGGGTAATGCCCTGTTCCCAAAAAGACACATAAGTGACGTAAATTGTACTTTTAAAACTAAATACACATTTTTTTGTTATTTAAGATAATCCATTTAACCTATTGTAAGTTAACTTTACTTGAAGCCTATATAGGTCGCTGGCAATCCTTGAATGTTCCATGTACAGTAGGTTGTAGTAGAACTCGAGGGATAACCTGGGCTGGTTATCGTTCCTGTAGTGCCATTCACTGTGCTATTGCAATCTGTAAAATCAATTGTTAGTTACATTGTAAACAAAATATATAACAGCAGAAAAGTAATAGAAAATGTATTTATTTTTTTAAAATATAAAGAATCTTGAAAAGTTATGATAAAAACAAAACAACAATAAAATATACTAGTATTATAAATGAGAAACATGAATTTCGTTGCTATTTTAGCAAAAATAGTTTAACAATAACTTAATTTTTTTTTAGAATTTGTAAACTACCATTGTTAATTATCTTTTAATGTATTCTTCCATAATTTAATCAAATACTAAATTGCAGGCATCACTAACCGTTAACACACTTAAAGGCGCATGTGTTGTATGAAGTTCCATTGTCACATAGACACCTTGAGGCACTACACAGCCCCGTAACACACTGGGAGCTGTAACTGCATGATTGATTGTATCCAAGCAATCCACTTGGATTGGTGTTACAGAAGGGTGCTTCCGCATTAATGTAAAACTAATTTAAATAAATAAGGTAAAAAGACATAAAAAAACTCAAAGCAAAAAAAGAGTTATTCTGCATGTTATAAATATCATATACAGTAGTACTTACATTGTTTTTAATACGTTCCTTTAATTACTTAACAAAGGTGTAGGCTATTTTAGATTAAAACCTAACTAGCTACACTTTATTATCAAAGCAGCATCTGTGCTAAAGAATTATGACACGTCAGAATGACCTGTAAAAAGCAAAACTGTCACCTTGACCCCACATTGACCAAGTTAAATTAACACGCTGAATTGGCATTTGATAAAAAGTTACACGGTACATTAATCCTAGTTGTTCTCTACATCACCGTCATTCACAAGGCTCCACATTATGCGTATGGCCTACATTGGAGATGTGGGTTGGTGGGAAAGAAGTAGAGTCCCTATAGTTAAGTTACAGATATTGGAACAGGGTGTTCTTGTTCCTTTTATATCTAACATTTGTAATGCTTGAACGTCATACAAACAAGTTAAAGATCTTAAATCTGAAATAGGATGTATATATATATATATATATATATATATATATATATATATATATATATATATATATATATATATATATATATATATATATATATATATATATACTAGCCGTCCCGGTCAGGCCCTGCACTGGCCTCTGTGAAAAACTTTTCCTAAAAGATCGTGACCTGTGTTTTTATTCAGCATCACATTCCCGGCATTGCTAGTGTTTTGGGAATATATTAAATATCCAATTAATGTTTTTGTGCAAATATAGAAAATGTGTACAACCCTAAACTTAACTCTAACCACAACCAACCACAAACATAAACGAACAGAGACATAATACTTCTTCCTCTCTTTGCACTGCGTCTAAAAAAAAACAACCACATACACAAATATATACACAAACATAAACACAGAAACAAACAGGAACCAACCCTTATCACAATACATAAACCCTCTCCCCTCCTCGCACTTCTACGCGTAAAATAACAGCCACGTAAATGAAACCTAACCTGAGTTAGGTACCAACCAGAGTTGGGTGGACTCAGAGACCTTCTACTGGCTTGAACCCTGATTCGAACTCGAGACTTTCGGGTTAGCAGTCTAGCTCTCTACCGTCATGATGACATAATATACATTTATATATTTATGTACATCATGTTATTGAAATTGTTAACCAACTCCATGACCAATAACTGTTTACGCCACTGTATTAATCGTTATAGAAAAGCCTCACTCTGCAACGCATTTAATAATGAATTTAAATCCTATCTATATATATAATTCTCTTCTGGGAGACGCTAGAAAACAAGCTGTAAACGCGCTCTCTACCACCCCCACCCCTACATGGTCTTAGTGAACTGTGTTCACTCTAAATGTTTACAAGCAGAGCCGGGTTTAGTGACGACTATTAGGGGCAGATAATTTAGTTTGAAACGATTTTAAACGTTTGGGGGGCGGAGGGAGGTGGGGGGGGGGGAGGAAGGGGGAAGGAAGAGGGGGGGGGGGGGGGGGGGTTATGGTCCTTAACGTGCTACTTATAGAGTTTTAAAGAAATATTTTCAGTGGCAGCGTTGGTACCGTCGAATTCTTAAATTATGAATTACTGAAAAGTAGAAAAACAACAACTAAATAGCGGCGTATGTTATGCCGCGGGCCGGCTCGTAATACATATTGCGTGTATTTTTACATTCTCTATGATGTGAAACCTATTTGTTTTTATATGCCTTAACATGAAAACTTATTCTTACCGATTCCCAAACCTTTATCTTAAGGGGGCATGCGCATTCAAATATCATCAAAATACTGTTTTTTCGCATAATGGTGTTGTATTAAGAAAATAATAATTTTAATGAGAAAAAAAAACGTAATGTGTTGAAAATACAATTTTTATGACCCCATTAATTAAATTTTTTTTTTCTCAAAATCTTACAACTTCTCTAGGAAAAGTTTAATATCCGTCATTAAATTGTATTTGGCATCATTGGAAAGCTGGATTTCTCGTGTTAATCGTATTTTCCAAATTCTTGGAAAACACCCAAAGCTTACAAACGGCTTTATAATTCACACAGAGATGGTATTTTCGTAACCTACGTTTCGGTATTTTTTTCTGCACTTTTTTAACATTAAAAAGCCTACTACTTTTTTATTTATTAAACAATGCCCACCATATTTTTAGTTTTGGTCTTCATGCAAAAATACAACTTTTATCACGAGGGAATTGTGATGGCTTTCAAAGTTAATGTTAAATAGTATGCACATTTTGAAACTTTTGAATACTAAAAAGGGTACGATTTTTTAGACCTGGTAAAATTCTGAAAGTAGCTATTTCAAAAGTTGTCGTGACAAAAGTTTTAATATAAGCAATTAACATTTGATTGCTATAAGTGCATAAACAAAAAAGGCTTAGTATTTTTAAGAGAAGCGAAAAAATGGCGGAGGATTTTTCGGGTTTGCATGATAACCAAAATTGTTTTCAAACTTTTTTTTTCTGTTTAATACTTACTTTCATGTGCCAAACATGGTAAAATCATTCAAAAGGCTTATAATCTTAAATTGTAAATAATAAAAATAAACTAAAAATAAACTAAAATATATGTTTAAGTGTTCCCCTCTACCATGACCTCGCAACTACTATCTTCTTCAGCCTAACGTTGTCCCTAACACTATTTTCTTTTATATAATTCAACGATATGAGATACATTGTTTATATTACTGCTGTAAATTCCTTTAAACCAGAGACTATTGTTTGCATATACAAGCTTGGTAAATAAATGTTTGTACTTACTAATAATGAGCTCCAAACAAGACAAAACAACCAGCACATTACAGACAAGCTTTCTATAGTCGACCTCATCGCTGCGGTATGTGGAATGGCGCACAGAAACCAGTTCGGCTTTATTTGTTATGATCTAGTCACAGGGTCACCACGACACGTCTTATATAACCAGGAAGTTAAAATGTTTCCATCAAAGATATCATTATATTAGCCTTCAGCGAGATGATGACGTAATTTGAATTGCTCGTTACAGGTAAGTAATTCGTGTAACCAACTTAATGCGTTACATGTTAAGGCCAAAGCCAACATATTATGATTGGTTTAAAATAGATTAAATAACTAAAGACTGCTTTGTCTTTGTCAGAGAAACTGATTGGTAGTACTCATTACTCACTACGCTAAATATTACTTCATTGAGTCATGTCCATTGAGTCTACGCAGATATAATGAGCATACAAATCTAACTGACCAACCGACCGCTTGACTGACCAACCGACCAACAACTGTCCGATGGACAGACAGAACAACCCACAAAGTGACAGACTGCAAGAAATTGGGGGATATTATAATAAATTTTAATGAAACAATTGAAAAAAACCGCTGCCAATGAAATACATTACTAATAATGTACGAAGGCGATATTCTTTTTCTCATTGACTAGCCGTATTCATTCAGTATTCTAATGGGTGTTGTCGTACGTCTAAGCTAAAACTAAATCAAAATGGATACATTGTTGTAAATATTGCGTTTACAAAACTGAACATACTGTTAAAAAAGTAATTTTATCGGGTACTAAAACTGAGATTACGGATAAGAAACTGCCGCCAATCACAAAACTGTATACCAACAAACCAACAAAAACCTAGTTTATAATTGAATTTAAAAATATCTCACTGTAACATTTAAATTAAATATCACGAGCCGACCGCAGCGTATCATACGCCGCTATTTAGTTGTTTTATTTTCTACTTTTAAGTTATTCATAATTTGTGAATTCGACAGTACCAATGCTGCCACTGAAAATATTTGCTTTAAATGCTTTAAAACACTAACCCCCCCTTTCCCCTAACCCCGACACTACACCACCCCCCTCCCCCCGTGAAAGCAGCCTCCTCTTAGTTATTTCTTAGTTACCTCCTGTAAGTTTAAAATCGAACTAAATTATCTTCCCCTAACAGAAACCCGGCTCTACGATTTGTAAACATTTAGCTTTGTAAACATTTAGCGTGACCACAACTCACCAGACAATGTGGGGGTGGGGTGGGGGTGGTAGTGATAGTGATAGAGAGAAAGAGAGGGGACTGCAAGGAGGCGCTTGCAGCTTGTTTTCTAGCGGCTCCCAGAAGAGAATTATATATATAGATATTAAAGAATGCCGCCAAGTTACGATCCAACGACCTTGAAGAAATTCCTGAATGTTTGCATGGTTCAGTAACGATCAACTCCTATCTCTGATTGGTTAAAAATATTTCCGGCCAGCTTACGCAATTTCTACATTACCCCAAAAAGCGTAATCACGTGACTATTGAAAGGCAGACATACCCAGTGTGTTTAGACCGTCCAAATAGAACGAAACAAGTCTATTTATAAGCATCGAAATATTTCTACATAGTTGTGCTTTAGAAATCGTATCGCGCATCGATGAACATGTAAAAAAACAGGTTCTAGTTTTGTTACATTTTTTTTTCTGAAGGCTTGCGTGGACGTTAGAGATTGTAGATGGGATAGTTAGGTAAAGTACAACGATGATGTAGAGAGGTAACATGTGTGAATGGTGGTTAGAAAAAAATATCTTTAATATTGAGGAAATATTTACTAAAATGTTTAGTTTTAAAAGAAGGATTTTAAAATAACTTATCCGCCTGTGAGGAGTATTGGTTCAACGCTCACTAAACTGGGTGTTAAAAGACCCGTCAGTTTGCTGCGCAATGGGGTGGGAGAGGGTCTGCGTGGTTGTAATGATACATTCTGCCGCTGGTTTCCTCTTATTATCGTGCTGGCGAAAACATTTCTTTAGCGCTTATAAATAAAAGATCCCAACCAAGCCGACAAGCACCACTCTATCGAAGAAACCAGGGTCTGTTTGGGCAATCCGACGACTTTGACATTATTTATGCTTCTTCCGGGGACAGGCGCCAATGATTCTGCAAGCTGGAAATAGAAGCTCAGTTTCCTCCAGGCATCTTTTCGGGGGGGGGGGGGGGGGGGGGTGCACCGCCCTCCGAAAAAAAAAAGTCTACCGCCACCCGTGTCCAAACCCGGACATTTATTTTTATTTTTACTCAACTAACAAGCTTTCTATCAACAAGCTTTTACTTTTTTATTTTTTTATTTTTTACTTTTATATTAAAAAGTAATTAAAAACAGAAAACTTTGTAGTGTTTATTTTCTTTATTACTGTTTCAGTGTGCGGGTGTAATATTTCGCGACCAACCTAGTTTAATAATACTGGCAAAGTAAAATAACAAAAATAAACCTGAAGTATACCTCACCTATTTTTAAAAAAATTTACTTTCGCTAATGAAGAAACTATGTACAGCACAATGTCACAGCCTTTACTGTCCATGACTTGAGTCAGGTACCAGTTAGATCTGTTTTAAATCACAGACAACTTCCATGATCAAGATTTAGATTTTACTTAAGAACTTTTGCTTTAGCAATTGTGTTCACAACCATGTAGTTCCAATATAAATATTTAAGTAGCATGTAAATTACATTTGGTTTAAGTGAATATCTAAAATGTCATGTTTGAAAATTATATTACTAGTTGATTGCTGTCCAAAATAATAAAACAAAGTTATATTACAAAAACACACACTCAAATGAAAAAAACTCATTTTACTATTAGAAGCAATAGTTTTCAATATAGCTTTACAAACAGTTATAAAAAAATAAAATAAAAGGACAATGTCAGATAGCAAGAATAAAAATTTCTAACATTAGCTATGATATTTTTATCCTATATATTACTTTCAAAACAAAAAGTAATTGAAATATTATGTGGTTTAACTTCCAACTTTGGAATTTTGTATTAATTACTTAAATCTTTGAAAGTATTTAAAAACAAAAGCATTAACAACATTTGTTTAGGGGCTGCTCTTGAAAAAATTAGACAAGAGAAAACGCGTACGGTCAAAAGAAATGAGAAGATAACGGAGAATGGGTAACAGGAAAAAGTCCTATCGAACAAATAGGCTGAGGTTATAGCTAGAGACAGGTGAGTTAACGTATATTTGTTGATGCCTCACGGATCAAAAAGCGCTGAGAGATGATGATGATAATAATGAAAATGATGATGTTGGAGTTTGTTAGTCCTGTTTATATGGATCCTGAATGTGACTAGTTTCAGGTTGGTGTTGGTCAGTTCTAGACTTGCTGTTGTCTACCCTGATAAGGTAAAAACCAATCATTTCGTAAATGTGTCTATTAGCAACTGTCTTACGTAATGCCTATCTGTCTGTGACAAACAGGTTATAAAAGTAAATAAATACACACACACACACACACACACACACACATATATATATATATATATATATATATATATATATATATATATATATATATATATATATATATATATATATATGTATATATATATATATATATACATATATATATATATATATATATATATATATATATATATATATATATATATATATATATATATATATATATATATATAAACGTACATATGCTTATATTTACAAGGGCACACATGAATTTATATTCTAGCAGCGTGTTTTACTATACATACTTAACCACACTATGCGCCAACCTTCGTTATGTGTTGTTTCTACATCTGCCCCTCTGTGTTCTGAGTGACACTGTTGTTGAAGGCTTGGTTGGTATTATCTGACTTGGTCCTTTGTGTTCGACACTTCCACAAGACAACAGCCCCAACAACGACCATGATAACAGCTGCACCAAGTCCAATTCCTAGGCCGAGGCCTAGACCCAGTTTATTGTCTGGATAAATGTATGAGAATAATTTCATGGAATGGATTAGCTTTCTTCTGTTGTTGTTTCATTTTATTCATGATTCCAATAAATTGCCTTAGGTTTAAATGCAAAGAAGATACACAAAGTGTGTACATTTATAAAATGTAGATTGTATTCTGGTATTTAAATACAATACGGCTTTTATTCATATATAGCAGAGAGGCGTAGCGAGGGGGGGGGACGGGGGGGGGACATATGTCCCCAGGCGCCGACCTTAGGGGGCGCCAAAATGGGTTGGAAAAATAAATTGAAAGCTTGAGGGGGGGGGGGGGGTTGCAGATCAAAAGTTTGAGAGGGGGCGGGAATTGAAATCTAGAGGGGGGATGCAAAGCGAAAGTTTGTCCCCGGGCGCCGGGAATGGTCGCTACGCCTCTGAATTATATCACGTTTAATTTTGTTGGGATAAATTATAGTTATAAATCCTTACTAATAGTTTAGAGTCAGATACTAAAATATGTTTCAATATTAAAAAAAATAATTCAGCAATACATACCATTAGGCTTAGTAATGGTGAAATAAAACTGAAGATCATTGTCCACTAAGTTGCTGATTGTCAGCACATAACGAGTGAACATCTCCTCTTGGATATCAAACAAGGCCAATTTGACAACCCCGTAGAGAGGCGTTGTCTCGATATAATTTATGTTGTATTTCTGTGGCCACACTTCAAACAGAATGCCGCGCAACTCGAACTTTAGCGAGTAGCTGCTAGGCTTAGGATAACCAAAAATGTTGACTTCAATGAGTACATTATTGCCAGCTGTTGTTGGGAAACTTTGATTGTTTTGATCGTGTTGTTGTAGCAATGGTGAACCTAGGTTTTTGAGTCACAATACAGAGTATATATATATATATATATATATATATATATATATATATATATATATATATATATATATATATATATATATATATATATATATATTTCGTTCTTAATTTTTAGTGTTGAAAGGGATCAAGCCTTATCTGACAGAGGGTTCGAACTTGAGATTATCTCGAATTTATCAACCATGAGATTTAGTCGACTCGACCACGCCTCCATCACAATTGCGGATACGTGTCAACTGGTTATGCGCCATTGAGGCCATTGACTCCGATTTCAGCCTGCTTTTCTTTTTGGATTTGCTTCCATAGCATTTGTCCAACCAAGAACAAACTACAAGGCAGCAGTTGTTTGATTTTGGAGTTGTCTCTCCTAGAAAAGTGGCTGTCCCCACCTAACGAGCCTCATCTGCCCGAGGGTTCAAACTCGAGACTTTTCGGTTTAGCAACCATGAACTTTACCGACTCGACCACCCCGACCCCTTATATCTTTTTAAAATAAGCCATAATTTCAAATATAATTCCAACAAAACTTACATGTTTTATATAAAGTAAAATTTTTGGAGCTGACTCCACCGTTGTTCTCAGCCCTACACACGTACTCATCTATATCTAGACAGGTGCCCCCGGTCACCAGGTGGTTTAGAACCCGGGTCGTGCTAGTGCTGGCTACAACGGAGCCTCTACCGCTGCGTAGAATGGAAATCTTTGGTGCTGGGTTACCCGAGGCCACACAGGACATTGAGATGTTGTTGTCAGCTTTCCAGATGAGAGCGTTGAAATTCAAGACGACTGCTTCAGCTGTAGATTAATTAGAAACATTTTAGTTAATTCATTACCTGTTAATTAAAATTAATAAGATTTTTTTTTTTTGTTGGTTTAAATTGGGTCGTAAATCTTGTTTAGAAATAAAACATCATCTCAGTTGTTTCCATTTCCCTGTAATTTTTCTTGGTTTGTTATAATGTTTTCACTTACTTACTTGAATATAGACTAAATCTGCTAACTATTTTATTCTATTGCAATCATTATTGCGTACATTTCCAATATAAATAATTCGAAAAAGTTACACTTATGAATTTATGACAGTGAGAAAAATTGATAAACAATATTAAAGGAAATTCATTAAAATTGAAAAATCTAATTCTGGGCCCCACGTTCAGAAAGCACACACGGACATTTTACATTACCTTGATAGTTGGGTTTGAAGACCGCGCCATTAGGAGCGTGCGTGGTTAGACAGTCTTACAATTACCTTGATAGTTGGGTTTGAAGACCACGCCATTAGGAGCGTGCGTGGTTAGACAGTCTTACAATTACCTTGATAGTTGGGTTTGAAGACCACGGTATTGTTGTCGAAACCTAGCCGAGACTCCACACGACAGACGTACAATGGAGCTGGGTCTGAAAGGGGAGGTTATTTTACAAGATGTAAACAAGACACAGTTATAATATCTTAGATCTAAAGGAATTCTTCAAAACAAACAATTTAAAAGGAAAACATTTGATTCATCGATCACACACCCAGACATAGAAACCCAAACACACTTACACACATAAATTTATGATATATATATATATATATATATATATATATATATATATATATATATATATATATATATATATATATATATATATATATATATATATATATATACTAAAAATAGAAACAAAGAGAAGTTTTATCACATTTTTAAAGTTAGCTATCGTGTTGCATCTGTTTTATAATTATGAAATTTTTTTTGAAGTAGCTTACCGTCGATGTTGTAGTAGATGATAACGGTTGCTGAGCCATTCGATGATGATGTGGTCTCCACTGGTTGGTTGTTGTAGAACCACTGGACCCAGCCTGGCGGGTTGCCATCACGTGATACACTACATGTGCACGTGACAACAGACTGAACGCTGATTGTTTGGTTGGGTGTTGGGCAAGATTTGTCCAAGGCGGCACTAGGCAAATCTGGTCAGTAAAATTGTTCGCATATTTAAACAGATAACTGAAACCTCCGATTAACAAAACATTGTTTAACGTTGTTGTTTAAGTTTTGACGACTGTTATGGGGTTGTGGTAGGGAGCCTGCTACATTAGCTGTCATACATTTTTTGTATTTTTAAAACTTATCCTGTTTTAGACAAAGAAAGTTCATATAACTGGTTTGTATTATGTAAGATAAAACAATAATTTAAAAATGGATGCTAAAATTATGTAAATACACAATTTAAAAGCTGTAATATCCAATAATAAAAATAATTAGAAATATTAAATTTAAAATATTAGAAATATTAAAATCTTTTATAATTTTTAACTAATATAAAGATACTCAACGAAAACTATGTGCATCAGTGTAATAAGTAGATGGAGGGATAGCTTACATAAATCTACTGTTACTGCTGTACTGTTCGTCCCATATAATTCACCGTCTGTTATACTGGGATAGATCAGGGCCACTAACTCATGACGTCCTAAGCCAAGTGAGTTTAATGGAGTTATCCATCCGCATTCCGCTGAGACGGTTCCGCTGTAGGGCGAACTTAAAATAGGGGTGTGAAACTTACTGGTGCTTGGAAACGTTAAACTGGACTGAAAGACAAAATAATTACACACACAAAATTTAAAAAAAAATAGGGACACGTTTTAAAACAAAATATGTTTCTTTATCCACTGCGACTCAATTACGAATTGTTCTACTAAATTGACTATATTTTTAGTAGGCTTGAAAAGCTGGTTCGAAATGGTTTCCAAGTTTTTCTGCCAGAAAGCAAATTTTTAAACCGAAAATTGATAATTTTACACCATTTGTGAAGTTAGTACAAAATGACCTTCGGTTTTATTAATAAGGCAAGAAATATTCGAACAAATAATTACTAGTAATAAAATAGCTAACAACTGTTATTTTTAATTTGGATTAGTAGAGTCCGGATGTTGTGGTGATAGGGGATGTTATATTATTTTTTAAAAATTAATAACTACATTGAACTCTATTGTGTATTTTATCATTGAAAACAGCTGTTGTAATTTTCTTTGTTTTACTCTCTCAGGCCACTCCGGTTGACTTCAAGGTTGGGTTTAGGGCGTTTTTTTTTAAAAATATTTGAACTGATAAAATAATTCTAAACAGCTATTTAACGGCTTATACTCATAAAACAGGTTAGTAAAAAGTCTAGTGACAATTTAAGCGCAATTTCCTTATGTTACCCATAACAATTTTAAATCGAGATAAATCATATATTCAGCAAATAAATAATGCAACACAAGTAGTTTTAATAATTCAAAACAAAATAGAAAAAATATTTATTATTTAATAGGGTGCAAAAATAACGTTTGAATTAATAAGTAAAAAATAAAGACAACTATATTAACCTATATCAACGGAAATAGTTTTATTTTAATGAGTAGGCCTACACGATGCTCAGTTTAAACAAGTAAAGTAGTAAATATCCTATAAATATAAACTTATTTGTTCTTATTAATTTTTTGTGACCGAACGAAAGGATATTTTTGAAAACTTTCTTCGGCAATATTGTTCTAAATTATGGCAGGAATCGATTGGTAAATGTTTCAAGTCGCTAAGTGGTCTGGTTGCCGAGATATGGGCCAAAAACTGCATTTTTCCGATGTTTTTTGGCTTTTCCGGGAAATTCAGGAAGGAATTCCGGGAATTGTTTTGGCCCACAATCATCCTCGGAACTTGCTTAACATAATTGCTTTTGGAACTAGTCATCGATATTGCTTCGTTGAAGAGATACGACTTAAACTGCGGACATCCATCCATCCATCCATCCATCCATCCAGAAATGACGAGTTAATAATCGCAATTCCTGTAAGGAAATTGCGCTAAAAATATAAAAAAGAGTTTCAACGATGATTCCCAAACGGTTTTAAATTTTTTAAAAATGTAACTATAATTTTATCGCTTGCCATAGTTTTAAATATTTTTTTTTCAATTTATTATTGTTACAAAGACTTTTCAAGCCTATTATAACTTTCATTACGGTTAAATTTTTTAAAGTGAAAAAATAATGACATGTTGAATGCATAATTTCTGATAACTTATTTTAAATTTTAATTTTATACATAAAACTTTACTAAATTTATTTTTTCTTTTAAATAAATTAAATAGTACATAAAGCAAGACATTAAATGTATGTTTCTGATGCAATACTTGATGCAAAAGAATGATCAAAATGTATGTGTAAGGTATTTATAAAACAATTGAAACAACGTACACCTGAGTAGAGAAGACAGGCCGCAGTGGGATACACTTGACTAGTCCTACACACCAGTTCGAGATCTGTGCTGGTGGTCTTTGGTTGCTCACACACCACATCTTCTGGTCGTACTGGGTGGGGAGGTGAGTACACGGTGAGCAGAAGGCATTAACATGGTGCGCAACCGGTGGTTACACGGTGCGCAACTAGTAATTACATGGTGCGTATTAGGTATTAACACGCTGCGCATAAGGTATTAACATGGTGTGCATTAGGTATTAACATAGTGCGCATTAGGTATTAACATGGTGCGCATTAGGTATTAACATGGTGCGCATTAGGTATTAACATAGTGCGCATTAGGTATTAACACGGTGCGCATAAGGTATTAACATGGCGTGCATTAGGTATGAAGGAAACATGTCATATAGTTTCATGTAATAGTTCTATAGACGAACTAGACAGATCATAGAAGAAACTCAGAAACTACTTCCCACAATACAACAAAATTCATTTTATAAGTATTTATAAATGGGAGCAGGACATTACCCCCCCCCCCTCCTCCCATCAATTACCCCACCCCCCCTGAGCAGTTAGAGATGGGGTAAGGTTAAGTTAGTTTAGGTCAGGTTAGGTAAGGGTAAGGGTTCGGGTTAAGATAAAGATAAAGATAAGGGTAAGGGTGAGGGTTAGGGTTAGGGTTAGGGTTAAAGTTAAGGCTTAGGCTTAGTCTTAGGCTTAGGCTTAGGGTTAAGGTTAAGGTTAGGATAAGATTTTTTTAGGAAGTGTGTGTGTGGGGAGGGGGGGGGGGGTAACTGTTAAGAGGTAATGACTCCTGGAAGTAATGTCGGGAGGGAAATATCCTGTGGGTCATTGACGGTTGGGGGGTAATGTCTTAGACACTTTATAAATAGGTAAAAATAAGAAAGGGTACTCACCGAAAACTTCTAAATTTAAACACACATTTATAACAGGTATATCATAAACATGATGGATGTCATAAACTTGGCATTGGATAGACACGCCAACTAGTGCAGCAGTTACGTCATAAACGTTCAACCCGTAGGTGTATTTCCCGGACGTCCGCTTGACAGTCGCATCATAAGGCTTTATATAGGTTTCACACTTGTCATCAAAACATTCAGCGATGGTTCTGTTGTTGTTGGCAAACCATTTCATGTGTCGGATTTCAGTAGGTGAGTTATATACACAAGTCATTGAGTAGGGGCGTCCTAGTTCTGCTGGAGAGCATCTAGAGCTGACTGAAATTATATTTTTTATTATTAATTTTATATAAGATTTTTTTTTATAAGAGTTAGACATTACACATACTTTTTACACAATAAAATAGGCGGGGACTTATTGAAATGTGCTTTTTTTTTTTTTTAAAAAAAAAAAAGAGGTATGCAAGGTATAAAGAGAAAAAAAAAATCACAAAGTTCATTTTTAGTGACTGGTGGGAAAAAAAGTTCATTTTTAAGGACGGGTCAATTATGTAAGGAACGTCAAGAGTTTCTTCCAGGCATCGCCCCCCCCCCCCGCCCCCTAAGAAAGTCTACCGCCCCCCCCCGAACGAAATGGAATTTATATAGGAAATATATACTTTTGACAGTGTCCAGATACAAGCCCACCCAGCTACACGCCCTGCTACAAGCACACCCAGCTACAAGAATACCCAGCTACAAGCCCACCCAGCTACAAGCCCACCCAGCTATAAGCCCACCCAGCTATAAGCCCACCCAGCTACAAGCCCACCCAGCTTCAAGCCCACCCAGCTACAAGCTCACCCAGCTACAATCCCACCCAGCTACAAGCCCACCCAGCTACAAGCCCACCCAGCTACAAGCCCACCCAGCTACAAGCCCACCCAGCTTCAAGCCCACCCAGCTACACGCCCACCCAGCTACAAGCCCACCCAGCTACAAGCCCACCCAGCTACAAGCCCACCCAGCTACAAGCGTACCCAGCTACAAGCCCACCCAGCTACAAGCTCACCCAGCTACAAGCTCACCCAGCTATAAGCCCACCTAGCTACACGCCCTGCTACAAGCCCACCCAGCTAGAAGCCCACCCAGCTACAAGCCCACCTGTTTACAAGAATACCCAGCTACAAGCCCATTCAGCTACAAGCCCACCCTACTACAAGCCCACCCAGCTACAAGCCCACCCAGCTACAAGCCCACCCAGCTACAAGCCTACCCAGCTAAAAGCCCACCCAGCTACAAGCCTACCCAGCTACAAGCCCACCCAGCTACAAGCCCACCCAGCTACAAGCGTACCCAGCTACAAGCCCACCCAGCTACAAGCTCACCCAGCTACAAGCTCACCCAGCTATAAGCCCACCTAGCTAAACGCCCTGCTACAAGCCCACCCAGCTACAAGCCCACCCAGCTACAAGCCCACCCAGCTACAAGCCCACCTGTTTACAAGAATACCCAGCTACAAGCCCACTCAGCTACAAGCCCACCCTGCTACAAGCCCACCCAGCTACAAGCCCACCCAGCTACAAAAATACCCAGCTACAAACCCACCCAGCTACAAGCCCACCCAGCTACAACCCCACCCAGCTACAAGCCTACCCAGCTACAAGCCCACCCAGCTACAAGCCCACCCAGCTACAAGCCCACCCAGCTACAAGCCCAACCAGCTACAAGCCCACACAGCTACAAGCCCACCCAGCTACAAGAATACCCAGCTACGAGCCCACCCAGCTACAAGCCCACCCAGCTACAAGCTCACCCATCTATAAGCCTACCCAGCTACAAGCCCACCCAGCTACAAGCCTACCCAGCTACAACCCCACGCAGCTACAAGCCTACCCAGCTACAAGCCCACCCAGCTATAAGCCCACCTAGCTACACGCCCTGCTATAAGCCCACCCAGCTACAAGCCTACCCAGCTACACGCCCAACCAGCTGTACGCCCACCTAGCAACAAGCGACCCTGCCACAAGCCCATTCACCTACAACCCCATCCCGCTACAATTGCTGAAATCTACTTCATCTGCCGCAATGTGCTGTCATCTAATGAATGAAGAGATGTATACATCTTATGTTTTCTATCTATTACAATTCATTTTTAATCAAAGTACGCATGGAAATGGCCATCTTGTTAAAAATTATAGCTTACAAAAGAAAACAATCGCTATAGAATAGAACTATTTTGATAGATGATGAATTATATGTAGTTTATACCGGTAGATTTTTTTTTAGGCGAACGTAAACTAAACATAATAGGAAGGTAGGTGGATATTAAAGTTAATGTGCTAAAACTAGTTAAGTTCAGGTATGCTTATAGAAACATTTAACTGCTATGAAAAGACTGGTCATTCATAGTGGATAGGTAGAATTGTGTACATTATATAATAGGCTTTGGGGGTAGGGGGTTGCTGGTCTAACGTTGCTGGAATAGGCTAGAGTTGTATAATTATATTTATGAACTGGTTATTTCATCTAATGAATAGAAAACACTTATTACCAAACACATTTAGATTGTAAAAAAAAAAACACAAACAATTTTAAAACTATATCAAAGCTGTTTTGATACTTACTGCTAATATTTATGACTGAAATAATTAACGCACAGAAGAAAATAAGTCCTAACCTCAACGAAACCATTTTATCTTTATTACCTAACCAAATAGCAACATCTGAAGGTTTGGGATTATACCTCGTTACTAAATCACATTCTCCATGATAGACAGACCATGACATAAACATGGGATTTCTTTTGTAAACCAGTTTCAGCCTAGTATAGATTTATGGAATGAACTGAGTTGTGAAACAGCGACGTCCTATAGATTTCTGGACTACACATGATACAGAAGTGGGTGTCATGATTCATGTTCTGGATATGTAATATATATATATATATATATATATATATATATATATATATATATATATATATATATATATATATATATATATATATATATATATATATATATATATATATATACATATACATATATATGTACATATACATATATATATATATATATATATATATATATATATATATATATATATATATATATATAATACTAGCGCACTCGTCGCGCGTTGTTGTGATGTAGGTAGCCCAACACATTACAGGAACACACCATTCTTGAAGGGTCTCATCAATATGTTACCTGTGTGTATTTTTAGAATTGCGACCTTGTTCTTCAGAACAGTTAACGTGAACAATACCGGCGTCACGGTTCTTGAATGTTAGTTGTTGGTGCTCAGGTTAGTCCACACTGGCTCTAAGACGTCACGGTTCTTGAATGTTAGTTGTTGGTGCTCAGGTTAGTCCACACTGGCTCTAAGACGTCACGGTTCTTGAATGTTAGTTGTTGGTGCTCAGGTTAGTCCACACTGGCTCTAAGACGTCACGGTTCTTGAATGTTAGTTGTTGGTGCTCAGGTTTGTCCGCACTGGCTCTAAGACGTCACGGTTCTTGAATGTTAGTTGTTGGTGCTCAGGTTAGTCCACACTGGCTCTAAGACGTCACGGTTCTTGAATGTTAGTTGTTGGTGCTCAGGTTAGTCCACACTGGCTCTAAGACGTCACGGTTCTTGAATGTTAGTTGTTGGTGCTCAGGTTTGTCCGCACTGGCTCTAAGACGTCACGGTTCTTGAATGTTAGTTGTTGGTGCTCAGGTTAGTCCACACTGGCTCTAAGACGTCACGGTTCTTGAATGTTAGTTGTTGGTGCTCAGGTTAGTCCACACTGGCTCTAAGACGTCACGGTTCTTGAATGTTAGTTGTTGGTGCTCAGGTTAGTCCACACTGGCTCTAAGACGTCACGGTTCTTGAATGTTAGTTGTTGGTGCTCAGGTTTGTCCGCACTGGAGCTAAGGCCTGCTGTTTGAAAACTTTAGTTGTACTTCGATAACCTTAAGGGGGGACCTGTAGTCAACTTTCTTGAAAAATTTCAATTTTCTTGTCTAAAATCAGTTTTGTTTATCTCATTTTTTTGGGGATTTTGATATCTAGTGAAGATTGGCATCGATTTTTTTTTTTTTTTGTAAATTGAGTAAATTGTTGTTTTCCCCAATAATATCGGACAAAATAATTATTTGTTAAAGTTATTCATTATTTTGCCCTTGCATACCCTTATATGACAAAATATTTAGTCAAATGAATAATGCTTAATTTTGAGTTTTCTCAGTTTTGTCAATTTTACTATATAGATCTCGCGGGAATGAATTTAACTCAAAAATCGCCTATCAGAAATACTTCAAACTGCCACTGTATGTTGATAATATATGTATCTATAAAGTAGTAGTTTGGCTGAACTTTAATTTTTTTTTTAAACTGTGATAGTTTTTAGACTAGCTTTCATAGAAAATCATATGAAGAAAAAAATTTACTTTTTAAAAATGTAAAAAAAATTCATTTTGTAAGATATCAAAATTTCCTTCTATCAGATAGTCAATTGTCATGTCTACTATGAATAGGCAAGGTTACTTTGCATTGTTTCCAATTATATTTTTAGTTATTTTCATTCTACTGTGTACCTAGAAAATGTTCAATTTGACACCAAATTTGGCAAAAAATGTATAAATTGTCCCCCCAAAAATATAATATTATATTGTTTGAAGTATTTTAAAGTTAATATAATTCCAAAAAAGCATGTATTGTATAGCTTGTAGCAAAATGTGTTTTGACTACAGGTCCCCCCTTAAGAATTTGGTAGCAGAGCACACCTTGGTGACTGCATCGGTGTTAGGGTCGTCGCTGAATGACCTTGGGAGATACCGGGTAGGCCTACTCTAACACTGTGGCGCAAGCAGATAACTCTGGTTGTGTTTAGTGATCGATTGTCGTAACCTACAGTATCCCTAGTGTAGAGTGTTCTTTAAAATGAATGTAACTTTGGGGGAATACGGGACGCTGTAGGTCCCTCTAACACCGGCGCCAGAGGATGCCCGGAGTGCAGGTGCGCCTAATAAAGCCACTGTTTCCATTTAGTGATCAATTATAATAGCCCGCCCACCCCCTAATTATAGGGCGCTTTTTGCAACGAATATATGCACCAAAGTCATAATATTGCGTACTGGGTCACACGACCGCCTGTGCTGTTTGACCTTGGATTTAAGTAGTACCCTGACCCCTTGTGCAGGTTGATCTTTAGGCTGATTCAAAATGAAAAATTTAGCATTTTGAGTGCACGCGTGTTAGAGTTTATGTTTGTTGGGGAGTTACTTATATACTTTACCTTAAATTATTTTTTAATAACTTAACAGATTTTCTTATTAATTTATATTTTTGTTTATGTTGAATCTCTGCGAAAAAAAATTACTTTTACATAAAATGCTTAAGATAATTTTTCACTATTGATTAGTTATGTAATAATTAAGTTAGACAAGTGACTTGAAAAGACCCTTTGATTTCTAATTGCTTTTGAAATGTTTACAAAAGCCATTCAGTCTTTATGTTACAGCGTTACTCTATGTGATAGACCAGTTGCAGTAACTATTTGATAGACAAGTGACAGTAACTATTTGATAGACCACGACGTTACAGTAACTATGTGATAGACCAGTTACAGTAACTATTTGATAGACCAGTGACAGTAACTATTTGATAGACCACGACGTTACAGTAACTATGTGATAGACCAGTTACAGTAACTATTTGATAGACCACGACGTTACAGTAACTATGTGATAGACCAGTTACAGTAACTATGTGATAGACCAGTTACAGTAACTATGTGATAGACCAGTTACAGTAACTATTTGATAGACCAGTGACAGTAACTATTTGATAGACCACGACGTTACAGTAACTATGTGATAGACCAGTTACAGTAACTATGTGATAGACCAGTGACAGTAACTATGTGATAGACAAGTTACAGTAACTATGTCATATACCACGAAGTTACAGTAACTATGTGATAGACCACGTCGCACGTGTTAACAAATCGGCTACTCCCCCCCCCCACACGTGCAGATGAAAACGTTCAACAGACGCTTGACCCCCCCCCCCCTTCCCCGTGTCACGTGGGTCTGGTCCATCTTGTGCCGGCCGTGTCGTCACCCTCGTCTAGTTTATACTCCGCCCAGATACCGGCCCGGCTACACGTAAACACACGTCGGATAGCACTCACCACCAGCGGCTAACACGCGCATACCATCTCCATAGTCAGCATGGTTTCATTTTAAATAGCTGGCTTGTTGCTGTTAGGTAACAATAACGTATCGTTAGCAGCATTCTTTTCACTACATAGGTATATATATATATATATATATATATATATATATATATATATATATATATATATATATATATATTTATATATATGTATATATGTATATATATATATATATGTATATATATAAATATATATATATATATATATATATATATATATATATATATATATATATATATATATATATATATATGAATTACGATATCCGTAACAAACGGTACTTTAAAATACATGTATACTAGTATTATTTATATAACAGCATATAATATAAAAATAAACTAACACTATTACCCTTCATGTGTGGTTGCAGCCCTTTGCTCCCCAGGGGCCACAAAGGAATGATGATGATGATGATGATTACCCTTCAAAACCCCGAATTCCCGCAAATTATGTTTTTCATTTTTTTTTAAAGATCCTCAAAACCGCCACTCCACTATCCGCATACGAATGTATAGTAGGAATTATCACCAGAATTTTCTAAGTTCCTTTCCACTGTTCCACTTTCATGAATATAGATTTTGTTATAATGAGTTCCGCGTAACTAGACGGGGTTACCCTTTTCTAGAACCACAAGCTATAAACAATTTTATTAGGTGTATTTATCGACATTTGCTAATGCAGGTGCATAGTTTTTCCTTTTGGTGTAAGACAAACCCATACATACACTACAAGAGGTCCTAGCCTACAACGGAAAGTTTGACAAGGAGTCCCGCCTACGAAGGAAACTTTATAACGGGAGCCAGCTTAAAACGGATTTCAGCTACGACGCAAAACTTATAAGGTGTCCCAAACTACGACGGCAAGTTTAAAACATGTCCCAGCCTACGACAAAAAGTTGATAACGGGTCCCACTCTACGACAAAAAGTTGATAACGGGTCCCACTCTACGACAAAAAGTTGATAACGGGTCCCACTATACGAAAAAAGTTGATAACGGGTCCCACTCTACAACAAAAAGTTTATAACGGGTCCCACTCTACGACAAAAAGTTTATAACGGGTCCCACTCTACAACAAAATGTTTATAACGGGTCCCACTCTACGACAAAAAGTTTATAACGGGTCCCACTCTACAACAAAAAGTTTATAACGGGTCCCACTCTACAACAAAAAGTTGATAACGGGTCCCACTCTACGACAAAAAGTTTATAACGGGTCCCACTCTACAACAATAAGTTTATAACGGGTCCCACTCTACAACAATAAGTTTATAACGGGTCCCACTCTACAACAAAAAGTTTATAACGGGTCCCACTCTACAACAAAAAGTTTATAACGGATCCCAGCCTGCAGCCTACGACGGAAATTTTATAACAGGACCCAGGCTACGACAAAAAGTTGATATAAGTTGTAAGTTTGTAACGGAACCCACATAACGACTGTAAGTTTATAACGGGACCCACATAACGACTAAAAGTTTATTACGGGACCCAAATAACGACTGTAAGTTTATAACGGGACC